TCGAGAGAGCGAGAAAGCCGGGGAAGAGCCGTCCAGGCGAGACCCGAGATTCGAGCCTGCTGTTGGCTGGCTAGCCGCTGCACCCCTAACCAGGTACCGTATACTATATAGTACCAGGAGCTGCCAATAAGTGGTGCCTCACCACCATTGCGAATTATGAGCGCAAATAAGCACTAGTCAATATCCGGAGTGCACTAAGCTGAATATAGTAAGATGAGTGAGTGGTTGTGACTAAGTTGTAATGGGGAAAAACACTAAGCTGTATGGAGGAAAAACTGGTGAGGCAGCACTTACCCTTACACCCGAGTACATTCTACCGTCCGGGAGCGGTTCCGTGCAGTCTTCCCATCAGTGTTCCCGGGAAGCGAGTTTGCCGAGACGGGTATCTACATACACATATAGCACTCATACATCCATACATACTACATACAGTCCATCGTACGAGCCGCTCCCACACTAACGCAGACCCAACCAGAGGCCCATCCAGACTCTCGTCGTCTGTCGTCTGAGACCCGTCCGTGATAGGTATCCGCGGTTACGATTACGCGAATCGGGCCCGATGGATAATGCTGTGCTGTCTGCTATGTATTTAACAATTTGCTCTCCCGCAGGCCCTGTAGCTTGTAACCTGTAGGTATTAGTACACATGATCGCACTAGGTACCGCTACATACACACGTACCTACCACTCCCGGCGCCCGCCGTCTGCCGCCCGCGAGCGAGTCCCAGTCTGTTTCCGGCTCTGGAGGTGAAGAACTCCAACCGGTGGGTGGCCGAGACTCAAGACTCCGAGAGGGGCGCCCTAGGCGGTTTGTTTCACTTGGCAGACATAACGGTACTCTGCTAGATAGTAGAGGCTACACCTCGATACCTGATTCTGGATTCTATGTATCCAGCAACTTGCAGATACATATGCGGGTGTTACCAAAGCGGGGGAATAATAGGTACCTGCATAGTTGGAAGTCACGTGTATTACCGCTTTTGGCCGATCAATGGCTGTTGCTGTGCGAATCGGTACATATAAGTACAAAGTACTTAGTAGAGCCCAAGTGGCATGACTCCGGGTCAAATCTGGTATTATCTACTTACCTAACCGACCACCACCTGGGGTAATGTTAGTAGCAAGATAGTTGGGCTCATGAGTGATGGTTTTGATAGTCGCTGGGCAGTTATCAGTCTGCGGGCTCGGCAGTCGCTTTGAGGCATTCCAGAGCTGTCCATGGGCCGCGAAGGGTGCATATACAAGACTGGCTGCAGTAGTTCTGTTGCCGTAATTTTGTTGCTGTAATTTTGTTGCCATAATTCTAGTTACCTACCTAGGTATTCTCTCCGAGCGTCTCCAAGTATTTACACACCACTCCCGAAATCGCCACGGACTCACGGTAAAACGTAGCCAGAATATACGGGAAGTCAGCCCATCTACCAGCGAGGGTGAATTCTGCGAAGCCGCAAACTTTTCCAGTCGCAGGAGGAGCCCCCATATCTAGCCATCTGTAGTACGGTGAACGGCGGCGGGCTATTGCATTACATAGAGTATCACTCCTCCGCCAAGTGTGGCTGGTGATTTAGGCTGTTGTAACTTGTGATTCCTTTCGGGTAGGATTTACTCTTGTTAGCGAGGAGTCACACCAAGTAGAGTACATCTGCGTGTGAGTCGGCCCGCTGGTTCCTAAGCCTAACTTCCTACCTGGTGTGTACCTGGTACCCAGGCTCTAAAAGCGAAGGGCTGTAGCCGAAATAACAAGCTTTTGGGAAGTGGTCACGGTGCCCACACTAGCCGGGTACTATGGTACTATAACCATATACAACCATGGAACAAAACCAAGTGACGTTTGTGTGTCGAAATCACTGATTGCGACAAGACCACGACAAGACCGGCTGTACTTAGAGGTAACAGGTATGTAGGTAATTCACGTATGTACGAAACGGCCGAACGCGATGGTTACTGGTGCATCTGCGGAGTAGGCCGGTGGCTTCATCACATGGAAAGTACCGTATCATACCCACCGTTATAGGTCGTACATACGATACAATATCACCCATACATAGCCTGGGGCTCTGGCACAGCTACATATCGTACCTTCCCACTCAACAACACTCTACCTACTCTACTCGGATGCGCCGGCCGTATCCGCGGAAATCCTTGCGGCTCGATTTGACTTGACTCTACTTGTCTTTAGCTACCTATGATGTGTGAATTCCCTGGTGATGCATGGAAGCCACCAAGGTGCACTGGGGACCCGGTAGAGTACTCGTACTTTGGACACAGTACACACAGCAACTAAACCCGGGTACCGCATTGGTCCGGCCAAATGCGACGAGAAAGTTTAAGGGAGTCTCACGCTGGACGCTGGAGGGGCCACGCAGGCAGGGGCTGCGGAACTAGCGCCGTCAAGGCGTTGAGTTGGAGATGCGGAGAGGAATTACGACTAGGCACGGTATGGTAGGTACGAAGGTACGAGGTATGTATGGAGCAGTTGTGTATGTATCGTCACCTGGCACCTGCCCGGCTGCGCGACATAAGCATCCTGCCAGCTGAAAGGTGACATAAGCTTATAGGTTAACTATCCTTCGACGCCAGATGTCAAATACATTCCTATGCATCAGTAATCGTGTAGGCGGAGTACGAGCGATACGATGTCGTTAAGTCACGGGGGAGGTAAGGTGCTTGCCTGAGAGACTCTATGTGCCGTATGGCGTCAGTCGTGATCAGTCGGCGGAGTACGAGAACAAGAATCGCTGCCTTTATGGGTACGATACAACCGACGATCCAGTTACTGCCTTGACTCGTCCCCATGCACTCCCCAACCCCGGCCACTGTGGCGATGCGTCTTTGGGGGCTATAAAGAAGTTGTCGTGCTCTTCCCGTTCCCCCCCTCGCCACATCAAACCACGCCTACTCCACATACCTTGTAGCTTCTCCAACCACGAAACGAAGAAAAAGGCGAACCAACGAACGAATCAAACGAACGAAGCGAACGAAGCGAACGAACCAAACGAACCAAACGAACGAAACCAACGAACGAACAACTCCTCAACAAAGAAAGAAAAAAGCCAAGCCATGAGATTCACATCAGCCATCATCCTTGTCCTTGGCCTCGCGGCAAGTGTTGTCAGTGCCAACGACTACTACGAGCTCGAGGCTCGCGCAAAGAAGGCCAAGATTGGCGGTTCCGGCGGCGACGATAATGCATCCGTTTGTATGGCCTCCCCTCTCCTTCCGTCTTTATTTTCTTCTTCTTCTTCTTCTCTTTCCTTTCCCAACAATTGCAACAACACCAACACCAACAATAAAAAGACCCTCAACGCCGTCATCAAGTGAGCAATCGGGACTGACGAGAGAACCAAACGCCCTCTAGCCCAGAACATAGCCATGCCCACGGGGATCCCACGCTTCGCTGGAGCAGCAATCGCGGTCGCCGCCGCCGCCGCTTACTTGTGAGCGAGCATTTATGTCGGTCGCGCGGTGTTGGCAGCGAGCCTTCACGGGCACGATGGTCTGTTAGTTTGTCAGTCAAGGGGGGGGGGGGCGAAGGGGGGTTGCGGATAGTGTAATGTCTGGTGGTGTACGGAGTCGCACGAAAAGCGGAGGTGGTGGCTTACCTATTAGCCGGGGCGAGTTGGTTCCGAAAGGATTATGATTGTATGCAACAGTGCGACTATATACGCTGGGGATGATGTGTGTTGGCAATAATATGCAGTGGACGGTTGCGGCGTCTGTAGTGCTTGGTTTTTCTTTTATCTTTTATGTATGTGTTTGGTTTTTCTTCCAGCGAACGGCCGAGCGATTCGACAGTTTTGACATGTAACTACCATATGAATCGTGTGTTTCCAGATGTCCTCAGTCTTCCTGTGCCTGTGTGGGTGGTGTCTGCCATGTAGGTAGCCGGCGCTGCACATACATGCTCGAGCCAAAAAGGGAGGGGATTCATCGCGAACAGCACGTTAGATACGTGACGAGTTGCCAGCTAAACAGCTAAAAACATATATGATGTGTTCTTTCTCGTCCCCTCTCCACTAGTAGATCATCTCGCCCGCCCACGACACGGTCTGACATCCACCCATCACATCAGCACCAATATCATCATCGTCATCGTTGTCGTCGTCGATTGCGATCATCGCGGGCCCCGCTCACGGCCGTGCCTGTTTGTCGTGTCGTGAGGGGGGAGAGGGGTCCGGTAAGGCTGCGCGAAAGTCCCAACAGCGAGCCTGGAGACGGACTCCATCGATGTCGCGAGTCGCGACGAAGGAGGACTGGGCCAGACTGGACCAGACTGGACCGAACTTGGCCGGATTGGACTGCTGGACTGGACCGGACTGGGAGGCAGAGGACTGGGAGGCAGAGGACTGGGAGGCAGAGGACTGGGAGGCAGAGAAGTGGAGGCTAACGTTCTGAGATCCCACAAAACCCTAACCCGCCCGCCCCGCCCCGCCGGCCCCGTGCCTGCCGAGACTCCAAACAGATCCTGATCGTGAACCTTACTTAGTCCGGGGGAGGGGGGGTGAGCGGCATTGAGGCATGGCGATGGGTACCCAGGTAGCACATACACACAACATAAGCTGATGCTGGTCAAACTGATCAACTAGTGTGCCCGGCCAAGAGTTGGGAGTTGCAGAGTTTGAACGATCGCTGAGCTTCGTTGCACGTCGCATCTCCGTCAGCTGCGCAGTGTGAGTGGAGTAGGTGCGTACTTTCCGCATATGTAACTCCTCTAGATCTCTGCGGGCCTCGTGGCGTGTTCCCTCGCGGGCGGAGGGGGAGGGGCTCTAGATTCCCAAGTCGAGTCGAGACGTTTCACTGCATCCAAAGAACCACCGCACGTGTGCTGGGGGAAGGGGGAGGAGAAGAGGGGGAAAGGCTCCATGATATCATCGTAGCAATAATGCGCACTGCACACTGCACGTACGATCACTCCACCACCGGAAGATTTGTTTTTCTTCTTCGTTTTCTTTTTATTTTCTTTTCTTTCTTTTTATTTTCTCAATGAGATGTTTGCGCCAGCCGGCCAGCCAGCCAGCACATCATCATTATCACCCTTACATTCGAGACATCGAGACAGAACAAGAGACATATCGCGGCGGGACCAGATGCGCGTGTGCGAGGTACTCTACATGCTATGCATCATCATCCTGCGTCGAACAAGATCTTCGTCGACTGACATACAGATCTCCCCTGCCGTAACCATCCCGCACACGAGCAAGCAGGTCATGACTCCGACCATCCCGACTTTGCGGTGCGTTGCACGCTGTATCCCCTCACCCAACCTCATCATCCGCACAACTGAACCCGTCGGAAAGTAAACAACATCATCGTCATCATCATCACACGACTGGGCACCGTAGTGGCCAGGCCAGGCCAGGGGACAACAGGGGAAACCGGGAAACCCGAACATGACATGCGATGCATCCTGCTCGGCACAAGCCAATTCGCCGAGAAATTTCCGCCTGCTTGTCTGCCTGATTGCTTGCTTGACTGCTTCAGCGCCGGCATACTCGTCGAACTCCGTGCCGCGCAGACAGGGGGAGGCTGCTGGAGAAATCAGTCGCAGGCCCAAGGCGCTCACCTCCTCGAACCACAGTAAGTGTACATACGTGCGTGCGTGCTTTACTCGCTGGGCCCGGCCGGAAAGCTCGTCGGTCGAGCGAGCGTAGCCTGGCCCGCGCGCCCCCAGCTCAGAGTTTTTCCATCCGGGGGGTGGGGGACCGAAGACTGGGGACGGAGTGGGGGGGTCGGGGGAAGGAGAGCGTGGGGCGTCTCCCGTATGTAGGTACTAATGACTACTAAAGCATGTATCTCTCTGCTCTCCCCCCACACACAAAAAAAAACGACATCCACCACCACCACCACCATCACCACCACCACATAAAAATTCCAACGGCCAGTGCAGTGCAGTGCAGTGCGCCCTGCTTCTTCGTCCTGCACACTCACCTACCTACATAGCCCCATGCCATCGCCCCGCGCCGCCGGACTCCGGATGCGGACGATCCAGGAACCCCATGCCCCCTCCGAGTCGCCGCCTGATGATTTACCAAAGTTTATTCTGTGACTCCTGCAATCACTGAAACATCGCACGGCTAGAACGACCGGAAATCTGTGACCCCTCCGCCTCGAAGTATAGATGGCATTTGTACCTATGTAGGTGCGAAGGAAGGAAAGTCTAGGCTGCGGCAGGAGACTGCCACATCCGCGTCCGCGCGAGGAAGGACGGACTGACGGACGGGACGGCAGCACGTACTTACATACGCGCGGGTGGCTTGTCGATCCCAGACCGGCCCAGCCGGTCCAGATGGAAATATGTATGCACCGGCAACGGCAACGGTATGTACTCGGGTGTGAGGGAAGGTCGTGCACCACCACTACTACCAAATGGCGCTTAATGGGGTGCACCACATACCCTTACACCCGTGTACGCGATGCCAGAGCGATTTGTCATGCTTCACGTGCGTTCATCGGGGCTCACTCGACGCTCTGTGGCACGACGAGCGTTGGATTGTGATGATTGAGTCTTAAGCCTCGAGAGAAGGTAGAAAAGAGGGGTAAACCCCCAACGCCTCCCGTCATGGCTGAATAAGCAACGAACGTGATAGTACAATAGCAAGCCCGCGGAACGCTGGGCAATCAGGAGCTCGAAAGTGACCCCAGACTGCAGATACGATCGGGAGCTCGTATCTGATATGGCTTTAGTAAGTCGTACGCGTCGGAGGAAATATGAGGAACGTGAAGAAGACGGCGAAGAAGAAGAAGCATGGAGGGGCTATGGACGAGTTGAGAGGATGGGTAGTGACAGCAGTGTTCTTCCAGATGTGCGTCGCAGAAGGTAATCCAACTCGCTGTCCGAATGTAGCTATCACGCTGAACCGGCTTGCGCTCTACGTGTCTGGCGTAGGAACGAACATAATCCTTTTTTTGTTACGTCGTGCTCGCTTTCAGTCCAGACTCCGTAATATAGTCTGGGAGCAGGCTTTCCGCTGGGCGTCAGCCTAACCCCGCCATGTCGCCTGCTCCAGACCCTTCAGCCGGTGAGGCGGTGACCATCTCTGACAGCTTCTTGCTTCGCGGCCAGAATATGGCATCGCTCTTGTTGAAGGAACACAATCCAGATTCCAGACTTATAGCTGCATGCGGGGGTGTTGCAATTCTCGTTTAAAGGCCACATCATCACTCATCCAAGCCATTGCACATTTGTCATATTGGTAATATTTATAAACGTCGAGAATCCTGTTTGATTTTCAAACTTGCTTCTCTTTCTTTCTGGTACGTCTGGCTGGGTGGTCATCCGCTGTGCTTTGCGAATCAATCGACAGAAATATTTACTCGTACTTTTCCACAGGGGGCACAAGAAGGACTTCGAGTGCTGGTGTGTGATTGTCACTCCTGCGCCACTAGGTAGCAACGGACGCGCCGAATTTTTCGAGAGTGGTTGGGCTGTGTAGAGCGAGTATTACCCCAGCGGGTATTCGATGCTACAGTCAATGTACATCCCGAAGGATAGCACGGGCAGATTGATCATTTCCGTTGTCGGCGATCCGCACATCTACCTACCTGCCTACCTACCTCCTTAGTACCTACTACACAATTGGCAGATTGTACCGGCTGTGCACATTGTACGAGGAGCCCATAGAATAGCACGCACGGCTGCCGGGTAGGTTCGCATCTTCAAAGTGGTATGTATTCGCTCAATTGGTAAGATCGCGAGATGTCCTGTCGAAGGTTCATACAATGTTGTTCTCCCAGTCTCCAGGTGGACTAGGCCTATCGACAATTCTTAAACTGGCTCTGAAAGTGATCGAACGATTGCACTGAACCGGCGAACCAATTGTGTCAGAGCTGAGCTGAATACCCACCCGAAAGTGGTGTGTAGCTACTAGCTAGTACTGGCTCAGCAATGTGGCGCCGCTCTCGACAACTCAAATCTTGAATCTCGATGGTAAGAGAGGGATCGACTGTGTTGGATAGATCATAGGAGCACTTCAGAGGGATTCTGCGGTGATGCATCTGTCTGACGGACGCCATGAATCCATGATTGCTTGCGTAATGCTTGGTAAGGAGCGGTCGGACTGGAGAGGTAATGGCACCAGGCTCCCCTTAAAACCCACTCGCCTGCAACCTCACGGACGGCAAGATTCCGTGGAGCGATGGGGACGCACATGGTGGTGTTGAATGGCGACTCGTAGAGGGTCTGCTAACTGTGGCGGTAATGGAGCGTCGCACACCTCTGACGACCATGTCCCGCTGGAAGATCCATTCATTCCTTTCACCACTTTGGCCACAATTCTTAATGCCAGGGAAGTCAGCTACTGGGGCCATTGATGAATGGGTTCGTCCAATCCTTCGACAGCGTAGCCTTCAACTGACTTGACGTTATAACCACATGTTTCTTATGTTCGGTCCGGGTACTTTATATATGCATAATTGAATGCGCACAGTGTGTCCACTGGTTTCATTGTTTGCTTTCGTTTTCCGGATTAAACCGAGGGATTCCGGGGAACCGGGAAACCGGGGAACCGGGGAACTCTCTTTACCTCATCATGATGAGTTTTGCGCCCTGTGAAGATTAATGGAAGCCCGTTGCACAGGACTAATACTATTATTCCTACTAGGTACCTACTTCTTGCCGCTTGACGACCTCTCCAAACTATTGCTCCGCTCAAGACCAAAGCACCCCACTTCACGATCCACATCGTCACGCATGAATGATGAGACAGCGAGGAAGAAGCCGGGACCAAACCTGCGGAGGATACTCGTGAAGACCTATTGACAAGATCCTTGCCCAACACCACACCCCCCCATCCGCGACCCACTACTCTCGACTTTCGCCCAGAACAAACTTTCATTTCCACAAACGCCACTCATTGTCCGGATGATCCTCTATGAACCCGGGAGTGCTTATTCCATCACAATATATCACCCGATACCACCTGTCCTACTACAGTTCCAAGCTCCAAAATCCCACTGGGAGGCTTGGAGCACATGTTAAATGGGTATCCCAGGCCGAATAACGAGTAGTTAGCAGAGCTGACCGACCCAAGCCGCACGCCGGCCGCGAACTCCCCCCGACACCAACAATCCGCGCTGCACCGCAGCGATCCGCGTCGCGAGGAATTATCCATCCCGCAGCGCCGCAGGGCCGTATGTAGCGGAAGCCCCATCCGCCCCCCGACTGCCCCCCGGCCGACCGACCGAGCCAAACGCGGATGTGTATTATGTACCTACCTTGGTGGGTACATGTTTGCCTACATACATACCTGCTGGCTTAGGTGCACACACGACACGACACGTAGGTATATGTATATATATCGGCATGTACCACTTGCTTGCTTGCTTCCTTGCGCAGTGCCGTGCACGCTGCATTGCGCTGCATCCTTGTATGTGCGTACATACATGATATACATGCTGTACTCTACATGCTGTACTCTACGGTATATACTTATCTACCTTCTCGCACACGCGCCGTCTAGTGGTCCACTCATTCCCCCCAGGCTCCGGGCGTGGAGAAATACATACATACATACGGTAACCAGCGCATGTACTCATCCCGCATGCATGGAGCCTCGGCGCCCGCTCTTCCTCCCCATACCTCCATACCCCCATACCCACCCGATCAGCCCCATAGCCATCCGATCAGCCCGCTGGGGTACATACATACGTGCGTTGATCCGAGGCGTGGATGGCTCTATGTATGTATAAAGCATGTATATACGGTACATCTGGCTGGCTGGCTGGTGATGGCCTGCGGGATGGGAGGGAGGGAGGGGAGGGAAGCGGAAGGTGGTGGTGGTGGTGGTGGTGGTGGTGGTGGTGGTGGTGGTGGTCGGGGGATGCTTAAATATTGACAGCTGATGTTTCAGCCTTGGATAGATTAGGTAATCTTACTTATGGTAACTACTATATGAGGTAGATATGGTACATACCTAAGCCGTCCCCCGTCCCCCGCTATCTACTCTCTTACTCTCTTTCTCTCTCGAGCAAAAGTTAGCAGTAAGCAGATGAACCGAGGCATCACCACGATCACTCGACATTGTTAGCAATCACCACCCAACTCTAGACCACGAGCCCCTAGAGTAGAGTAGAGTGGACTTCCGTCCCCGAACGCCGGACCTCCCAGATCCAGCCCTCCCATCCCCAGCCCTCCCACCCCCAGCCCTCCCATCCCCGGACCTCCCAGATCCATCACCGGCCAACGAACCTCCTAGGTATGTACATAGTCCTCCCAAACCCACAGATCCTCCGGAACCGGAACTACTTACCTCCATATGTACCTCCATCCCTCCATAACTGCGCTGCGCTATCGCCAAGCCCGCCGCCGCCGCAGTCGATAATAATTGTCGATTGTTGATCAAACGTCGAGAATGCGAGACACGCGCTAAGATGTGCTAAGTAGCTGGCCGCGCCCGGCTCAAGCGGAACGGAGCCGCGCCGGATCCATGCCGGCGCAACGCCGGAGCCCATCCCGGAGCTGCGCCGGAGACGTGGATGGTGAGCGTTGGCGAGCGTTGCAGAGCGCGGCGACTGTTGTAAAAAGGGTATGACGGGTTGACGCTCGGGCCTCAACTTCAACCTCAACCTCAACCTCAACCTCGAGCTGCAGCTGCGGCGGCAGCGGCAGCTCGGCGAGGTTCCTACATACAGCCTACAGCGTAGGTTCGTGATGGGTGAGTGATTTCATACCGCCGCAGCATACAGAGCAGCGAAAGGCCCATCCCCCACGTCACTGGCCGATTGCATTTGCAGATATCTATCACGCTCGGGCTTCAACTTCAACCTCAACCTCGAGCTGTAGCGGCAGCTCGGCGAGGTATGATGGAGTAGGTCCATGAGTTCATGAGTCCATGAGTCCATGAGTCCGTGAAGGATCGTGGTGAGTGATTTCATAGCTTCACACCTTCATACCTCACACCGCAGCAGTACAAAGCCGAATTGTCCGAAAGGCTCGCATCCCCCACGTCACTGGCCGATTGCAGAATATCTCTCACGCTCGGGCTTCAACCTCAACCTCGAGCTGTAGCGGCAGCGGCAGCTCGGCGAGGTTCCTACATACAGCCTACAGGTATGATGGAGTACGGTAGGTCCATGAAGGCGTACATAGGTTCGTGAAGGATCGTGATGAGTGATTTCACACCTCCACACCTCCATACCGCCGCAGTATCTACCCTACCTCTATACAGAGCTGAATTGCGGGACCGGGGGTTCTAGTCAGAAAGGCGCGCACCCTACGTCACTACATAGCCGACGCAAACATATTTCACGCTCATCACATCACGATGCTCAAGATGACGGAATGGCGAGTGCATGTAGTACCAATCTCATGTATTTCCTTCCCTATTCCTTCCCTACCTATCCCACCTATCCCTATCCCTTCCCTAAGTACCTATCCCACCTATCCCTATCCCTATCCCTATTCAATCGCCCTCTAGAGTATCCATCCATCCATCATCTCATCTTATCTTAAGGTGCAAAAAAAAAACCAAGCCCAAAATACCCGGAACTCCATCCCATCAATACCTCAACTCAATACCTCAACACTTGGAACGTGACCTCGGATCGCATGAAGGGTATAGCACAAACACAAGCACAAACATAAAGCGAAGAAAAGAAAAAATAATGAAATCCCAAACCGCAAGCCATGCACAAAAAAAAAACAATGAACCCCCCCAAGCGAAAGTGTGAGAACCAAAAAGCATAAATACCAAACGATACCGACTAGTTGATCTCGGTCTCAAGAACCTGAATCACGTCGTCGAACGAGAGATCCACGCCATCCAAGATCTTGCTCATGTCCTCGAGTCCATTCTCGGTCCACACGGAGCCGAGCTCGAACGCCTTCGACGAGCTGTTGTTTCCGCTCATCGAGAACATGCCGGGCATGCCCTCGTGTCCCAGGAAGGGATCGCAGTCACCGTTGCCTCCGAGGAAGGCATCGAGGTTGTCGCCGTCGGCATCGGGCATCGAAAAGTCCGGGATGCCCGAGTCCATGTTTCCAAAGAGCGGCTTCTGCAGCGAGAAGGGCGACAGGGAATCTTTGTCGTGGCGCGGCGACGGCGGCGCCTGCAGGAAGCTCTCGAGCTTCAGCTGCAGGTCCGACTCGTCGAGCATGTTGGTGGCTTGCGACTGCGACATGCCCATGTCCAGGGACTCCATGTCCGGCGGGGGGGTCAGCGCGGCGTTGGATGGTGGGGCGGTCGCGGGAATCGAGATGGCATTGCCGATGGATCCGAAGTCGCCGGGCGATGACGGGATTTGCAGTCCGAGCTGGTTCTGCTGGTAGCGGGCCCTGCGTCGGTTGGCGTGCTTCCGGAGGTTCTCGACCGGGATGCCGGCCTTCTTGATTGCCGCCTCCAGGAAACCGGTAGCATAGTCCGCGGCGGAGTAAGTCTGTCGCAGACGCTGCAACACCTGCATGCAGAGCGCGAAGCCCTCGAGCGACATCTCCCGAGTCACCGGGTTGGAGGACTTGATGTCGAGGAGATGAATGATGACAGCCGGAAGAATGACGGTAACGCTGAAAAATGACGAGTCAATAAATGTGCATGAATGAGGGATAACCGCGGGAAAAGGCACATACCCTGTAGTAGGCAAGAACCTCACCAAGTCAAACTCGATGAGATCGTCGGCAAGTCGGGTAATCTCGGAGGCAGCCTGTCTGACTTTCTTCCGAGAGATTTCCTGCAGTTCCGACTTTGTTACCGGCGGGTTGTTCGGCGTCGACGGCAGAACTTGCGGCCTGTGCAAAGCGCTCACGGTAGTGCTGTGGAAAAACAATGTCAGCAAACAGAAGAAAAAAAATCCAAGCGATGTTGGGATGACAAACTTGTAGATGAGGTGCAATAACGCTTTGTGCAGAATCAATACAGGGTCTGCCCCAGAGATGCAAGGGGTGCCGTAAACCGCCTCTGGTGGCAAATCGTTGATCCAGGCATCGAGCTCGACGTCGCAAGCCTTGACCTCCTCGCATCCGGGCTCGAGTTTCTTGGGTAACAGCATCATCGTTGTCCTCGTGCTGCCGTCAGCCGTCAGGGAGCCCTGATTAGTGTTCAGAACCGAGTACTGCGCGGTGAGCACGTGGCTGATGCACACGCAGAGCTTGGCCTTTTCGATGCACAGCACCGCTAGCTGTTTCTGTCGCTCGGCGTCCTTCTCTTCGCGTGCGCGCCGCTCGGCGGTCCAGAAGAAAGCCTCGCTCTCGTCGAATCCGATGTCGATTTCAAAGTCTTCGATGGTGAGCATCGGCACGTCGCAGTCCTCGGTCTTTATCCGTGTCGGCCTGCGCATGCCCAGGGCGACCAGTCTGTCCCTCATGTAGCAACTCCACCAGATGCGCTTCCACAGCTTCTGTCGATTCGGGTCCATGTTTGATTTCGCAGGATTGCGGTGGAGACCGATAGTGTGGGAGAGCGAGATGGCCACTCCCATCCAGTGCCAGGTGTCCTTCTGGTCGTCGGGGGTTTCGTACCAGTAGGACATGAGTAGGAGCGCCTGCACGAGGAGCATGCGGTCCTGTTCGTGGTCAAAATCGTAGAGCAGCCTGGTCTTGATGAAGAAGGCTTTCCTGGCGGCTTTGCGCGACGCGTATCCGGCCGCCCGGAGGTGTTCCATCCCCACGAACGCGGTACCGGAGAACATCACGGCCTGGAAGAGCAACAGCCCAGTCTTTCCTTGACTGCCGTCCTCGGTGTTGACGATGCGGATGAATTGCGACTTGTCCAGGAGGGGCATGTAGGGGTGCACAAAGTCAAAGTGCGCCTTCAGCAAGATGGAGCGAAGTGGCTCCTCTGGCAGAGTGAGAGCGCCTTTCCTCCATAGGTACTCGAGATCTTCAGCAGGAATCCGCGAGGGTGTAGGCTTGATGAATCCGGGAAGCTCGAAGCTGGGGAAACCGGCGATCGAGGCCCTGTGAGGGAACGAAGAAGCGGTCGAGGAATTCGTCGAGAGAGAGTTTGTCAGGGACGGCACCGAGCCGTGGGAGGAAGCGAACGATGCGCGGCGGAGACTCTGAGTTTGGTCTGTACACGCAAGTCAGCACCAGGGGAAAAAAAGAAGAAAATTCAAGAAAATTGAACGGGATCGGGGGTGTCCTGCGCGCATACAGATGAGATGGGGAACATGTCCACCAGGTGTCTCCTTATCGGAATGGCCGTCGATCGACATGGCCGATGGCGAAGTAGAGTGTCTCCGATCATGGTTGTGTACATCGACGACCTCTGCGTTGCTGTGGTTGTGGTCATGGTTGTGGCCATGGTTGTGGTTGTTTGAAGCATCCAACTTCAGGCCCCAGTTCTTCCTGCAAGTGACGTCGCGGTTAGGCAATTGATCTGGGAAGTGGGGTGGAGAAGAAAAAGGAAAGAGAAAAAGGAAAAAGGGATGGAAAAAGGAAAGAAACAAGGCACAGAGACAAGGCCAATGGGCAAGGCTGCTTACTTTCTTCGCTTGCTTTCGGTCACGATGCACTCGACTTCGTCCAGTCTGCAGTTGGTGCATGGCGCACCGTGCTCGACCACGTTGCAGCGGACCTTACGTGCGCGGCAGCACTGGCAGGCCTTTGAGGCTCGACGCTTGACGGCCCTGAAGCTGGGGCCGCCGTTGCTGTTGGTATTCGACGAAGGAGCACTCCTCTTCTGGCCGGCTAACTGTGGAGGAGGAGGAGGAGGAGGAGGAGGAGTAGTGGCCGTGGCAGCAGTGGCCGTGGCAGTAGTGGCCGTGGCAGCAGTGGCCGTGACCGTAGCAGCCGTGATCGTGGGTGAAGCAGTGGATGCCGCAGTGCTATTGCTAGCCGGAGCAGCAGCTGCTGCTGTTGTCTCAGTCGAAGCCATGGCTCTGGAGGTTGATTGTTATTGCTTGGGATCTCGGTAGTCTTCTTCGTCGTGTGCTTCCTCCGGGCGTTGTGCGGTGTCACGGCAAGTCACGAAACTCTGCAGTCGCATGGAATGAATAAAGGCGAAAAGAAAATCCGGGGTAGAGGGAGAAGAAGTAGTAGTTGTTGGGGTTGTGGGGATGGAGACGAAGTAGGGGCCCTGATGACATACAGGAGCGGGCGACCGGAGCAATATAAGGGAAAGCATGGAATGCGAACTGCCACCATGGCCACCGCAGGAGCACAACCACCAGCAGCGGACCAGCACCACCACTACCAGCACCACCACCACGACGGCGGCGCACCGTGGATTACACTACTCTCCCTACTATGCGTGCAGTACTTACCACTACCGCTGCCACTATCCAGTTGCCCCCAATCGTCAGCGCGCTCTAGCGCCGTTTCCTCAGTGTTACGCACGAGGGGCAGCGAGCAGCAACAATAAATAACGACCGCTCATGTATACTATACCATACTACTCTATAGTACTATCCCCAATCGAAGCGGACGCTGCAAAATGGCGCAACCCTGGACCAGAGAGAGAGAGAAGTGATGGATGGATGGATGGGAAATCGGCAGGATAACCATCACAGCTGTTGTGTCCATCCATCCATCAGTTCTGGTCCGTCCAGTGCAGCGCCCGCTGCAGGGGCCAAGACCGAACGAACGCACGAACGACCGTCCGTCTTTCCTTTACCCCAGAGTTTCGGACTCGACTGACACGCGTAAATACTTGCTTAGTTAGTTTGCGGACACCGCCCCCAGACGCCAGCGACATGTTTGCGCTCTAGGTAGTTCGACATGGCGTCGAGGAGAGTCGGGGTCTTCTTGACTTGCGCCCATCCGTGCTTGGCGCCTATACACCGACCGACCAACCTCCTCGCCGGGGAACTGTGGGGCAGCCGGCCCTCTCTGTCTCTGTCTGTCTGTCCCTGTCTCTCTCGGTCTCTATGTCCCTCTGTCTTTCGGTCTGTCTCTCGGTCTGTCTCTCGGTCTCTCTCTCTGTCTCGGTCTCTCTCCCGTGATTCCCATCCCCTGATTATCAGCAGCGAGAGAGGACATACGGTACCTCCGTACTAGTCCTCCCCGGAGTCCGATTCGGCGAAGGCTGGGCTGGGCAGTGGGGGAGCGGGTGGATGGTGGGTTACACATTGTGGGGTACTTTCCAGCACCGTTTTCGACCGGGCAAAACCGGCCTACTCACTTACCCCACGAAGACGGAGACACATGCTGTCTGTCACCTGTGAGTGAGCGTGCTGAGCTGAGCTGAGATGGGGCGGGATTCACAAGCGTTGAGTGGCGGTCAGTCTTCACGATCGTATCGTATCGTACCGTGTCGTGCTGACTGCTGGATGACTTGGGATCCGGAGTTTGCACGGGGAAATTTGTCCGCCGAGAGAGCAGAGCAGCTGGAGTAAGCAGACACGTCCCCAAGTATGTAGGTCCCTAGAGTACGCAGCCCAGAGTACCTAAAGCACCTAAAGCACCTAGAGCACATGAAGAAAAAACCAACAAAAAAAAACCACGAAATCAAACAACGGTTCTCCATCTTTCGCCTCGCCTCCTGGCAGTCAGTTCGCCTCCACATGTCGGTCGGCCAATGCAGTCCTGCGGATTATTCCGCGTTAGTTACTAGCTTCCCCCTCCCTCACTCCCGGAGACACCGTTTCGTCCTGCTTTGCCCCATGTTGATGTTGATCGGAAAAGGAAAGAAAAACACCGCCATGCTTTCCCCCTCCCGGACTCGACGACGACTGGGCGACGATGATCGGCATTCATCCACACATATAAAAGTGTGTGGTGGGAAACGAGCAGGAACGCAGGAGCAGGACGGTAGGAAGGCACGAGATAGAGATGGAGATGGAGATGGACTCCTGAGGAGGAGATGTAGGAGTCTTCACCGTATCCACCGTGATAGCGCCACCTGGTGCCCGGGCACGGAGCAGTGAGCACTCGGCGGATTCCCACGGTAGAGTATCATATACTTCCCATACTTCCCATACTTCCCATACTTCCCATACTTCCCATACTTCCCATACTTCCCATACTTCCCATACTTCCCATACTTCCCATACTTCCCATACTTCCCATACTTCCCATACTTCCCATACCCCCCATACCTACCGTACATACACACATGCACACGGAGCACCTGCTCCACCTGACCGTGCGGAAGAATCTGCGGAACGAAGCCAGTGTGGACATATCGTACATATCATCTCGGAAGCGGAGGAATCTTCGATCACATCACAGGGCACGGCGGAAAAACTGTAATTCCTGAGCATACCGGAGCAAGTATGGAAGGTATGTATGTAAATAGTTTCATACCGCAGAATGAGATGCACATCATCATCACGTATGAAGATGCCGACCAACCATCTCGCGGCGGTATGTACGGTGTGTAGAGTTTGTGTACCTGGATCGATCTCGCGGAGTCCACACACGACACACGACGGAAGTCTGCAGCGCCGGAGCTCCTCTCCCGTGAGGCCAATTGGCCACGAGCCAGCCAGCCAGCCTTTGCACCCGCACCGCACGGAAGGGGCCTTCTCATGGTGGGTGGATGGGTGGATGGGTGCGTATGATACCTCCTACATACACATACCCACATACATCCCACCTACATACCGCTGCCGTAGGTGGTGTCCAGCGGTGGTGGTGGGGCAGCCTCCCCTCCCAACCCTCCCCGGCAACCGGTTCGGCTACGGACGAACGGAGAAATATTACCAGCGTACGGCACACCGACCGAAATGCTGCAGCACGCAGAAAAGAAGGAAGAAAAATTCCTCCTCCTCCCTTTGCTTTGCTTTGCTTCTTCGGACGGCCCCCGCCCGGACGGACAGGCCGGGCGGTTTGGATGTCGCTCCCACCAGCAGCAACCAGCAGAACTGCCCCGGAAGCGCAGCCTTGAGTCAACGGCTGGAAAGGACGGAAAATAAGAAGAAGAAGAAATTCACGCATACACGGAGTTACCTACGATACCTCCCCTCGTGGAGAAAAAAAAAAGGAAAAGGAACGACTACCTCAGTCGGAAACTTTCCGACTGGTACATATAGTTATACCGTTGACTTGACTGCAGGAAGGAAGCTGTTCGCCCCGGATCTGCAACTATCTACATATCGCCAAACTTGTCTGCACCAAACCTGTCCGCACCAGCCCAGCCAATCCAGCCAGAACCAAATCTAATCCAGCCCAGCCCAGCCCAACGAGACCGTTGAGTTCCCGCTCATCGCCATGTTTCCTTTTGCCGGGAAAGAAAGGATGCAGCGGAAGGACAAGTTCAAGTTCAAGTAGAAGTATAAGTGACGATCCCACTCGCTTCCTCAGCCGTTGGGATATCGATTATGAATCGAGAATCCACAATTGAAGTTCACCTAGGTAGTTATCCCGTGAACTCGCTGGGCAGCTGGAGTGGACGCCATCGATCAGTCTCCACACCCCCCCTGTATCCCCCCCCCCTGTGTTTTCCCACCAATCGATAGGCTAGCAGTAGCACTCCCCTAGCACTCCCCTAGCAGTGCTCTAGCAGTCCTCTAGCCGTTTTTTCCGCGAGCTGCTCGCTGCTCGCTGCGGACTACGAGCAAGCATCCGAGCCAAGCCTGCCCATGCAGACTACTGGAAATACTATTTTCCCGCCGCTGGCCGGTGCTGCTGCCACCACTGCCACCCCTGCCTGTCCGCAAACCAAAACCAAACCAAACCAAACCAAACCAAACCAAACCAAACCAAACTTTGACTCCTGAGGGCCTGAGGCATTTCCCTCGCTTGCAGGATGCTGGGGCGCCTGGGCATGTTTGGGTGGGTGTGCAGGCGCGCGACGGACGCATGGCCCATCCCCCTTCCAGCCATCCCAGCTTCTCGGGAGCTTGCAACTTGCCAGGAAAATCTCGGATGATGTAGGGATGTCGACGAAGGGGAGCTGTCGCTCACGATGCGGATGGATGTGGATGAGTGAGGGGGCGGGAGAGGGGGAGGGGGAGATGGATATGGTGATCGTATTCAGGCAGATACTGGTACCTATGTGCAATCTGATGGGTGGCTATGTATGCATCTCACCGACCGGTTCCTATCGCGACTCTTGTGGGTAGAGTATTATCGTGAAACAAAAGTTATGCGCGCAAGTCGTTTCTCTATTTCGGATGAGTGATGGGATCGTGAAACTTCTGGTTGCTGGGTAACAAGGGGAGACGGCGATGGAGACGGGGGAGACGGAGACGGGGCGAACGGAGATGGAGATGGAGACGGCGACGGAGACAGAAAACCAGAAACAGAAAACCGGGTCACTCGTACATACCGCACTCACCTTGAGATGAGCATTGCATTTCCTCCGAGTGTCACCTCTCACCTCTCATTTCGATTCTCGCTCATGTCATGACGTGAAGATGTCGCACCCGCACCGTATATAAGTTCTTCAGTATAGCACCACCCACCGTCCAGTGTCCACCGTCCAGTGTCCACCGTCCACCCACCGTCCACGGACCACGGGAAAGCCGACGATGCTTCATGGTGGCGCCGGTGGAGATGACGATGCACACGATGCACATGGGGCAAGGTGGAGACATGGTGGGGTCGCAAATCCGAAGTCAACTCCTGTCCACTATCCAGACTCGCTCCCTCCCTCCCTCCGCGCCGTCCCATCCCATCCCATCCGTTCCCTTCCCTTCCCTTCCCCCACAGAAGCAAAGGCCCGCTGCCCCGCTACTCCGCTGCCCCGCTCCCCCGCAGCTCCGCGCGCGCGCAGAACCGATGGCCCGATCTGGGCATGTATGTAGCTTCCAAGCACCTGGGCGTCTCCATACGGACATACACACACAGCATGCGGACTTGCGAGTTTCCCTTGCCCCTCCAAATAAATCAGCCGATTTATACATACAGATCATACATGATACCGTATCCATGATCTCAGCGGCGGGCGGCGGTTCTTTCCTTTGCTTGCTTTGCTTGCTTTGCTTTGCCACGCCCGTTGTTTCCTTGCGATGGGATGGGATGGGATGGGATAGAGGATGTGTGTGTGTGTGTGTGTGTGTGTGTGTGTCCCTAGAAAAAGAAAACGAAAAGGCGGAAGGTGCTCGCGTGTCCCTCGCTGCCGTGAGACCGGGCCAATCATTAGGCTGGACGGGAACTGGGGAACCCTAACCTGCGCTTCCTTCCTTCCTTCCTTCCAGCCGTGAACGGTGAGGGAGGGAGGGAGGGAGCCGTAACCGTAGAGCACTCCACATACGGTACATGCCTGGAGTACCTGGAGTAGAGAACGGAGGGTAGTTACGGATCATCACCCATCGTTCATCGTTCATCGGCCATTCGTTTCCTAGTCAAGTCCGGCCGGAGGAAACTGCCAGTATCTGCATAACTACACCGCGATCCATCGCATCTCGTCTGCCGACATATATACCATCACACATACATAAAAGGTATCATACATACAGCCGAATAGCGCTCGCTCGCTCATGGTCGATAGCCAGAGCAGAGTAGGTGAAACGAACAGTCGGGGCCGGCGTGCGCGAGGATATCTCGGGTGAGGTCAGATCGTGAACTTAACTCTTCACCTCGAACGGGACGTCATAGGTAGAGTAGGTAGGTACAATATGTACCGCATCGCTATCGCATCGCATCGCTATCGCAGCCAGCCTGTGGGTGTCTGCGGCGGTTCGTCTGGCGGTTTTGATCCCTGTGGAGACTATGTTTACCTATCATACATATCTGCGAGCAATTACCACACTCAGTACGAAACATTTCTACCTACTCATCTACTCGTCTACGGTACATACCGTACAGTACATGTCCGAGCGGTGAGTGCGCGTGTTAAAGTGCCGTACATACACGACATACACGACATATATGGTGACGGAAATACCGGTACATACCGCCATCCCCAACCGCGTCCCCGTCCCCATCTCCTTCATACCACTCTATAGACTATAGTTGTGGGCGTAAGTAAATAGGAAACGACACCCTTCAGGCTTCAAGTTCAGGCTTCTAGAATACCAACCTGCTTAATCCGACGGTCGACCTGCCCTGATCCTGACCATTCCGGCAACGGTCAATTAATGATCCGTGACCGCCGTCAGTCAGTCGGTCGGTTCGTTCGGTTCGGACATGATTGGCATCGAGCATCGCGCAACCTGGTCTGTGGGATTTTCTGGTTCATTGGTTCGTTGGTTCGTTGGTTCGTTGGTTCGTTGGTTCGTTGGTTCGTTGGTTCGATGTTGATCCATATTCCAGCAGCCCTTTTTAGTTTTCCGTGTCTCGTTTGACACGGTTGTCGGTGTCAGGTGTCAGGTGCCAGCGTCATGGGTTGAACGTGGAACGCTACTATACCGGTATGATACTAACTATGGGGAATGGCACATTCCGCACTCGCACGTCGAGCAAACACGGAGATATCCATCCATGGTCTGAAGTGTTAGCGACAGGTGGCAGGTGGCAGGTAGCAGGTGAGAGAACGTGCTTCGTATGTATGATCTACATACATGGTAAGAAGTTACCTCGGCACGATTCACGTGTGCGTGTACCCATGTGTGTATAAAAAAAATCCCCCGGAAGCGGACCGACGACCGACGACCGACGACCGTTGATACGATACCTACCTCCCTCGCCGGCGGCCGCCACCACACCCATACATACCGGTACGCAAACGTAAAGTGCTCGCTAAAGCTGCTATTCGCTACTACATAGAGTGTCGATATAATATTGTGACGCCGAGCGGAATTGCATGAAGTGCGCCGAGTTTTCTAGAATCTGGGATATAGTAGAGTGCGCGCAGAAGCAGATTGCAGCTGCACCGGCGCTGCCGAGCTTCACATGGAGCAAGATTGATCCACGGCCGCGTGTCAGGACTCGGCGCCCTGGCCGTGAGGGCAAGCGATGGCCCTCTACTCAGGCATGTAGGTATGTGCACACCGTATCCCGTGTCTGCAGCTGACGATGCGGGACACCGACACCGACAGACACATGTGACATGTGAAAGCTCGAACTCGCGAGCCGATTCGCAGTCAACACGTACATGTCATACTCTTATTCTCTACTCTACTGCACGTCAAATCCCACCCCGCACTCCCACCCGGAGTTTCACCGCACGGACATATCTCCGGCAGCGGCCACCCCGGCAGCGCCGAGTCGGAGTCGGCGTCGGAGTTTGCCAGCGCGAAATCTCCGATTCCCCTAACTACTCTATACGTCAGCCAACGGCTCGTGTCGTAAAGGAGTCCGAATGACCAGACTAAATCGAGTTCTCTCGAGGCTTGGGTGCTTGGATGCTTGGATGCTTGGTGGCGGCGGAGGTCGCGTGGAATTTGCACGTGTGGGGTGTTTATGTGTCGTTTTGATGCAGCCTGCAGGTACGAAATAGAAACTCTAGTATACCCGCCGCGGTTATCTGCGGCGTTTGCATCGAGATGTTGCCAGCTTTATCCACACGGCCGGCACCCCGCGTTCTGCCCTGACGGGCTGACAGTGACGTCTGTGCCCGATCCGACACTAGCCGCAATAGAGAGAGAGTTTGAAGAATGGAGGACGAACTCCTGTAAAGTGCATTGCATAGGCTGGGTTCGCCGCGCCAATCCGCGGACAATCACGCCCGAGCACTCGCCACCCCGCAGCATCCAGCCTCCACAATTGCACGCAGATCAACCCGTAACAGCGAGCTCGCGACGAATAACGTTCACGATCGATCCATTCTTCGTTCCGGTATACGCGCATTCCATCGTGACCCTCACCGTCCGGCACCTCGGGCGAATCCCACCCGAGCGATTGTTCCGAGCCCCCAGCCCACTTCCCAGGTTACTTGTAACATGCAACGACAAAGCCAGTGCAGTAGCGCCGGATCATTCTTCGCCTAAGTAACCAAAGTACTCGCATGTACTTTGGATGCAGAGATTATCCGTCTGTCTCCAGGATGGAAATGAAAGAAAACAGAAGCGATTCCGTTTGACATAGGCACATACCGAGTGCTACCCTGTGCGCCAAGCACTTACCCGAGCTCCGAGCTCTGAGCGAGCCAGAGTCGAATAAGCTTGCCAACGTTTCCCTCAGATCTAATCGCGCACACGACACATAGATACATAGAATCTAGATACCGCAACACACAATGACCTCCCCTGCGGAACCACCTCTCGCCTCTCTAAGCCTCACGCACGTCTCCTACGTACGTCCGTCCATCCGCCGTCCCCCCACCCGTTCCCGTCCCACCCCCGCACCCCTACCTACTGACACACACGTGCGCGCATACACAGAACCCCGACGACCCCCTCTCGCTCCTCTCAGCATGGCTCGCGCTCCTCCCACAGGCGCTGCTGATAGTCTACGCGACCACGCTGTTCTGCACGCGCGAGGTTGAGTGCGCGCTCATGCTGGCGGGGCAGCTCGGCTGCGAGGCGGTGAACTTCATTCTCAAGCGGGTGATCCGCGAGGAGCGACCAAAGAGTGTGTCCCCCCTCCTCGCTCTCAGCTAGGTGCTTCCGGCGGGGGCTGATGACGGTGCGGGGGCGATAGTGATGCACGGCAAGGGCTACGGCATGCCGAGCTCGCACGCACAGTTCTCGGCGTTCTTCGCGCTGTACATGCTCCTGCTGCTGCAGCGGCGGGGGCTCGGCGGGCGCGGGCTGCAGGCATGGCGGCGGCACGTGTACTCTGCTGCGGCGGTCGGCGGGAGTCTCGCCGTTGCACTGAGCAGGATCTATCTCAACTATCATACGCCGAAGCAGGTGCTGGTGGGCTACGGGGCGGGGTTAGTCTGCGCGGTCGGGTGGTATGTGGTCACCGCGGCGGCGAGGGGGGTGGCCGAAGGCAAGTTGTGGAGGTGCGGCATGGACCTAGGGAAGTGCGTTTGGCTGAGGGATCGCTGCCTCGAGGTGGATTTGGTGGTGGAGGGGTGGAAGGCGGAGACGTTTGGGGGGAAGAAGAGGCGGTGAGAATTTCGCGCATAGTATTCCTTCCCATGCGTCTTCTTATTCCCCCCCGCGGACGCGCTTTTACTGGTTAAAGTACAGAAAGACTAGATATCCTATTCCATCATATGTGTTGAACGAATCCCAAACGCCCTCGTCCCTTGCTATACCAGTTTTCCGTGTACATGATTCCCTACTGCCGTCCCTGCGCAAACTCGTTGATGTACCCCACCAACTTCTCCGCCGCCTCCTTCGGTATCGAGTTGTAGTTCGAGATTCTGAGACCACCCACACTGCGATGACCCTTCAGCCCGGTGAGGCCCTTCGCCTCGGCACCCTTCAAGAAAGCCTTCTCGACCTCCTCCCCGCCGTCGATACGGAAGCAGATGTTCATCCTGCTGCGCACCGTCTTCTCGGGAACAACACGGTAGATGCCTCCCTGATCGAGGGCGTCGTAGAGCATGTTCGCTTTCTCCGCGCTCGCATTCTCCTGCGCCTCGAGTCCGCCGCGCTCCAGGATGCCCGCCATCACTTCGCGGCAGATGTACACCTCAAAGATCGGCAGCGTGTTGTAGAGCGAGCCGGCGGTGGTGAGCGTGGGGTAGTGCATCATCACGGGGGGGATCTGCATACCCAGCTTCCGCAGGGTATCGACGCTCGGCTGCTTCTGCAGGATATCGTTGCGCACCACAACCAGCGTCACTCCCGCACCACCAACATTCTTCTGGGCGCCGGCAAAGATGATGCCGTACTTCTCGACGTCCACACGGCGCGAGAGGATGTTGGAGCTCATATCGCACGCCACCAGGCGGCCCTCGAGCGCCTTGGGAAACGCGGGGAACTCCACGCCGTCGACCGTCTCGTTGTCGCAGTAGTACGAGAAGATGCTCTTCTCCATCTCCTGCAGCGTCCAGCTGCCCTCGGGGGCGATGTGTCCGAACTTTTTGTTCTCTCTGGCCTTCCTGGAGTCGGTCGCGATGGCGACATGCTCGTCACCGAGCAGCCTCGCGGCCTCCTCGGCCGCCTTCTTCGACCAGCTGCCAGTGACGAGGTACTCGGCCTTTGCGCCGGCGAGCTGTGCGCGCACCGCGTCGAGATCGCCGCCGTTCGCCTCCAGCTGCGACTGCACCCAGTAGCCGACGAGGTTGTACACCACGGCCGAGAACTGCGTCGTGCCGCCGCCCTGCATCCACAGCACCGTGTAGGTTCGAGGGACGTTGAGCAGCGAGGCCAGGTGCGCGCACGCCGTCGAGATGATGTTGGTCGAGGAGGCCGAGCGGTGCGATTGCTCGATCACGCCCACGCCCGAGTTCTCGAAGTTGAGGATCGAGGCCGAGGCGGTTTCGAGGACCGAAGTTGGCAGGGCGGCCGGGCCGGCGCCGAAGTAACAGGTTTCTGCGCGGGTGGGCATTTTGATTCTGGTGGGAAGGGTGGATTAGTAGGCGAGGTGGTAATGGGAAGGGTAGGCAATTACTCGGTCACTGCAGGGTATTTGTATTTAGAGTTCGGTGCAAATCAAGTAAACTGACGGACGTTGAAGAGTTTGAAGTCGCCGAGTGAGTCAGTGGTGCCCGCCCCCCCACCATGGAATTCGCGATTTCGCCATTATCTCGTAACCCCGCCATGCAGCAAAGACTTGGCATTATCAGATCATCTTATCACATACATAGACCAAAAAAAAACCGAGACCCGATCTGAAGTCTGCCGCTCGGCCAATGGCTGTCGGCATAAAGAAGATTTCTCCGCAATTCTCAGCCGCAGGGCTATAGAAAGTAGGAAGCATCTCCACGTCGCGTGTCTGCCTGCCCTGTGTCGAATCTCGAAACCACTGCGGTCACAATGGCATTTGTATGCTACCCCTCCACTCAATGCAGACAGCCGAGAATGGAGACAGTACACTGACCCGGAGGTCGAAACAAAAAACAGATACGACTCACCCGGTTCTCGCGCCTGCCGCGGGTTACAAACTACCTCCAGCCCTCGCCCTTCCGCAGCCTGGCAACCGTCTCCTCCACCCTCGGCCCGCGCCAAAACCTGACCGAGAAGATCGTCCAGCGCTTTTCGAAGGACCTTCCCTCGGGCAAACTCGTGCGCTCGGGAGACTACGTCTCGATCCAGCCGCACAAATGCATGACGCACGACAACTCGTGGCCAGTGGCCACCAAGTTCTTCTCGATCGGCGCGACCAAGGTCAACGATACCGAGCAGATCGTGCTCACGCTCGACCACGACGTGCAGAACAAGTCCGAGGCGAACCTGAGGAAGTACAAGAACATTGAGGAGTTTGCGAAGCAGCAGGGAATCGTGTTCTATCCTGCGGGACGCGGGATCGGACATCAGATCATGGTCGAGGAGGGTTATGCTTGGCCCGGAACTCTGACCGTCGCCAGTGACAGTCACTCGAACATGTATGGTGGCATCTCGTGTCTGGGAACTCCCGTGGTGCGCACGGATGCAGCGGCGATTTGGGCGACCGGACGCACGTGGTGGCAGATTCCTCCGGTGGCCAAGGTCGAGCTGAGAGGTGTACTGCCCAAGGGCGTGTCCGGGAAGGACGTCATCGTCTCGCTGTGCGGGCTGTTCAACAACGACGATGTGCTCAACCACGCGATCGAGTTCGTTGGGCCCGAAGAGACCATGGCCTCCCTCAAGATCGACGACCGTCTCGCGATCGCCAACATGACGACCGAGTGGGGCGCGCTCAGCGGGCTCTTCCCGATGGACAACGTCCTGAAATCGTGGATGCTCCAGAAGGCGTCTGAACACAGCTCCCGTCTCGGATCTGCCCACCAACGCCTGACCGAAACCCGCATCGACGAACTGTTCACCCACAACACACTCCATGCCCACCCAGAGGCAACCTACGCGAAGACGCTCACCCTCGACCTCTCAACGTTATCCCCCTTCGTCGCCGGCCCCAACTCCGTCAAGATCGCCACGCCGCTGCTCAAGCTCGAAGAAGACAACATCGCCATCCACAAGGCGTACCTGGTCTCGTGCACCAACTCTCGCGCATCCGACATCGGCGCCGCCGCGTCCGTATTCCGGGCGCAGGGCCCCTCTGCCAAAGTCGCTGACGGCGTCGAGTTCTACATTGCCGCCGCATCGACACTCGAGCAAGCCGCGGCCGAGAAAGCCGGCGACTGGCAGGTCCTTGTGAACGCCGGCGCGAAGCCTCTCCCCGCAGGATGCGGCCCGTGTATCGGACTCGGCACGGGCCTGCTGAAGGACGGCGAGGTCGGCATTTCCGCCACCAACCGCAACTTCAAGGGCCGCATGGGATCGCCCCAGGCACTGGCGTACCTGGCTTCCCCCGAGGTCGTGGCTGCCTCTGCGCTCAAGGGTGTTATCGCCGGCCCGGGGAACTACACGCCCACCACCCCGACGGTGACCTTCTCGACCGCTTCCGCCGTCGCCTCCGCCTCCGCCACCCCCGGCGCGGAAGCAGTAGAAACCAAAACCTCGATCCTCCCCGGCTTCCCGTCGTCGATCGAGGGCGAGCTCGTCTTCTGCGACGCCGACAACATCAACACCGACGGGATCTACCCGGGCAAGTACACGTACCAGGACAACGTTCCCGCATCGACGATGGCGCAGGTGGTGATGGAGAACTACGACGCGGGGTTCGCCGGTATCGTCAACGCGGGCGATATCGTCATCAGCGGCTACAACTTTGGTACCGGAAGCTCGCGCGAGCAGGCTGCCACCGCGCTGCTCGCAAAGGGGATTAGACTCGTCCTTGCTGGCAGCTTCGGGAATATCTTTAGCCGGAACTCGATCAATAATGCGCTCATGACTGTGGAGGTGCCCGAGCTGGTGGCTAGGCTAAGGGAGGAGTTTAAGGGTGAGAAGAAGGCGCTCACGAGGAGGACCGGGTGGAAGGTGCGCTGGGATGTTGAGAGGAGTTGGGTGGAGGTTACGGAGAAGGGCGGGAAGACGTGGGGGATGCAGGTGGGCGAGTTGCCGCCGAACGTGCAGAGCGTTTTCGTGCAGGGTGGGCTGGAGGGCTGGGTTAAGGCCGAGCTCGAGAAGCAGTAGATACCATTTCCTTTATGTTTCTTGGGAACGGAAAAGCTTTTGTTTCCGAAGGAGTTGAGTTGAATATGAATCATGATGGTATACTCCACCTACTCTGCAATGCTATTCATGTAGTACGTAACCACCGTCGGATCCGAATCCGCCTCCTCGGTAAGAAACACGTAGAGGATGATAGCGACACCGTCACAAATACAGGCAACGACCCTCTTCGCCAGCCCGCCCACCTTCAGCACCTTCGCCCACTCCCTCCCATCGACACGCACCTCCGCAAACGCCATACGATCACGCACCGTGCTTGGATGGCTTTCCCTGCCCTCGACATCAGCCAGCACAGGATTCTGCAGGTCGCGCCACTTGCTCTCGACACTCACGTCGGCGCCTCGCAGCGCCATCTTAAACTCAGCATTCATGTTTGCCGCGAGCACGAGCCGGTGCGGCTCCGACGAGAACGACGATAGCTTGTTGAAGCGGTCGGCGATCCCGCGGATCGACGGCAGCGCCGGCAGGTAGATGTGCACATCCGCCTCGGGCGCCCGCGGCTCGACAATGTTCTCGACGGAGGTGGCTGAGAGAACGCGCACTGGGATCTCCTGTGTAACGAGGGTGTTGCCGACGAGGAAGTTGGTCGTCGACGCTGTCGTGATCGTCAGGCAGAGGATGGGGACGCCGTCGGATGCACGCTTGGTCAGGCGCAGGACGGCGTCGGAGGCCGAGGCGCACGAGCGCAGCGCCCGGTGCAGCTGCGAGAGTGGGACTTCGAGGTTGATGATGTTGTTGTTGGCGGAGGAGATGCGATAGTCATCGAAGAGGGTGGGCTAGTGGGGAGGTGTTAGCTCGGGAAGCGGTGGAACGGGATGGCGGGGGCGGCAGACGATCGTTAGGTTGCTTGGAGGGTGTTAGTTCCGGCATAGCTACAGATAGACAGAATGGAGAGGCAACGTACGCCCACACTTGGGTCCCCTCCGCAGCGTGTATCACGAAGCGGATGTCATCTTCGGACAGTCGAAGCCATGCCACCTTGCCGATTGAGCTCAGCGACTGTGTGAGCTCTGCTCGCGGTTAACTAGTGCGCAACAAGGCCCCGAGAGTCATGTAGTTGAATGCGTACTGGTAAAGGTGTTTATATTTCGCACAGAGGTCTTGAATCGCATCTTGTTGTGAATGGAGAAGTAGATTGAGTGCGGTTAGGATGGGTCGGGAGTGAGTTAGCTCATCGAGTGCTCTGGGAGACGCGACTTGACTTTAGCGCGTCACTCTCGCTCGATTCCAAGCCGCAACACCAAAGCGCAGCTCCGGCAATCTCCGTTTTTCCCCTCCTCCCCCACCATCTTGCACGGGTCAATTTACAGCACGATGTCACCACTCCTCCCGCGGCTGATCCGATGCCGGGCCTTCTCGACGACGCCGGGGCAGTCCCCAGCACCTCGGCGCTCACGCGGGTTCTACGCCGCCACATTCATCATCGGCGCCACCACCGGCATCGCCGCATACAACTACACCAGCCCGCCCGCACCACGTCTCAATCCCGACACATTTACGCCCTACACACTTACCGAGCACAAGCCGGTGTGCACCGTTCCCACACACACCTCGATCCTAACGCTCACCGCGCCGCGGTCCTCGCCTCCCCCGTCCTTCGCCCGCGACAAGCTCCAAAGCGTACAGATCAAGCACCCGCAGGTGATGATCGCGAGGTCGTACACGCCGCTGCCGCCGATCGCGGACGAAGACGGGGGAGAGGAGGGGGAGGTCACGCACACTATCAGGATCCTCCTTAAACGCGAGCCGGCAGGAGAAATGTCTCGATATCTATTCACGCTGCCCCGGGAGTCGACCGTGGAGCTACGGGGGCCCCAGGATGAATACATCCTCCCCCCGCCGGATGAGACCACGCGGTTGCTGTTCTTAGCGGGCGGCACGGGTATCGCACCCGCCCTACAGTGCGCGCATAAGCTGCTCGGCGAGTCGAGGACTTCTAGTATGCGCATCCTGTGGGCGGTGCGGCACCGTGCGGAGACGGAGGGCGCCGTGGCGGAGGAGGTGGATAGATTGAAGAGGGCGTTTGGGGGGCGGCTGCAGGTGGGGGTGTTTGCTGATGCGGAGGGCGGTGTGGGGAGGGGGACGGTGAGGGATGGGGTCGAGCAGTGGGGGGCTGCGAAAGTGGTGGTTTCGGGGCCAGAGGGGTTCGTGAAATATTGGGCTGGGGAGAAGGGACGGTGGGTGGGTGGGGTGGAGGAACAGGGCGTGCTTGGGGGTGTGCTCAGAAGCGTAGTGGAGAGGTGCGGGAGGGATGTGGATGTGTGGAAACTGTGAGATTGCTTGATTTGGGGTGGGAGCATCAGGGTGGTTACGAGGGTGTTGTAGATTTGCTATGGAGTTGGCGTTTGGATGGGTGTAATAGATACCTATATACTTGAATAGAGATTCCCTGACAGGGTGATTGCCGATCAACGGATAATCAGCATCCTTCTCGTCCTCATCCTCCTGTTCCTCCTCCTCTCCACCCTCGTAGGTGAGCAAGTCTCACCACTGGCGGTTGGGTTAGAATATTTGGAATTAGGCGGGGGTTCTTTCCTTTTGATAGTGATATGAGGATATTTATAGCTGCATAGATTCCTCGTCACTTGAGCGATGATAGCGAGACTTATTGTGTGTAAAATAAACACAACAAAAGCAAAGTAGGTATTTGCCAGAGTTGGACCTGAACCAAAACTCAATTGCGCGTGCAAGTATCCCAACAGGAGTAGGAAGGTAGAGTAGAGTCCCTCCCCAGCTGCGGATGCGGCCCCCCTCCGCAGGGAATATGTCTGCGTGCGGCGGTGCGGTGCGGTGCGCCTTCATGCTCCACGCAGTGCTCCACGCAGTACGCACTCCATCGCCTCACCCCCCATACCACCCATTGGCTGCCAGAGTGCCAGCGTTTGCAAACTCTGCGTGTGTGCGGGATCGAAAAAACGCAGCCGAAGGTTCTATTGGCTGCTACCCGGAGTGTCTGGCTATTTTGTCTCGTAAACGGCACTTGGAAGTTGCCGCTGATTTCCCGGACGCCTTTGCCGCTCGCGAAGCTATTGTTTGTCGCCCCAACCGCCAAGAGCCAGCGTTTACTAGAGTTCTAAGAGGGTTGACCCACGAGGTCCTGGGACCCGCGTGTGGGAATTGTGGGTCCCTCTTCACGCGAGAGGGGGACCGACGAGTCAAGAGTATCACAGCCCAGAAAACTGCTGGATGGACCCACGACGTGCTTGCAAAGTTCAAACTTGCTCGCCTCGATCCCGAGTTCGGATTGTCGATCGCAAGTGAGGTGAGTTGAGTTGAGTGCATATAGTATGTATGTGCCCTATGTCCAATGATCCATCCAGCATGCAGTCCTTTATGCTGCCAATCGTGTAGAGTAGGTAGTTTGACGGCGACGGCATTCCCCACTGATCGCAAAGCGCAGAGAGGCGGAAGTGAGCGTTTTCCGCTGCTTCCACTTCTCCACTTTGTATGCGAGTAGAGTAGGTCTGGTGTTTTGATAACCTAGCCATAGCCATAGGGAGTTCATATATGATTTTACGTGATGCGGTGTTTTTCTTCTCACTGTCGATTGACAATCTGTGATACTGACGCCATAACCAACTCCGCTGTACCAAAAAGGGCCAATAGGGGTATTCAAAGTGAGTGGAGATGGCCATAGGTATCCAGAGAAAATCCCATACCGAACCATACAGTAAACATCTAGATAACTGTACTCCGCGCAAAAATGTCAAGGGTGTAGCCGTGCCTGAAAAGTGCACTTTACTGCAATCCCCCACGTGCCCAACCGCGCCAGTCAAGCCTCATTGATGATTGTCGTCCATCGAGACTTTCCATCCTAGCCACGCTGCTGCGCACGATCACCTTCATCGACGCTACCTGCTGAAGCTATGAACTCCATTAATATTCTGTAGAATACAACACACCCGCAGACCCACATAAATATTAAACGCCTGCTACAGAGGTTTTTTCTTCTTCCTTTCCTCTTGCTTGTGACTAGTAGGTAATAGACGCAGCTGCACTGTTCGTGTTGGATTTCTCCATGCGCATCTGAATAGGACTCGTACATACCATACATACATAGCTCAGCCATCGATTGGAACACCCTGTCCGTGCGTTTATGTCGATACTCTAGATGCGAGTGACGTGGTAAAACCGAGCTCGCGGCGGAGAATGCGGAGAACGCGAGTATGTGCTGTAGAGTAGAGTAACTACCGTGGGAAACAGGAAAGATTGTCGATCCGCGGGATCTGGGTATCGTTCGTTTTGCACATGCATGCACATGCAGACACCCCATCCGAGCCAGATAACCACCAGCAGCAGCAGCATCGTCACACGGAAACCACCGTTGAACTTTGGGACGTTAAAATCTCTACGGGGCGCGAGTTTGCATGGTGTTTGTATGGCGCTGGTGGGCTCCCTGGAAGCAATCGGCGTTCACATAGGACATACCTAGCCACTACCGGTATGCTGCTCAGGCCGCCGCCGCCAGAACCATTGGCACTGTTTGGCAACACAGCAACAGGCGCAGGCGGACTTGAAAGTTTCCGGGCGGGCAGGCCGTGTACCACCGTATCGTACCGTTACGCAGCCCTTCTGGACTAGATTTCCTCGGTTCATTCCGAATCGGATCGCTGCTGTGTAGCAGCCAATACCATGTGCCGAGAAATTAGAATCAGAACCCGTCGGGCCGGGAGATCCATCACCCATGCCATACCGTATATGCTCTACCGTTCCGAAACATTGCCGGACTGCGTGGGGAATTTCGACCGGCCTGGCTTCGGGCCTTCGGCGAGATTTCGCTTTACGAAACCAGTATTCGACATAGTCCAGTCCGTCCGTCCTGGGCCTCGGACCGGACTGGACTGTATCTCGGCAGTCCGTCCGGGAGCGGTGTTCGGACGGACTAGTCCAAAATTTTCGGAGGTCAGGACCGACTGCAGTCCCCTCCAGTCCTTGGAATCCATGGACGGGACGGATTACTTTTCGGCGGTCCGTCCGAAGGGCCGAACCGGATCTTGGCAGACCGTCTAGTCCGGATTGCAGTCCCAACCGGACTATTTCGAACACTGTACGAAACAGGCATAGGTATGCGCCGATGCGCGCGGGCTGCAGATATACGAACCGACTCCGTAGGTTCGCTCGGAGAGTAGGCGGTCATGGAGCATCACCCGTCGCTTCGGTCGTGGCCGAACTACAATTGCTGGACTGCACGGTGGTGGAGCAATGCGTAAAGTTCATGGGCCCTGAGAGTCTCTACCTCATCAGCTGGGGATACAGCAACACGGCGTACATATGTACAAGGGAACTTGATAGGTTGAAAGGGATCACAGAGCATCACGGGATCAATTGGATTCAGTGTTCGACATTGTCCGGTCCGGACTGCAGTCTGGACTGGACGGACTGCCAAGATCTGGTCTAGTCCGGTCCCTTAGACGGACTGCGTAAAACTAATCCGTCCAGTCCATGGATTTCGTGGACTGGGTGCGGACTGCAGTCCGTCCTGCTCTCGATTTTTTTGGACTAGTCCGTCCAAACATCGCTCCCGGGCGGACTGCCACGATACAGTCCGGTCCAGTCCGAGGCTCAGGACGGACGGACTGGACTATGTCGAACACTGTTGTCGTCGGTGGTGTGCGACGCTCCAACCGCGACAGTTAGCAGACCCTCTGCGAGTCGCTATTCAACATCACCGTGCAGTGGGCCGTCATCGCTCCATTGAATCTTGCCGTCTGTGAAGTTGCAGACTAGCGGGTTTTGCAAGGGCTCTTTGCCAATGCCTCTCCAATCCGACAGGCGTGACGAGGAAGAGAGCACACACAGAGGAGAGAGAGAGCGGAGGTGAGGGGTTAACCGTCTACCTATTCAATAGATGATGATCAAAAAAGAAGAAGAAGCAGAAGAAGAAAAATAAGAAACCCCGTCATGCCCACCAATGTTGATGCCCACTACTGACCACATTCGTTTCCTCCCGCCGACAGCTCCTACATTACTCCGTCACACGGGCATTCGAGGATCTTGAGCGTGGCCGAGTGATCCATCGATGGATCTGCACTCGCGCATCGACGCTGATCGAAGCTTGGAAGGCCCAGATCGATGGACCCTTCCTCCCTCCTCCTCTCTTAAGTTCAACATCCCACTTCGAGATCTAACCTCATCGCTACGACACGAATATCTCGGAATATCCGGAATATGGCTTTTCCGGCAATGTTTTGTCATTGAAACAGTTGAAGTTCAGTGTCTAGTATGCCAGCGAGTACCTACTAAAAAAAGGTACGGGTACCCAATCCCCCTAGGATAAAACTTACAGCTACAAACAAACGTTCCTTGATAATCTTCCTGTTTCATCCGCGTCTTAGTACTCCCACGTTGCTCTACCTCTCGGTGCTGAATACGTCACGACTAAAAGCAGTTCAGATACGACACTTTGAATTCAATGACAATCTTACTTTTCCCTTTTGATCTTTATAGATCCGCCGTGGTGTAGTGGTTAGCATTGGTCGCTTTCATCTTTGACTCCATTCGAATTGAGAAGAAGTGCCGACTAGACCCGGGTTCAATTCCCGGCGGCGGAAGAATTATCTTTTTATTTTTCTTTTTGGCCTTTGTCTGTCTGTCCGGTGATCCCTTGACCGTCCCGGAAATGAAGGCTAGTTAATAATGAAGGCTAGTTAATGGCCGAGCTCACCGGACCAACCTATGCACCCCTGTGGAGATATGCCGAATTCCGTTCCGACGATCACGGTGAGATAGGTATGTTGGAAAGTGGAGTCCGATGTTCCAACATGATTACTCTAGTTGGCGGCATACCGGTGGACTCTTGGATTACCGGCGTTCGGTATTGAGTACTGTGCCGTGCATGGGCGAGACGGTGAAGGCGATTTAAAGTGCTCCCACAGCGTTTCAGACATGCAGTTAATTTATACAGCTCTTTGTTCCTTTAATCCTCGTGGTGGAGGCCGACAATAACGGATTCACGAGATATCACTCAATACATCTAGAACATCACACTCGATAAACCCAGTTCGGAGAGGACGAGCCGGTCAATTCGTCTCAGCGCTCTCGGTATTAGTTACGAACATACCACGCATCATGATCACCTACATATCGTTCCATTTGTACGTTGCTGTAGCTACTAGCCCACAGTGAATACATAAATAATCATTCCAACGCTAGCACCGCCACAACCACGCTTATGCCCAGCCAGTCTTTGAATATGCATGTATCCATTCAATTTCAGGCTCCCATGCCAGGCTGAGTTGTGTGTTGCGGTAAAGGCCCTTATGTCACAAACGGATTTAGAGTGGCTGCTTGAGCCTTGACTGGTGCCTGGCCTTAGTTACTTACCGGACCCTGGGGCCTGCCGTATGCCGGCGCGGCGTGCATGCTTGGCCATCATGCTATGCAAGCACCCCGCTGAGCTTGCGGACTCGGCGATCGGCATCCCGCTGGCAATTATATATCCGAGACGTGGATGTAAAGATAGATAAAGAATGTGCACTCTCAATCAGCTACCCGCACCGCGTGATGCATGTACCATCACACGAGGACTCAGGAGTCCCGTAAATACACAGGCATTCCATTGTCCATAGGTATCTTGCACAAAGGAAGGTTTCAGGTGAGTCCAGAAGGAGATCCCGAGGGAGACGGAATGCCGATCGTTTTAACTCCGGCGAGGAATCTGAACATGCTACATATGGTACTTTTGCCAATCAAACCTGACAGATGGCTTGGGATCCGGAGTAGACTCGTCACTCCCCAGCCCTCATGACACAAGCTCGACAAAGGTCGACCCAACATGCTCGAAAATAGACAACATAAGCGTACCTAACTTCTAAGTCCTTAGTTAGTGTGGCACGGCTACACATGTGGCGCGGTGGAGCACTGTGGGGTACCTTGTCCGTATAGTACCACCCGCACGGACCGGGATAGCCTGCCGGTGAGGTAGTATGGACGTTGGTGTATAAATCGCCTGTTCCCGCCTACCACTTAACCTCCATCTTCACCTTGCAGCTCCTCCTCATCCATTCACATCTAAGATCATACAGAGTCCAAATCCACCGACCTCTCCACCACCTCAAATCGATATAATGCAGTTCACCCTCTCCACCGTCCTCTTCCTGGCCTCGACGGTTCTGGCCCTTCCGACACCGCAGGCCACCAACGCCCCCGCCCTCGGTTTCACTCCCGGCCTGGACAACATCCCGGACAATTGCATCGCCAACCCCTCCTTCAACGCCTGCCCCGCGCGTCTCCCCAGCGGGAACGCCCTCGTCACGTCGCTCAACGTGGTCATCAACGACGTAACCGGCTCTGTCTCGAAGCCGCCCAACATCATCTTCGCCGGCTTTAGCCGCGCCGCGTCCGGCACAGGCCTTAGCGAGTCCTCGACCCTGACGATCTTCGACTTCCCCGCCGGCCACACCGACAAGAAGTGTCGCTTCCAGCTCGTCAGCGACGCAGGCGACAACACCGCCGGCAGCCCGAACATCTACAACGTCTGGAGCTTTGTCCCCGGCAGCGGCGAGGCGACAGAGTCATCTACGTGGTCCAACAAGCCGGCGAGGGACCAGGTGGTGGCCACTTTCATCCTTAACGAGGCCGATCTGGCGGCTACGACCACGAATGAGAAGTTCTTGCACAAGTTCGTTTATGGGCCCGGCGAGGGGTCGACGAGGGTCGAGGAGCCGTTCCCTTGTCCCGCTGGAGGGAAGATTGCATACGAAGTGGCTGGGGCGATCAAGGCGCCCAGTGATGGCGGGCCGATGAACATCGGAGGCCAGTCGGGGCTCGGGATTGAGATTATCGGACTGGCGAGCAAGTGGGCTTGAATGGCTACTCTTCTACCGTAATGTATAACCGGACTAGGTTTTATTTTTTGTTTCTGTATGGCTTTGGGATGTATTCATAGAGTTGGCGTTAGGTTTACCACATGTAATAGCGTTGTTTTGAGGGGGAACATTAATTAACATACCCTATAATATTAGAACTGTATCTTTAATTCAGCGTCCCGAATCGTGTATCGGCATCGATAGCCAAGTATTGGTGATGGTAGATGTGATTCGTCTCGTTCATTGCTATTGTTAGGCCCAAACCGATGACCCTCCTTCTTCAGGAAACACAAGAAGCAGTAAAACGCCCACTGGGACCGAGCCATGCCCCAAGCAACGAACGGAACGAATACGATGAAATTTGAGTCACAGGAACGAGAGAGCGAAGAAACACCAAATGCTGAAATACCGAGCCTTCTCGTATATTGAACCGGGTTAAAATCAAGCTCGTCGAGGTCGTTAGTGAGCAAACCTGGTAGTCGGAAACCTTTTACTGGGCTTCTTCATGATACTCTTCAGCTTGGGAGCCTTCTTGAGTTCCGGTTTTGCCTGGGGAACCACATCCCAGGTGACGGGGTTCACGCCGAGACCCATCAGCTCCCGAAAGGTGATTCCCTGCGCCAACCCGCGCTCCATCCAATTGAGTTCGTATTCGCGCCTGGCAGCCAGAAGCGCAACGCACGCCCAAAAGCCGCGCTGTCCCGCTCGGATAAGCGGAGTCATGTTGTTGTCGTCTCTCCTCTTGGGATCGGCACCCCTGGCTAGCAGGTACTCGACCACCTCGGCTTCCCCGTTAGCAGCGGCACGGTGGAGCGCTGTCTCTCGACGGTTCGTCAAGAAATCGATCGAGTTCTTCCGCCGCTCCAGCTCGGAAACCATAAGCTGGACGGCTTCGAGTTTGCCTTGATCCGCGGCGATGTGGAGGGCCGAGACGCCGTCCTGCGAGAGGTAGGTAACATTTGCGCCGGCGTTCAGTAAGACCGTCACTAGCGGTACAAAGTTCTTAGCCACGACAGCATTCTGCAGGGCTGACCACCTCTGCGAAGTCCAGTCGACCGCGTTGCAGTAGGCACCGCACGCCAGATAGTACTTGACAGCCCCGAAAGACCCGGCCATGGCAGCACCTAGCATAATGTAGATGCGAGGATCCCTTGGATAATTATAATCTGGAGTCTGGTAATCGACCAGACGATCCCAAAGAGCTGACAGCAAGAGGCGATTGATCTTCTTATTCGTGACGCAGAGGTTGGCCAGCGTTCCGTCCGGGACGTAATCGGAAATCCTGAGAATAAGATTCCTATCCAATCGTAGGAAGGGCTGGAAAGTCTGTTTGTGCTGTCGCCACTCGGAGTCATGGCTTCGTCTGGAACAATGATGGGTAAAATGAGGTCTTGGGGTGTACTCGAAGACGGATGATTGCACTTTGGTCGGAAATGGCGCCTTTACCTTCTCATCCTCCTTCCGCTCCTCATCCTCCTTCCGCTCCTCATCCTCCTCCTCATGTTGGCTATCGTCGCTCGCCAAAATTATCCTGGTCTTCTCATCCTCGAGGAAGTGCACTTTTCTGGTCCGAAACCTCCTCTTCAATGCGGGAAACATCGTTCGGTCCGGGATGTCGGTATGGCTCGGTCTTGTACCCGTGAATAGTATTTCTTAACACTCTAGGATAACTCTAGTTTGCGACGGGTTAGCAGATACTAACCTGTTGGATACGTTTACTTACTTCGAGTTCAAGGCACTTGATACAACCGATGATGCCCGGAGAAAAGAAGAGCCAGCGCAGCTTATATGCTTCATTGAGTCAGCGAAAGCCACGGGTGCTGAGTGAGAGCTCCGATCCCAGCCTCCGCAATCACCAGTCTTAAACCCCCATGTGGGCAGTGAAAGATAGGCAAAGCAGCGGGTTTACTAACGTTAAAACTCCGTATAAAGGTTTCGATGAGTCTGACGACTCTTAGGATTGAATTTCCCCGTTCAAATGCTGTTGTCTGCTATTGAGAAGATTCAAGAATTAGCTGCGCGATCCATGAGGAAAGGCAGGTGAGGTTGAATAGATCCCTTACTTGGTCTTTTCTTTCTCCCTCGGTTCATGAGCCGAAGGTTCTCGTCGGCAATTTTGGAAGTAAAGACCGTCGGATTTCGAGAGGCTCGTGAATAGTCGGAATATTGCCCTTTGCTGAGTATCCGAGGTATCCGTGTGGAAGTGTAAATAGAGTCGCACAAAGTAGATGGTAACTTATTTTACCGGGAGACCGAGAAGTTACTCCAAAGTCTTTGCGGGGGTGGATATGTGATTGTGATTAGGATGGATAGTAACTGAGGAGAAACGTAGAAAGAGTGAGTACGAGAGATGAATTTGAGTGGAGAAGGATAGATTTCTGTTCGCACGAAAGAGGGTTGTTTGAGAAGGGGTGTGTTGTTTGAGAAGGAGTGTGTTGTTTGAAGAAACGAGTGAAGAATGCAGCAATAAAGTTGTGATTTGTGCCAAGTCGAAGGCAGAGAGGTTGCGGTTCTCAGACCGTCAGCCTCGATGATGGGCCGCGCAAGATAACAAGAAGCACTATATGTCACTCGCTTTTCGCCATTATCAAATCGAAAGTGTTATCTTGCGTTCGAAAGTTGTCGCCATTACAATCGGGAAGGTTTAGCGCTCAGTAACGTCACCTGATTCTTACGGCTCCGCCGAGGATTCAGAGTTGCCGTCGGAAACTCACTCACAGTCACCTCAACCTGTCACTCTCACCAATCGATACCTTGGGCAGGAACAATATCATCAGGAATGACCAAATATTCGCTACTAATTCCCGACGATTACTCAGAAAACAAACATGGTATATTCATCTAGAAACAAAAGAAAGTAATAATCCCCGGCAAGCAACCTTTTTGACCGGCCTATACCTTAACCAAACCAGATCTAAACATTGGCCGCATCTTCCTCACTCCCCCGGCTATACTCGACGCCTCAATTCCTTTCGCCCTTAGAACGCTCGATGCGATCCTTGCCGTATCGCCGTCGCTGCAAACCAGCGTGACAAACCTGCGCTGGAGACCCGCCAAGAGCGCAGCTGAAAACGGTGTTCCCTCGGGACTGAAGATCTTATCCAACTCGAGCCACTGCTCTTCCAGTAGCTTCGGATCGTCAAAGGGACTCGGAGCATCGGTACCACTGCGCGACGAGGATAGCGGGAGGTTGATGGAGTCGGGCAGATGCCACTTGTTGAACTCGGCTGTGGCACGTAGATCGAGCACCATCACGTCCGGCTGCGCTTTCAGTGCTTTCTCTTTATACTTTGGGGTGTCGAGGTCTGAGTCGGAAGAGTCCGAATCCGAGATACCACTGTCGTAGCTGGTGTCGGCTGGTTGGTAGAGGCGTGCAAAGGCATCGACCGGCTCGAGCTCCCAGGTGCCGTCATATCGGTACAGATCAACTTTGTGAAGGTTCTGGAATCGAAAAAGTCAGCACCCACATATCAGCATGAAATCAGTCTCAGTCTCACCTTGTTGGTGATGGGCGGGAAGTGCTCCTCTCCCAGCTTTGTGTAGTACTCATCCATATGTTGATACGGCAGATCACAGCACAGGAAAACACAGTGGATCTCTCCATCCTCGCCAGCAAGGTCATTAAGCTTTCCAGCAGCATTCCGCTTCTCCAGGAAGTTCAAGAGACCCTTCAAGTTAAGCCCTGATGAGGGTCCGCAGATGAGTCCTTCGCGAGACAATTGCAGCGAGAGAAGGAACGAGGGCGGAGATTCGATTTCCTCGATGGTGTCAATGATCTCGCTCCAGGCGAAGCTGTCGCTCAAGAGTGCTTTCGAGCGAGGGCCTGGTACTCGGTCGCCTGCGGCTGTGCAAACTCCTACGATGGTAACGGAAGGCTTGGTTTTTTTGATGTGGGCTCCGATGCCAGCCAATGTACCTGGTTATATCACGCCGTCAGAAACCTCTCGCAGCTATTCACGGGCTATTTAAGACATACCAGAGGTTCCCATCCCAGTGGCGAAGACATTGATGTGTGGAAGCTGGGCCATGATTTGAGGTGCCGTCCACCGACCATGTGCGGCTGGGTTCTACAAAGACTCAGTTAGACGAGAGCCCTCAGCCAAGGAGGGTTACAAATGCGTACATCCGGGCTATTGTACTGGTCAGGATTCAAAATCCCATCGTCGCCCTGCGCGGCAGTCTTGGCCCTCCAGATTCCTCCCCGACTATCTGTTGGGTCTGGCTGGGCAGGTCCTCCAAAGAGGGTACTGAAGACGTGATATGTGAATACATTGCCTAGATCCAGAGGTTGTCCGATTCAACTCACAGGTTCAAGCCAAAGAAGCGCAGAAGTTTCAACTTCGGCTCGCTCGTCTTATTGCTGGCATAGGCGTGGACATCGTCGATTCCGTGGACCGTTCGAGCAATCAGTGCCATCGATATAACTGTCGAACCCGAGCTGAATTCCACTATCCGTTTGGTCTGTGGCGTCACTCCTTTCTGGAGCATGTTGAGTGCTGAATGGAAGAAGCCAGTCAGTAACTAATCGGGGCCACACGGGAGCAGTTGGTGGGAATGCCCGTACCCGGCATCGACTTGACGTTGTTTGCCGGCAGACAACTCATCATCTTTGCGTATATCCGCACACCATCTTGTCGGAATGGGTTCAACCTGTCTGGAATCTCGACGAGCGGTACTGGGGGCTGGAAGTCGGGGTCATAGTATTTGACCAGTGAGTCGCGGCCGGTATAGACGTTGAGAGGGTTTGAGGCCGACATTGTGCTTGTTTACTTGGGACCGAGAAGATGCTGGATGAGGATAGGGAGATGAGGAGATGAGGAGATGAGGAGATGTGGAGATGGGGAGATGGGTCTCCTTTATATTACCGTATGATTTATGCCATTGGTTGCAGGGCTGGACGATCATTGATATGGCCGCAAAATTTCACGACGACCAAATCATTCGCCTACCACGGCCATTCCATGTAATCCGGCTGTTGTGATATACATCAGCCTTAGCGACAAACCTTGAGCCCATTCGAGCGCATTAATTATTTCCAAGTCACACTAAACTCTTGGTCTACATTCTACACTAATACATAGTGCACCCCGACGTCGAATGAGCTGTATAGAGCTAATTGTGAGGCCGTTTCCACTATTCCTGCACGATTCCTTTCTATCAGGCATGGGTTTTCCAGGTACACATACGCAATTACCCAGCAGGGTTCGTCGGCCAAAGGCAGCCTCTTAAAGCGAGCTTATTTTTCACCTCTGTGGGAAGTTACTCGCACAATTCCTCCACCCGTATTACTTCCCTTGTTTACTTCTCCTCGATCTCCTTCCTCAATCATATCGGACTGGAAAGATGCCTGCTCACAGCGAAGATACTCCTTCGCAAACGCCGGGACAGCTGGAGTCGTCGGACCTCGAAGTCGGGAGTCCAGAGAAACTGGACGGGAATCTGTTCAATGAGCAGACCCATTACGTGCCCCCGAGGACCATCATTAAGGTATACTACCGAGCTCGTGGTTAAATGTTCTCCCTCCTGGAAAATGTCGCTGACAGAATGTTACGTTCTCAGATCTTCCTCGCATGTGCCAGTGTGGACATGGTTGCACTGATGGATCAGGTTCGTCCAAAACCCAACCACCTAAATGAAGCACACCCACCCCGAAACGTGGTGGTATTGGCGATGGTGTTTTTGATGCCTGATGGACGGTTAACATATCGATATTACCTACGACTCAGACATCGTTGGCGGCCAGCATGACGATCATCAGTTCCTCCCTGAATGCAGGTCGGCAGGCGTCCTGGATTGCTAATGCATATTTCATCACGTCGACCTCGTTCCAGCTACTCTACGGGCGGCTGTCCGACGTATGGTCCCGCAAACTCGTGCTCTTGGCGGGATTACTCATTTTCTTCCTTGGATCCTTGGCTGCCTCACTGGCTCAGAATGCGATGCAGCTCATCGTCTTCCGAGCCTTTACGGGTATTGGAGGCGGTGGTTTGGCTACCGTCGCCCAGATCATTGTAAGTCGAGTACCTTGATGGGGAGCTATCTATCCATCGTCGGATGTTACCGGTGCTTTTACTGACCTTGGGGGACACAGGTGAGCGATGTCGTTACACTAAGGGAGCGCGGAAAGTATCAGGGAATATTGGTAGGATTCAGAATCTGCATTTCTGATAGCGATATCACGGTTTTGCTAACCCCAACACGGTAATAGGGTGCTGTTGTTGCTCTTTCAAACGGAGTGGGTCCCGTTCTTGGTGGTGCTCTGGCTTCGCAATCAGAAGATTCCTGGTAGGAAAAAGCAACAGACCCCACCTGTTAGATAGAGTGCTGACATTTTACGGCAGGAGATGGATCTTCCGATTGAACATGCCGTTGAGTGTCATATGCGCTCTCTGCTGCATCTTCTTCATGCCGCTACGGAAGGTTGAGGGCAGCTGGAAGAAGTACGTACTTCGATGACAGCCGGCTATGCTCTGAATCAAACTGATACAAACTAAACAGGAAACTAGCAGCCATCGATTTCATCGGGGCAGCCCTTACATTGGCGGGCTCAGCTTTGATCATCGTGCGTACCTGCTTGGCCTATCATCGTGAATGAGCCATAGAGGTTCCCATCTAACGAATTTCTTAGCTCGGACTCACCTGGGCTGGTTCTGAATATCCATGGGACTCCCCGTACGTCATCTCCACGATTGTCGCCGGGGTGGCTGTCTCAGCAATCTTCCTCCTCTGGCAGTGGAAGGGCAGCACGTTCCCGCTGATGCCGTGTGAGTGGCTCCAACACAATTCGACGGCATAACTAATGGGTTCGGCTCAGTGCATATTTTCAAGCAAACCATCGTCATTGGCGGATGCTTCACAATGTTTGTAAACGGATGGAACTTCATCGTACAGATCTATTACATCCCGACCTTCTACCAACTAGCATACGGATACTCCGCCGTCAAATCGGGAGCACTACTGCTTCCGCTCGTACTCGTTCAAAGTACGCCTCTCCTCCGCTTCCAATTCCCCGCATCGGCAAAAAATTCTAACATGGAAACTTTCCGTCACCAGCTTTCAGCAGCACCATCTCGGGGCTAATAGTGACCTGGACCGGCCGCTACCGCGTACGTCGATCCCGCACAAAAGACGCGCCCCCAGGGTGTCCACATAACTAGCCGAAACGAACTGACATGCGGAGTATTTTCAGGAACTAATCCTGGTCGGCTGGATCGTCTGGGCCATTGGCTTGGGCCTATTTTCTACGCTGGACGAGACTTCCGGGCTCGGGAAGCAAATCGGCTACGCACTCTTGACAGGACTCGGAGTGGGCCATACGTTGCAGCCGTATGTTACGCGTTCACAACCCACCCGGGTACCATTCGACATGGCTGATCACTCATGCTAATGCACTTTTCGGTTGGTAGGGCTCTCATTGCGCTTCAGGCCGGGGTGGAGAGAAAGGATATGGCGGTGGTGACGGGTACTCGGAAGTAAGTCTTGCCCCACACTCCGTGCGCCCGGCAACATTAACACACACCGATCACAGCTTCCTCCGAAACCTCGGTGGCACTCTCGGCCTTGCACTCGCGGGAACAATCCTGTAAATACCTCCCGTCTCCCTCCTGCATTCATCATTAACATCTATAGCAACAACACAATCCGCTCTCGACTGGCCCCCCTCGGCTACGACGACACCGCGATCGGCCACATCCTCGACGCCCCCACGTTAGTGCTTTCCCGTGGTGAAGACGACGAAACCCGGATTGCAGTGCTGGCGGCATACCAGCGTGGGTTCAGAGTCATATTCTTGGTGGGTGCATCGCTTGCGGCACTCGCGTTTTTCGTCGCCCTCGCTACTATAAAGCAGATTAATCTGGATAGAGATGATGATGAGGCGCTGAAGAAGGAGGCGGCGAGAGTACTTGCGGAAAAAAAGAAGAGGAAGGAGGGGGAGGCATCCGAGACCAATACGATGTAGAGGTCGGTACTCGGGGGAGTGGGTAGACGGATAGATTATAGATGGGTGGTGAGTTATCTATAGAGAGTCTCTAGAATCATGTAAAAACAATCCAGCGTGTTCCGTTGTCAGCTAATTGACCAGGTGAGGGAGATTTCGCATGAGCTTGATGATGCGCCGGTTTGGTTTATCGTGCAGGAGCGCAGCCGGCGCCGACGGGTACGGGTCGGGCTTACCCGGACATGGTGAATTGCAGATTACCTCGTAGAATTCGGACCGACCGAGCCGAACGATAAACCGGAGGAGCCCGCGTACCAGAAAGTGAGATCGCATGATGCGTGCCACACTAAGCGAGCTATCCAGTGGGAGACCAGCCGAACGAATACCGAGCCGGTCGACCTAGCGACGAAAAAAGGTGGTAGATACATACTAGCACTGTCCATCTTCCTTACCGGCGGTCCGGCGCGAGGGGCGATATGTAGGATACCGGCTCGCGGTGGGCTGGGTAAATGCCCGTCGTGAAGAGGCGACAGATTGATTATCAATCCGAGACAGACTACCAACCCCACTGGGGAGGAATTCAAGTTTCAACGGAAACTTCTGTACGTTGCCCCCGACTAAATCTGAAGAAATGCGGGGAAATGGCCGATCCGAGGCCGAAAATGCTTGGACACCCCCCCGCGTTTACATAAAGCGCCGACGATGCCCCACAGATGTAGCATCAAATTGCCAAACCACCGTCCTAAGTTCTCAACATCACACTCAAAATGGCCCTATCATTCCGCGCCGCTCTCGGGATTCAGCCTTCGCAGCCAACGCTGCAGGACAGCGTCCTCCTCATCGTCGACGTTCAGAATGAGTTCGCGCCCCCACCCCATGCAATAACGAGCTTCCCCGCAATCTATGATCTCTGGCGCTAATCAACGCGTGAAGATACGCGCGTGGCATCCTCAAGATCACCGACTTCGAGAAGTCGGTTGCCGCAATCGGAGCGCTGCTGGAGCGCTACCGCGCCACTGGCGGCGATGTGATCCATATCCTCCACGACACGCCGGCAGGCGCGCCGCTGTTTACGCCCGGAACCGGCCTCGACGAGGAGTATCCCACTATTGCCCCGAGGGCGGGAGAGAGCGTGGTGCATAAGAATCAGCCGATATCGTTCACTGGTGGATATTCTCTTGAGTTCTCGAGTGCAGTGACATGCAGGATGTGCGAGGGGGACTAACGAACGCGACCGCTAGACACGAATCTGGAGGCACTGATCGAGAAGACTGGGAAGAAGAAGCTCGTCATCGTCGGATACATGGCCCATGTGTGCGTCAGTGGAACTACTCGTGTTGCCTTCGAGAAGGGATACGATGTCACCGTGGTGAAGGATTGTATCGGCGACAGGGACGTTCCTGGTGCGACGGCGGAGGAGCTGGTTAGGGTTGTGCTCGCGGAGCTGGGCGATGCGCTTGCTACAATCTTGAGCAGTGATGAGATCTCTGCTTAAATCTACATATTGTATGTAGATTTTTTTGTTTTTTTGTTTCATCATTATTAGCATGCGGCCAATACAGTAGCTAGACGACCGAAATAAATGTGCTCAAGGGAATAAAGGTCCTTAGGGCTACTGGTAGTTGGTAGCTGGCGGAAACACATGGTGATCGGTTGGGTGATGTTTTAACCTCCAACTTCGAGATGAAAACGCCTGTGTGCTGTAGTAGGAAATAATGAGTAAACATTTCAATGTTGACTGTCAGGGTCATCAACATCTCAGCGCGTCAGGTGAATCCCTCATGTGGGAAGACTGAGTCAACCGGACGTCCCCGTATAACATACGCATGGATCCCTGATGTGCGCTCTTCGGACATCAACAGCTCGACAATCTAATCGATCACCAAATTAATTAACAAATATCGTCAAAACGCCCTCTCGGTTATTCTACCAACTCTCGGGCAACCCTAAAGAAAGCAAAGACGAACAGACTGACAGTTTCACCCACAACTCCGAGAGGCGGGGTTTGCGTCCAAAGTACTTGGTATGGGCGTCAGCGGATACACTGTGGACTGTGCGGCAATAGTTACATCCAGATAAAGTCCAATTAATATGCATCATGGAATTTTACAAGAGTCTCTTTACACCCCATTCCCACCGATGGATTACAGACTGACAAGGATTCACCCATGAAGTATCACTCGACAGTCGAGAAAGTAGGTACATACTTGGCTTTCTCGTTGTTTATAAAGATCCCGCAGACCCATTCCGAGTTAACCATCTGGTGGCATAATATTTCAACGAGCCTAGACCCTAAGTTAGAAACGCCACCAGGGTGAATTCGGCTTGAGTCCAACACTTGATCTCAAAGACAATGGGTGTACTGAAGATATTGTTGCACAGTGGATGCCCCCCACGCGCGCCCTTGCAGAGTGGAAGAACTTCAGGTCTATTTTGTGTTTATCGGTGATTCGGTGGTACTACTGATATTCTCTGTCCACTTCCCAGTTGTCAGGTGCAATTCAGAGTGCGGTCTTGCGTGTTGTGGCTTGTGTGGCTTTCAACCGTGACTGTGGCGGTGGCTGTGGCGTGCTTGGCAAGACACGTCATGCGTCATCAGATGGAATCACTCCGGCTTTCACAGCCACACGCCACCTACACCCACCACCACTGCCTCGTCCCCACCAATCATCCACCATCAGCTACCAGCACTCTCAACGGCCTCAACCAAGTCCGTGCTCTGAAACCTCATAGCACTCCTCCTCGGATCTGTGTCCTCTGGCACTTGCCTACTTCTAAAAGACTGTCCCTCTATCCCTCTGTCCCTGTTAACCCCGCCAGCAAGCTCGGTGCAATCGTTGCTTAGTTCATAGCTTCAAGGTAGCTCCTCCACCATCCACGAGGCCACATCATGGCCTCCTCTTCTCGCAACCCCAAATACACACCACCAGCTTCACCCAGCGGCTCGTTCTACGACCTCTCCGACGACAACGAAGATGACTACAATACCATTACCCACACATCGACTGGTCGGAGTGTGAAGCTCTTATTCTCAAAGTCAAAGGTACCCCGGCTCGTCTCACCATTTTACCACGTCTAGGTAAATAAGCACCTCTTCTCTAACCCCGCACTGTGATAGGTCTATATCCATCCTTCGGCATCGCAGAAAGACAACATTCCAGGCTTCATTGCTCTACTCCAGCAGAAATCCCCCAACGCTAGCGACGCCGCATCGAGCGCTCCCCCGGCATCCTCGATCCTCCTCGCATGGGTCCCAGAGTCTGCCCTCGGCGATGCGTACGATACGTACGTCAAAGTTGACCTGATCGATGCCGACACTCCTCCTCGGCAGTCTTACCTCGTTCCACCTCCGCCGGCTGCATACTCGCCCAATAGCTCGTCGATGGGAAATTATGCTTTCGCTGTGCCTGTGTCGCAGATCTACTCGATGTTGATCCGGCCACCAAATATAGGATGGTGGTGGGGTAGTCTTGTTATCAACTCGCGCTCCGGGGATTCTTTTCCGGCGTTGTTCTTTCACGATTCGGAGTGTGCGAGTACTATTGCCCAGAGCAAGCGGCGTGCGAAGGAAAGCTTTGATCCGTTTGGCGAGGAAGGTGGGTTGTTCTGGGGTGGTGACGAAGTGCTCCGGTGGCTGCGACGGTACGCGAACATCGAGAAGAGTCAAGTGGAGCCTAGCCTTTACCTCGTCGACCCGACGCCCGAAGATTTGGTGTCATTCATCAGCAAGTCGGTAGTGGACAACAATATAGGCGTCGGGAGCTCCTCCTCTGCTACAGCGGGGATGGACCCCATCACCAAGGTTCTGAAAGAAGCACGCTGGAGTCTTCTGGAGCGCTTAACACGAGTGACACAATTTACTCGACGCACGGCCGAGGACATTCTGGACTCACCGAAAGTGCCGCCGCAGGTCAAGAGGCTGTTGAAGAATCCTGACGTTGTCAACATCCAGGAGGAATTTGACTCCGCAAGAATATACCTGGCACGATGGGCAATGGGGATCGCGGAGCAGAGCGAGCGTGAGCAGGCGAGATTGGTGTGGACTAACCGCGATATTATCGAGCTCGAAGACACGGATGTTGGCGAGTTTGAGATTCTGGAGATCGGCGCGGGAATGGACACGGATAAACGAAAACCGGTGTCGTTGGAGGAGTGGAATAAGTGGTTCGATAGCATCGGTCGCCTCTCGATCTCGGTCGAGGAGGTTAAGGAGCGTATTTTCCACAGCGGTATCGAGGAGGGCGCGGCGCGAAAGGAAATATGGCTGTGGCTTTTGGATGTCTATCCTTGGGACTCGACCCGTGACGAGAGGCAGGCTCTCATGAACAGCAAGCGCGACGAATACATCCGCCTTAAGGGCAAGTGGTGGGATGATTTTGAGCGCCGAAATGGTGATGAATACTGGCGCGACCAAAAGAATCGTATCGGTAAGGAGATGATTATCCCCTTTTTTGCTTCCCGATACTGACATGATATAGAGAAGGACGTTCATCGCACGGATCGTAATATCCCCATATTCGCCGGCGAAGATATCCCCCACCCTGATCAAGACTCACCATTCGCCGAGGTCGGAACGAACGTCCACCTCGAGCAGATGAAGGACATGCTGCTCACCTACAACGAATACAACACTACTCTCGGCTATGTTCAGGGCATGTCAGATCTCCTAGCCCCGATCTATGCCGTCATGCAGGACGACGCAGTAGCCTTCTGGGCCTTTGTTGGCTTCATGGAGAGAACGGAGCGTAACTTCCTCCGCGATCAGTCGGGTATGCGGGCACAGCTTGTGGCGTTAGATCACCTCGTACAGCTTTTGGACCCGAAACTGTATCAGCACCTCCAGAGCGCTGACTCGACCAACTTTTTCTTCTTCTTCCGGATGCTTCTCGTGTGGTTTAAGCGTGAGTTTAAATGGGACGATGTTCTTCGCCTCTGGGAGGTGCTGTGGACAAATTATTACAGTAGCCAGTATCATCTCTTTATCGCGCTGGCGATCTTGGAGAGACATAGGGGTGTGATCATGGATCGTGAGTTTCCCGTCGCCCAGCCTCGGAGAGAATATGGGCTGACAGTGGGCTCAGACTTGAAACAATTCGATGAAGTCCTCAAATACGTCAACGAACTCAGCAACACTATCGACCTCAACAGCACCCGTGTACGCGCCGAGGCGCTTTTCCGACGGTTCCAGCGGACAATCGAGACGGTGGACCGCAAGAAGGCGGAGAGCTCGGGACTGCCTAGTCCCGGAAAGAGACCAGTCAGCAGGAAGCTGGGTAGCTCTTCCGCTAATATCACGCCGAGTGCGACGACTACCGGTAGAGACGGCGGAAAGAAACCGAAGGCGGAGATACCGGATATCAGTGAGGATTTGAGGAGACTTCTGTCGAAGGAGGTTGTCAGGCCGTAAATACTGGGGATAGTATGTGATCGTTGTATTTTTTTTGACTTCAGTGTATGTTAGGTTCTCTTCAATTTTCCATTTTGCTAGGGACGGTTGGGCTGGATTCGGGAGGAAGAGGGACGGACTTGTACGGGTGGTGTTTTTTTTTATGTTGAATAGCGCAGGTGTGGATGGGCTTTGGATCGGAATGATACATGTGGAATGAAATGAACTTTTGGGCTACCTATTCATACTGGATCGTTGGGACATGAGCCGTCACTGCATGAAAAGACCGAAAGCCTATGGATCACATTTTACTGAATCAAAACATCACGAAGCCTCCCTTCCACTTCTCAATTGCCTCCCAAATTTCTTGACACATTTCGTAATGCTCCTCCATATTACTCTCATGCGCAGCGTTGTGCTCCGCCAAAGTAACCCAACTCTGGCACCCTTCCCAAGCCATGGTTAAAGGATTGTCATGTTCGCCTGGTTCTCGAGTGAAACAGGTGATCCTAAATGTCTGTGGCTGGAGCACGGGGGTAGCTTAAACAGTCTTCTCGGGCTATCGATAGACAGAGACAATGCAGCATTATAAAGCCTCTACTTCTATTTCTTTGGTATTCTTGTCCATTCCCGCATCACTTCTCCGCTGTACCGACAGTCTCCGCGCTCTCAATCGCCCTCCCCACGACACCCCTACAAATTCCCTCCACGACTCTTCTCCCCACCACGGTCTCGTCGACGATAGCCTGCACCTCGCGCACACCAACACGCCCATACCAGACGCCCCAGCCATCCTCGCCCTCACCGCCCGGGAGGTAGACGACAACATTTCCGGCCCACTTATGCCCGCCGAGATGGGAGCTCCCCGCAACACTCGCTTCTACCCCGCGTTCCCGCAGCACGCGCCGGAACTCCGCAGCAAGCGGCGGGAAGTACGCGCCGCAGCGCGCGTCGCGCGTGTGGTGCGAGCAGATCAGGATTGTGGGTGTCAGGACGCGGTGGATGGGGATGTCGGATGTGCCCGTGGAGGTGCCGGGTGAGGTGAGGAGGCCGAGGGCGGCGGGCCCGGGCGGGAGCGGGAGCCGCGGGATGTAGTAGCCCGCGGGAAAGATGTGGATGCTCCCTTCTCCCACGCCTCCTTCTGCTACAGGCTTCCCCTCCGCGGGAGGAGGTGTCGCCGGTGGTACACTTGAATTTGTAACCATTGATGGCCGCCACGGATCGCCTTGTCGGAGTAGGCCCTTCAGCACCCCCGCCACACCGTTCACGTCGAACTCGATGCGCGAGGTCCAGTCGTCGCGTCCGGTGGAGACAACGATGTGGCTACCGTACCGGGGCATCGTGCCGAGTAGTGGCGTGTCGCGGTCGATGTCGAGGCCGGTGGGATCGCAGGAACATGGTGGCGTTGTTGGCGGGGTGAGTGCTGTTGTAGCGACAGTTTTTAGGTGGGAGGTGGGTGTGGGAGCGGTGGTGGTGGTGGCGGTGGTGGGGACGGGAATACGGGCGGCGAGGGGGCGTGTGGTGGTGGTCGATAGCCGCCGACAGAGGAGACGGGATGGTAGCGAAACGCGCATTTTGGTGGGGTGAATGGCGCTGATGCGTCGCTACTTAAGGCAGGGTCCTCGGCGTCGGGACTCGGAGTTAGACTACAGGGTACCTATTGTATCTCCGCAGAAGTGCTTGCGGAGCATTGTATCTCCGCTCGGCTTACGGATTTGCGGATTTACAATGGGCCACGGAAGAGGTCAGGGAAGGTAGTTCACAACACTGGGAACCTTCATTGGTTCTTTCGTTCGGTATCCTCATTCCAAGGCGACACCTGCTGATCATGGTTATGCGCTGTATACTTCCCCGCCCTGTGCACGCTTCACCGAACTCCTCATAACCGCCCCACTCTCGCTGTTTTCATCTCGAACTTTGATACCCCAAGTCCATAGTTCATTTTCGTGTTTTCGGCAGTTTCGCGTTTAATGGCAAGCCGAATGTCGCATTGCACGGACGAGGGCGTGCGACTAGTAGGCTGAAATTTCGTGGTCCATGCCCATGCCACCGAGTGCAACTGCAAGGGCTTCGCCTACCGTATCTCGGAGGAGTCGTGTAGCGAGTTCAAAATGCGGTTCAGCGGAGTTGGGCGGTGGTATTCTTCAGTACTAGTATTTGCGTCACACATAATCACCAGACGGCCTCGCCGGCCCAGAAGTTGGGGATGCTAGATATCAGCCACTCTCGTGAAACATCGACTCCTGGCGAAATGGAGCTGAAATTAGTGAAGCCATACTTTGTAAGTTATGGGAGAGATGGATGCCGTTGTGATTGTACGGATGAAACTTCATGGAAGATATGAGATGTGGTAGGGAGCGTAAGGTTTTACTATGGAAGAAGGGGGGTAAAGGAACCTGTGGATTTCGAGTCGAATACGGAGGTTGGTATGTAGAACTTGTCTGCTCGCTTGGGACGACTAAGTATAGGTAGGCCACCGTGCCCCGCATCCCACGACCGCAACAACCCAGACAACATCCACTTATGGCAGCTATATGCCCGGGAAAAGGGTACAGGAGACCCGAACGGACCGTAGCGAACGAAGGTGCGGATGAGAGCGACGTCAGTGAGGGTGGATGATAGTGGGAATGGCGATGAGTGCGTGGGTGGATGGGAAGAGAGCGAGAACATGGGCGGGCACGGTAGGGACGAATGATTTTACATGAAAAATCCCTCCTCCGTGACGCATAACGCCCAGCCTTTACGCTCCCTAGGTACTGTATAGGTAGTACGTCCGGAACCGCTCTACCGACAAGGCGGCGACTTACACTTAGAATAATACCGTGCCATTTGGGTGCGTACCGAGTGAGTGCTGAGTGATTCCCAAACACCGAGGGACGAGTCGTGACTACGGTGCTATCGCTGGCGCGGGCAAGACGTCAGCACCGCGCCGGTATCAAAATCATCCATCCGCTGATTTTGTGGTTTTAGAGGGCAATGGCAACATGTAAGGAAATCAGCTCTCATTAATAAGCCACGCCAGACCTGGTTGCACGTCTGCCAGAAGTTAGGATTATCATAATGTCTAGTCTGCTTGGGACATCGGAAATGCTTTCGCGGAGCAGCCCCTTCCGGCTCCCTTTCGTTCCAAGACCATCTTGGTACAAAGATAGTAGTGGAGTTGCAAGAGCGAAGGGGGACAACGCACAATGGGGCGGGCAAGGAGGATAACGGCGGCCTGGGTGCCGCCGGGGATAGGAATACATAGGTACGGAGACCCTTGGTGGATTTGTTATGTTGATCTCAATAGAAGCTAGGCGAAGACTCAAGCTCGTCACTCGGCACTCGCTCATGGCACTTGTTGAAATTGAGAGAGGACTGCTTGTAGGGAAACAACGAGCTCGTGTAGATAGAGGGATGAAGGTATGAAGTCTCAGACAGAGAATGAGAAGATACATCGCCTGACTGGGCTGGGGGCTTGAGAGGCTCATTCTGATGAGAATCCAGGAAAATTGCTGAGAAGCCACAAAGGCTGCTCATGCGACGATGCAAAAGGACAAAGGACAGAGAAAAGAACCAGTGACACTGGAATAGGCAATAAGAAGTATAATACTAACATTCACAACTCTTCTCAGAAGAACCTTCGGCCGTGTAACTACCGGGTGGCCGTACCTACTTCGCTAAAAGTTTTGCCGGTTCCAAGTCTCGACTCCCGAGCTCAGCTGGTTTCCAACAGCATCGACCTACGGTTGAGAGGCGAGGGGTACCCGAAGATACATTTCGCAGCCGTACCAAGCCCAACGAAGGAACCTCAGCTAGAAACTGCACAGCGTGCCGTTGCAGTGGCGTTGTACAAGTGGCTCCATGTACATGTATGTACTCCGCTTACTACTCCCCAGCCGACTTACCAATGGCACTCCGGGGCATGTCTTTGGAGTGCGGAAAGTACACTTGTGGCGCATTTAAGCAGCTGGACAGTGGGTAGTGCTTATATTTGGCGGTTGTTATTGGTCGCCTGAACTACTCTATCTGGCGGGTTGTTGGCGGTCGCCTGAACTGCTCTAGGTGCTGAAAGTGGCTCGGTGAGTTGGCCTACCTAGTGGAAGGCTGAATCGGTACTTGCACTTGTATGTATCTACTTGGTACATATCTACCTCCTATGTAGTATGTTCTCGCGCAAGCTTGAATGCAGATTGTGGGGAGCCTGAGCTGACATTGTCCCAGTCGTATGGTACATGTTAGAGTCTTGGAGGATCTCGACAAGGACCTTTGGTCCTGCGAGTCTTCATTCACCTTGACCTCTTCATAGCATCCGCAGCAGGCGCTTCCACGACCAAGCCCTGATCCGAAGGCTATCACATGTTCCAACGGCCCATATATACTGTAAACTAATCTTTTCTACCACTGACGGAATATAATAATCATATCTTCCATAGGTGGAGTAGAGTACTCTAGATCTTCTCCAGCCCCATCAATAGTTAAGCGAATGCTACCAAATCGCAGCCTAGTTTTAACTACTGGTCTCGCTTGGCGAGCAATTCATGCAGGTACTAGTCCACACTGCTTATGCGCATCAACGCACGGTCAGGCCGCCAACTTTTGCACCGCCTCAGCCATGCTGTAAATAGAAGACCAGGTGGTCCGCACCTACAAACCCTATTGCACCAACACTCCAGCTAAGATTTTAGGATCCAGGCCAGCTCAGCCCTACTATGATTGAACGGCTTCATACCTATGCAGTGGGGCGCTGTGGCTGGGAACTTGGAAAGCCCCCATTGCTCTGCGCCTCCCAACCACCACCGCTCATGGACATCGTGGCTACCTAGGTTGGACCAAGACAGCGTCGTATAAAGACCTGGTGGGATCGCCTCTCTTGGATACAACATCAGCATCACAATCGCTACAGTCTCAGTCTCAGTCTCCAATAGATCGTCCAAGTTCCAATCGTTCGTCCATCTACTCACACAACATCACCATGCTCTTCACCACTCTCTCCTCGCTCCTCCTCCTGGCCGTCAGCGCCGCCGCCTCGCCCACTCCGGCCCCGCAATTCAACCACCTCCTTCACAGCAGCACCACCGGCGGCCTCGACTTTGTCCCAGGCATCACGATCCCGCCCGTGTGCATCACGACGCCGATCAGCATAGAGTCCGGCATAACCTGCCCGGGCAAGCTCGCCTCGGGCAACACACTCGTCACCGCACGGCACATCGTCGTGAACGGGCTGACAGGCGCATCCAAGAAAATGTCCAACGTGCTCTCTGCGGGCTGGTTCTTCGAGTCCAAAGAGAACCGCACGTACGAGGAGAGCACGCTATCGATCTTCGACTTCCCCGGCGGCCACGACGGCGCCCAGTGCCGCTTCCAGTTCATCACCGACGGACAGTCAGACGGTGGCGATCTCGTCGAGGCTGCCGTCAGGATCTACAACGTGTGGGCGCTGCAGGAGCACAGTGGCGTCGTCGGCGAGGACAGCACGTACAACAATAAGCCGGCGAGGACCGAGGTCGTCGCCGCGTTCACCACTACCTTTAAGGATGAGAGCTACATCACCGAGAACGGAAAGCATGTACACTCGTTCGTCTATGGCCCCGGCGAGAAGTCGTTGAGCAGCCAGCCGGCGGCGACGTTCCCGTGCCCGAAGGGTGGAAAGGTCGCATACGAGGTGGCGAGCGCGATGAAGACGAGCGGGAAAAACGACGGCAACAACATCAATATCAACGGCCACTCGGGACTCGGGATCGAGATTATTGGGGTTAAGAGCGCGTGGCCGTAGAGGGTAGCTTCTTGGTTGTGAGATGGGCTTGCATGTATCCGGCGTTTTTGTTTTCGTGTTCAATAATGTTTATTAGTGGTTGTATGTAATGAGGTATGTAGATACTTTATGAAGAGGAGTTTATCGAATGAAGAGGCCATCGTAAAGATCTTGTACCATGATGAGATGCCGACATCATGATTCAGCACCCATGTTGGACGCAAAATGTGATTACGGCGTAGCTTGAAATACCGCAAAGTTCAGTAGCAGAGCCAATTACTGAATCATCCAAATCTTTTCCCAGCACCGCAAACGACTCGACCAAGGACGTCCAGCGCGGGCGGAGGTATGATAGCAACAGCGGAAAGACAAGCCGCATGAACGATCAATCGCGAAGGACCATTACCGCCCAAGCGATCCGTCCCGACCTAATTTCAGCGCGTGTTGAGTTATCGGCCGACCGTGGCCTGTTCCGGCAGACAACCTCGATACTCTATGCGGCCGCCCTTACCCACGTGCAGCGAATACTCGGCCAGTGCCCACAGAGTGAGCCGTCATCGCTCACTCGGCGCACAAACTTCATCCTCAATCCTCCATGTGCCTCCGCCCTCAGCTGCCGAGAACGTACCAAACACCGAGCGAACCCGTTGGGCGCAATGGGGGCCGAGTCCCGAAGTGATTTCCCCGAGTCCTTGGCTTCAGATAATACCGGTAGCACCAGGCGACCGATCGTTGCATTTGATCGCCAGCACCACACAGTGCACACGGGGGCAGATGATCACTGGTGAAGTCTTACATACCGGTGGTACGTACGTACCAATGTACCAGTGTGCAGCTGGTGTTCCCGAGGGAATAAGCTTTCACCACCCCCATAGTCAAGTTATGAAACCAATGAGGAGAGACGATCTCCGGCCCCCTGCATCCAAAGGAATCACTCCATATTAACAAGTATTTATTGCCTGTGGAATCCCACCTGACTCGCCCCGACGGACACAGCAGCATGCATGGACGGCAGGAAATTGCAAAGTAAAGACCACGATAACTCCAAGCGAAAGAAACCACCCCCCAATGAAAAGAAGAGAAAAACAGAAGAAAAAAAACCTCCCAAACGCCCGTGAAAACCCTCCAAATACATACAGCCTCAGACATGGGGCCAATAATCGGTCCATCTCGGTGTCATAAACGCACTATCTGGCAGGGTTCGCAGACTTATATATCCCTCGACGGTGATGAAGAGGATCGAGACCAGATAGCCCGCCAGCAGCAGAATACACAGCGTCAACAGACAAATATGAAGCAAGATTTTCCCCCACGATGCTCCGCCGCCCACCGGTTTTTCGGTCGTGATCTGCGCTTCCGCATCCATAGACTTTGTTTCCTGGGTAGTCGTAGTCAAGCAGGAGGAGGTGGATGGGTGTCGATATCCCGGTAGCGCACTGACTTCCGCTATCTCGCAGAGGTACACGAGCGATTGCGGCAAATAGTCCCACCCGTGGCATCCGACAGTGCTGTGGTTCCAGAGCACCTTCACCAGATCGATGTGATACGAATTCTTGGCTGCGCAGACAATAACTGCCATCGGGAAGACCGCCATTCCAACGCAGGATAGTCTCCACAATAGCCGTTCGAGCGGCGTCGGGAAAGTAAAGTTCCAGGCGAGTGCGTGCAGCCCGGCGATCACGATGATGAAGAATCCTTCGGCAAACATCATGCCGACTCCTCCCACGCCGCTGAGTCCTGTGCGGTCGTCGGATTTTGACGTTTCGCCGCCGCCCCGGGGTCTTCGCTTGCATTGACCTTTTGTAGCCTGGTCGGTGCGGGTGATGTTTACGATTATGTCGTAGAAGGCTCTGTTGACCACACCGGAGCGATTCAGCGGGGCTCTCGATGTGGTGTAATAGTGATCAAGAGGAAGGAGGTTGCAACTGATATCGCACGCCTCCTTCCAGAGCAATTCCTCTGTGGTGAGGTGCTTCCCTTCGGTGTGATTATAGAATGGTTGTAAAAGTTCATATCTCTCTGCCGATTCGGTCTGGCTGGGCATGTTCGTTCGAGACCGGAAAATAGCATCATTGTCGGTCGCCTGTTGGCTCCCTGGCTGACGCTGATCGGACTTTGGCAGCTTGAGTGCGATTTGGATGGGCTCGTTGACGTCCATTGGCTTAGACAGCCAGCAAAGAAAAATGAGAGCGGTACAGGCCACTTGTATCAGAACATGTACTTCCAACAGACTATACTCCCGCCGTTAGCAGTGTTTCCGAGGAGGGTAGTTTAACATGTACTTGCGTTATCGTGAGGTTGGACCTGTATCGCTGGATGGATTGAACCAACAGCCACAGGGTCTGCAAGGAAGCCAAGATCTTTCCGAAACAATCTTCCTTGTTTTTGTCCATGATCTCGTACGTTTTAAATGGAGGATTTTCAAAGTCGTTGAAGTATCCCTCCTTGAGGTATTCGAGAAAGCCCCTCGGCGTGAGAGTCGCTATGAAGTGGCCGGGATTCCCCGTCGCGGCTGCCGGCTTCTTGAAGCGGGCAAACTTCCCTTGGTATTTATCCTTGCTGCGTTCGTTGGACGTCGCCTTGGATTTGTCGATCACGAATCCGCCCATGACGACGAAAAATGCAGCCGTCATTTTCAACTCTCCGCACCACTTGTCCTTCTTTGTTTGCCAAACTTCGAGCTCCTCCGCCGAAATTTCATGTTTCCGTGGGTGTTGCAACGCATCAAAGTGCTTCTTCCAATCCGTCTTGATTTTCCGTGCACTCCTCCACTGCCGGTATGAAAGTACAGCAATCGCTTCCGGGTTGATGGCCGCAATAACCATCAGTATGGTCCGGTACAAGATCCGACGGCGAGTCGACAGTCCCGAGATGGTGTCTGGGTGCACTGCGGTCCAGACACAGAACGCGAATGTAGCGGTGCAGCTGAAGATGATGCTCCAGGTTCCGCGACCTCCAGGTTCTTTGGCAAAGGTCATGGTACCGAGCGGGGTTGTGTGATTGTGGACCTGGACGCCGGCGGTGAGATTTTGATGGTGGGCGGACGTGGTCGAGATCAGGAACAGGATGATAAAGGCCGACCAGGTGTCAAATAACCGACCGGTACGTGTGCGGAACGATACCATCGTGTGGTTCCGCAGTGGCTCCGTCGGTATCAAGCTAGTAGTCGGACGTCTCGAACTAACGGTGGACGAATGTCAATACGTGCACGTGCCGGGATTGAGGGACACAGCCAGTCCTGAGACTGTGGCTACTAACCCGAGAGATGGCTCACTGGGTAACGGAGTGACCGAGCACAAGAGATGCTTCGCAATTCCGTCGTCCGGGCAGTGATGAACTTCGACGCTCGAAAGACAGGATGAGATCGATCCGACGGTGTTTTCTTCAGAGAACGCCGACTCGCCGTATTATACTCATGGGCGGGGGAGGGGGGGCTTGGGAATGGCGTTGGATGTGGTGGCTGGCCGCAGACCGCAGTCGTCGCTCATTACCTTGCAGTACTAAAGCCCACCCTCATAAAACGTGGAAATTTCGGCCAACCGCGATGAAGCGCAGCGCTGATGGTGTGTCTCTCTCGGTGATTGCTCAGGATTCGGAGGACGAGTCGAATGTTAGTCTTCAGTCACGACGTCTGTGTCTTGTGTCTCACAGATCGACCCAACTGCATATACATGCCAATACAACAGCAGTTAGTATATCCGCAGCCTCGCATACACCGGCCGCACATACATACCGGACCGGGACACCAACCCCAAGCTTGAACATTGAACACTCCCGATGTTATTAGAGCGAGTGCAGCCCGAAGAAAACCACACTAAGGCCATGCTCCTAAGATACTTCCGGCCCGGGCGGCGTCTAGTGGAACAAACAAGGTCCGCGGAATTGAAGGAGAGAGTTATTGCGGTCTGGATCTATGTCTTCGTGACAGCGGCCATTAGGTATAGGTATTGCGGTTGCGCACAGTTGCGAAGGCATGTGCGGGCAATGGCCGTCTTTGGAGCTGGAACTGCTCATCCCACCGGCCGGTGTTGGTGCGGTTGGAAGGCCCCCCGCGCGCAATCATGCATTGCTGTCTAGAAGCACAACTCTCGCTCTGCGCACAGCTTCTTGCCGCACCCGGTTGCTTCTTTTTCGCCCACGATGAAGAACAGCCCGGGCGATCACTTCTGTATGGGTATATATGCCATCAGACTCAGCCCATTCATCTCCACAGAAACTCCGCGGACAGCGACACCAATCTCCAACTGGAAGCGCACCCAGAAGCACTGCACAAGCCAAGAGCCCCAAGTCGAATGGGCATGCATGCAGCAATCCGCCCTCCTCTCCGCCCACCAGCCATCTTCACACCCCGTACGCGGGATCACACTGCCCACAGTCTGTGTCATTCCCAAGCCGCTTCTCTTTCCTGTCCATTCCAGTCTGGTGGCATATTACGAAAACGTTTGCACGGTCCTTGCACGATCCTATAGTACGGTAACCACTGCAGAGGTTGTGCACCGAGAACGAGTGGAGAGAAGAGGAGCAGGCGGAGAAGTCTCACTACTGGCCGGTTGCGATACGTACCACGCTTATCGGTGGAAAGGGCGAATGCGAGAGGGCGCATGCTTGTCGAATGTGTCGGTTGGTTGACGATCGAGGCGCTAGTAGGTGTTCAGTGAGTGGCTTCGTGGGGCTCGCAGGTGATATGTGTATGTAAGAGGACTTAGGTAAGTACTTCCCCACAGATGTCAGAAGTCAGAATCACCCACTACTATAGCGCCGCGGCATCCGACATATTGACACGTCCGACAACCATACTGCTATTAGTTAGATAGTACGTCCTCTCCGTGAGACATCTTCAGCCGCACATCGAGAGTGCCGCCTCCAATCAGAGCTCTTTCTCATACAGAGGGGCCAGACTTCCGTATGGCTGGGCAGTAGATAACATGTATGTAGCAGATGAAATGTGATCATCGGGCGATCTTCAGCTAAAACAACCGATCCGTCATGGGCATTGGGAAACAGCACATTAATCGATTCCGCAACACATCAGTCCTCCCGTATTCCTACATAAGTAGGCAGTGTGAACAGATTGGACCTCAAAGTTCCCGAAGCCGGCTTGTGGTCACGGCAAGGTTGACGGGTTCGGCGACACGATGAATGGCAAATCGGAGGCGGGCACGGCGGTGGTGCGGGAATGTAAGTGGGCGCCAGCGGCCAAACAGCTGGGAGCGTCTCAAAAATTCCGACAAGAGTGCAATGAGATTGTCCCGTTGCTTAAAAACAAGGGAGTCATGGCGCCCCGGTGAGCTTTTCCTGGCACTTTGAGTTGAAACACAACAGAAATCAGTCAGTAGAGACAATAGAATGGAGACTGATAGTGGATCATGGATGGCACTGGGGGGCATGAACAATGGAAACTGTCTGTCGCTGAGAAGCATTCAAGAACGAATAAAGAAACCGTGCCTCCATCAAATTCTTCGAAGTTGAATAAAACCTCAACTTCTCCATCATCCTTCATTTTCGCCGTTTCTCTTCCCAGGTTACGCTACTAATCTAGGTACTCTAGAGTACCTAGATGAAGCACTCAACCACACGAGCCCGTATTGGAGTATTCAACTGACGGCGGTCACTGAACTCAAGTGGATGAATCATGAAAGAGCTTCTCAAAAACTTTACTTGGAGCTTCGTTTGTCTTGCCCTCGCGCAGCCTGTGCCAGAGTATATATTCACAGCACTACCTAATTCATACATAGCCCAAAAATTCGTAATACATACATAATCCGTATTTTCTCGCAAAAACCAAAACAGACCGACCAAAGAAATTCGTATCATACCCTTCCTCCGTTCCTCCTGCAGTTGTCTTTATTCCATCCCGCGGGACATTTATTTCTTATCCTTCTTGTCCTTGGGAGTCTCCTTCGGAAAGAGGCCGGTGAGGCCCAGTCCCTTGAGGATCTTCTCCAGCCCCAATCCGCTGAGGAGGTTCCTGAAGATACCGCCGAGACCAAGACCGTCGAGCTATGGGGAAACAGGAGCGTTAGTCTCCCTTCTTCTTCTTACCAGCAGGAACGGAAGAAATGTCGGGCACTCACCAGATTCGCGAGCAAAGTAAGCACACCGTTCAGCAGCATTCCCACGCCACTAACGATCTGGAACAGCGGGTCCGTGAGCAGATCCAGGAGGGGGCCGAGATCCTTCTTGACATTCGGCATATCCTTGATCTTGTCCTTGCAGTTCTCGATAGCCTGGGTGACTTCACCCGTCAGCTTGGCGAGCGACTCGGCCAAGTGCTGCTCCTCCTCCGAGCCCTCCTTGTACGCCGCCTTGCGAGTCGCGTTGTTAGCGATCGTGCCGTCCGGGTCCAGCGCTTTGATCGCCCCGTGCGTTTCCCGGAGAATGATCGTCGCTTCTTCGATCAAGGGCCGCACCCGCTTCACGAGCTCTTCCTCGTTGAGGCAGTCGGCTTCCTTGTCGCGTTGCGCTTTGTCGAGCGCCTGTTCGCATCTGTCAGCAACCACAACCACTAGACTCGGGAGGGAGGGGGAGGAAACGAACCTCCTTCATGAGGTTGAGCAATGGCTGGACACGCTCCAGAGAGTTATCGATAATCGCCGAGAGCCGTTTGGCGATTTCCTCGCTCGTTTCATTGCCGGTGAGCTTCTCGACGGTAGCAATGGAGTCATTGTCATCGTCGGCCTCGGGGCGCGGCTCCTGGTGGGTAAGGTTTTGGGTATCGGCGGCAGACATGGTGGAATTCGATTCGTTGGAATAGAAGCGGGGGAATGAGACGCGGCGTGTGATATGTGGAACTGCGGTTGTGTCGGGAAAAAAGTGGAGATCGAGTGATCTGAAGTGGAACTGTATGGTTGTTTTCTTGGGATATCCAGTGGATGATGTTGAAACGAAGCTGATTTAGCGGCCGTTGGGTGGTGATTATATATCCGTTGTGGGCCATCCACGAACGTGAGCTTCACGATAGGTACCCTCGATCTGATCCATAGCTACAGGATTCCCACAGATGGCGAACGCCATGACGCCTCTCATGCAGCCACCGTCATTGAGAAGAGGATTGTCAGGAGAAACTGTCGATCCTGAAGCTCGGCCATTGGTTGCGCGCGCTCGTATCGTTGGTTTGGAGATCATGGCGATGGAGTTTTCCCCCGCCTCACAGGTTTTTACTGTGAGTTCTGACTTCACGCTGACGAGCTTTGATGGGATCGATATCGATTTCAAGCATCTTTCCTTGCCATATATATTAACATCGCCTATATTGGATCCAAAGATCGAGATGTGGACGACCGTAGTTGCGCGTGAGCAGTTGTACAGGAGGAAACAGGTCCCGGAGCTTTTGTTCCATGGGTTGAGATTTTACTCTGGCCACGCACCCATATTGAGCCGGGATTTGAAAGCCGATGCACCTTCTTGTTTCACCATCCCATTCAAACACCCATGGTTGCAAAGCTTTCCCATAGGCACGGTCTGACAGACAACCTTCGTTTTCAGCACGAGATATCACTCGATGACGTCAAAGTTCTCCGGGATCATATATTGCGCCGTTACACGGAGCCTTCCCAGTCGTAAGCCGACTGGGAATACGGCCATGGAAGGCACATGGAAACCGCATCGAAGCCGGGCCATGACGTAGTCGGACGAAGTCGCAAAAACCGGCTGGATACACACGAAACACCGCTTATTGCAATATATTCCCGCCTGCCCTCCATCGCGCCCGCATCGTTTCCCCCCCTCCCATCCCATCCTTCCATCCATCCATCCTTTCGCCACTCCAATCCACCGAACCGAACATACCGGTATCCAGCCACCGCCGCCTCCGACAAGAGAAAAAACACAATGTCCGACCGCGAAGAACCCCCCAGCTCGCATTCGCGCCCCACCTCGCCCGCCTCGGGCGCCTCGAATGCCTCGGGGGCAGCAGGCGACCATCCCAACCGCCCGCCCTCACCCGAGCACACAGCGCGGCCGCCGTCGCCCACGCGCTCTCCGTCGCCCGAGCGCTCGCCTTCCCCCGTGCCCGACCGCGAGGAGGCCCCCGAGCCGCCGAAGCCGCAACCTCAGCAGCGGAAGCCGCGACAGCCCGCCGACGACGAGGTGGACCGCGCGGCGCGCGGGGAGCAGCAGGTTGCTAGGCCGCAGAGGCGGCAGCAAAGGGAACAACGGGAACGGCAACAGAGACCGCAGCGGCGGCAGCAGCAGCAGCAGATGCAGGCTCCGATGCAGCAGCAGCAACAGCAACAGCCGCAGCAACAGGAGAAGGAGGGCCGCAGTGATCCTATCTCCCTCAGGCTCGATATCAACCTCGAGATTGAGGTGACGCTTAAGGCCAGGATTCATGGTGATTTGACGCTGGCGCTGTTGTATGTCCCCCCCCACCCCCCCCCGGAATCGCATACAAGCGACCTGGATGGTGGACTGACAGCTTTGTAGGCAGTAATTTCGAGCCGTTGAAACCGTTAGCGAATAATATTCTTCTTTGTCTCCTTTCGTTTCATTGGGTTGGTTTTAGCGATTTCCTTCAGGAGTAGGTATGTCGGAACCGTCTGTATGTATGTACAACAGTATAAGTAGTGTGCTTTGCGTGGGGAATGAATGAATGGTTAGAGTGAACCCCGAAGAGAGAAACAGACAATCTCTGCCCTGTAGGCCGTAGTAGTTGGGCGCATATAGACAAAACTCTTTGCGACACTTTTCCGCTTATATCGCCTGGGTATGGCTAGGGTAGGCACCGGGTATGTACCGTAGCTGGCCGGCGAACCACCCGCTATCACTCGCAAACGAGTCCTGTTTCCTCCAACCCTCGGAGCTTGGTAGTCACTACGACCTACCCAGGTAGCCCAGCTCGGAACCCCGAGCTGTGTAAAAACCCACCATAAAACCCCCCATACATATCGCGTAGGCGAACGTAAGAACGGAAGGCGGGGGGCGGGAGCGCCCGGCGGACAGGACGGTGGCTAATTTAGGAAGAGTGCGTGCGTGCGTACATACCGGTACCGTACGTTGCTATATGCGATTATTACGGTAGAGAAGCAAACACATCGTCACGAATCACCATCTTCACCAAGACTTGTACATATGGAGGTCTAGTCCTGTACTAGGTAGTACCATCGGACGGTATACGCTTCGCCTCTATATGCCTCCACCTCCACCTCCCAAAATAGAGAAAAACCAAAAACAAATAACTGATGTCCGCAGGATTCGAACCTGCGCGGGTTTCCCCACTAGCACCTGAAGCTAGCGCCTTAGACCACTCGGCCAGAACACCTTTGATGCTGTTCGTCTCAGATTACCAACTAGCACGCTAGCTAGATACTAAAATTTACAATGAAGTGAAGAAGAAGAAGACGTAGAGGAAGAAGAGGAAGAGGTAGAAGAAGAAGAGTGTTTAGCAGAGTAGGTACGCAGACCGCAGACAGACCGTCGATTAGCTAGGTAACTAGGTATCTTCGTATCTGCGTGTACACACAAAGCAACAGGTCGCGGCGTAACCAAAGCCAGCAGAAACAGAAAAGGATCCTCAACTAGTCCTCAACCAAGTAAACACAAACACAACCACTCCAGCCAAGTTTCCAAAGCATCACATCGCATTATCATCGTCATTATCAATCACTCGCCCTCGCCCCCACATCCCCATTATTTCCTCTACCTCCTCTACCTCATCTTCTTACCCTTGGCCCCAGGCCTCGGACCCAGAATGAAGAATCCCGGATCACCAGGGAGCAAGCCGAGTTGGGGGTCCTTGCCATTGGCATTGGTAGTCTCCTGCGTCTGGCCGGTAAACTCGAACTTGATGCCCTGCTGGGCTGGCGCCGCGGCAACAGCGTTGGCGGGAGGAGTGGGCTGAGGGCCGCCGCTGGAAATAGAGGGTGCGGATAGCTTGGGGCCGGCTCCGGGAGTGGATGATGGGGGCTGCTTGGGGCCGCCGTTGACAGCCTTCGCGGTCTTGGGCTGGCCTTTCACATCTTTGTCGAGAACAGTGAACTTATTGGCGGGCACCTGACTACCCTTCGCCTCATTCTGTCCGACCTGTCCGACCTGTCCTCCACCCTTAGTCATACTGTTACCCATTGGCGTCGACGGAGGGCTCGTCGGATCCGGCTTCAAAATGTCCTCCATCTTCTTTCCAGCCGCAATTTTAGCATGCATAGCCTTGATGGTCTCGCGCAGCTCTGCCTGCTGCCGCTGCTGAGACGCGTCGTTGTGCATACCCTGGATCCTCTTGCCTGCGTTGGGTCCACGCTTGCGTTTCGCCAGTTTGGCAGGGTCGCGGGTGGCAGGCTGCTGGGAGAGGGGGGTAGAATTTTCGGGATGGGTTGGGGGCGCAGAGACAGGCTGGGCTGGGAGGCCTGGGGGCGGGCGGATGGCCTGGCCGACGGGTAAGGTGGGTGCTGTCGGAGGGCGGACATTCTGCACAGGACCTGGGGGACTGAGGAGCCCGAGAGGGAGCGCGGGTCGTCCTGGAGGGGGGCGAGTACCCTGCACAGGGTGGGGGATAGTTAGAATATTCTTGGAGATCGGAGCGCCTAAAGGCGGGGAGAGGGGCGATACAAGAGGTGCAGCGGGCTGATTGGGGGCTGGGGAAAGGAAGTGGAAGCTGCCGGGCGCCTTCGGGGCGGGACCAAGAGGGGGATTGAAGCCCTGGGGACTGGCCATCTTGGTTGACTGGTTGTTGGCCTGGGTGTTGACCGGAGCTTTGGCCTTTGGTTGAGGTGGAGGAACGAAAATCTTCACCATATCATTAGCTGTGTTCTTACTTCCGGCTTGGTTCCGGGCGCCTACCATTTTCTGAGTTTGAACCTGAGCACTCACTCCCTTGCCGCCACCGGGAGCAGCATTTCCACCCTTGGCATTGACTCCCGGGTGCTGTGGAGCCTGCTGTCCCTTACTCACCACGACCACGGGAAGCGGTGGAAAAGCAGAGCTTGCAACAGCACCCAGCGGCGGAAAGTCGGTATTCTTACCGTTAGTAACTACAGTCGCGTAGGAGATAGACGGAGGTGGTATGCGAGGATCAATTCGTTGCGCTGCCGGCTGGATAGGTGGAACCCGTCCGCCACGAGTTCCCGAAGCTACCTTCGCGTAGGATTTCTGAGCTGACGGCGTGCTGGCCTGATTGATGATGGGCGCAGCTTTGCCTTGATGGGCCTTGGTAGGTTGTCCGGGCGCGAGTGCGCTTGGGAAGGCTGGGCCAGTAGGTATAACGCGGTTCTGAGGAAGCTGTGGGTTAGGGACCGATGCCACCCCAGGTGCTGCAGCTAGATTTACCTGTTGTGCCACGGCGGGGACTGGAGGAGGAATAACCATCACCAGGGAGGTCACCTTCTGCACCGGAGCCGGAGTCACCTTCTTCTGATCCGGAGCCGGAGTCACCTTCTGCACAGGAGCCTGAGCCAGGACTGGAGCCAGTACCGGACCCTGGAACGTAGCCTGGAACGAAGCATGGAACCAAGGCGTGGCCGAAGCCGTGGCTGGAATTGACGTGGCCAAACCCGGAGCTGGTGTGACTATCTTCTCCGCCTGAATTCGGGTCTGAGCCGGAGGAAGTGCCACCAGCGGTTCTGGCAAGGGTTCGACGTCAATAAGGATGGTGTCGTCGTCGATAAAACGCCAGCAGCGAGTTGGAGTAGCCGGGGCTTCAATCTTGATGTTCGGGGCCGGTTCGAACGCCGGAGACGATTCAAACGCCGGAGCCGATTCGAACGCCTGAGCTCGCGGAGGAGAATACTTGGGGCACGCATTTCCGAAGATATCCACGAGATCCTCTGGATAGTTGGCGGTAACCGGCGAAGTGGCGGTGTGCTCATCCCCAACCACCTCCGCAGTGACTTGAAGCTGGCGGCTAACAATCGGGGCCACTTCCACCAGCTGCTCCGCGGGGACAGCTTTTATATGCTCTTCGTTAACAGCTGGCTTGATTTTCGACTCCAGTGGTTTATCTTGATGGTTATCTCCCACGATGGCATCCTGCTCTTTGGCGACATCAATTTGAACCTGTTCGTCGACAACGACCTGTTCCACTTCCACTTCCGGTGTCTGCTGCTCAATCTTCTTGCCACGCTTGACATTATTCTGCTCAATCTTCTTGCCGCGCTTGTCATCGAAGCCAGGCGTATCGTCAAAAGCAGCGGACGCCAATTCAATTTCCTGCTCCCTGGTTAAATATTGCGCATCATCCAACAGAGCATTGCCACCAACCACGACCGACTTCCCGTCCCGCACCTGCGACACCCACTTCTCGATGCGCCTCGTCGCCGCCACATCCATAGGAGCACCGTGGAGCCGCTCGACCGCAGCCAGCCTCGCTTCCACCTCCTCCTGCTCGCCGCTTCCACCGCCGGAGGCATATTCCGCCACGAGCGATCCCACTTCCGCTTCCTTTACCTCTTGCCGCTCCCCTAGGCCACCGTTGATCCCATCAACCCCATCCGCCCTCTTCCACACCTCAACGAACTTACCCACCGCCACGCGCTCCTCGCCCACCGCATCCTCATCCGCGCGCAACAGATCCTCCTTCTCCATTACTCCCAGGGCGGTATACGTCCCGCCGTGGTACCCCAGCTCCTCCGCCGCCTCCCGCACCTGCCGTACGTCGCCGTCCTCGCTCTCGCTCAGGATCTCCTCGGCGATCGCCGCGATCATGGCCGCGAGCGTCTCTCGTGACGCGGAGGGGGCGGCGACGACATCGTCCGCGGCTGAGGCGGATGCGTACCAGGTGGTGAATGTTAGCGGCGGACGGGGTGAAATGTATGCTTGGTAGGCTTGGTGTGCTTTGTAGGAGCGCTGGTTGGGGTCGGGGTCGAAGGGGGAAGCCATGATGTAGATTGGGTGGGGTGGTGTTGACGGTAGGAAGGGAGGGAGAGGGGAGAGGGGAGAAGGTATGTGGGTCGTAGAGATGTGCGAGTGAGCGGGGATGTTATGAGTACTTGGGTGTTTTGGTCGTGAGTTGTGAGTTATGAGTTATCGGTGGTGAGCAGAAGTTGTGTTATGATGAGGAAAAGTCGTCGGCGATGAGTAGGGTTCAACTCGAGTTGCCGGTTATGAGTAGAAGTTGTCGGAGATGAGTTATTGGTGATGAGGAGGAGGGGTTATCGGTGATGGCTAGGAGTGGGCAGTCGTGAGTAGGAGGTGGCGGTGATGAGTAGGGTTCAACACCTGGGGTCGTTGTTTGTGCGTTGTGCAAGCGGCTCAATTAAGAAGTCGGGGTTTCCCACGCTGCCGAGTGATATTGTGTGATGACTAGAGCGGGCAGGTGGCGGGGGCGGGGGCGGGGATCAAGTCGGAGTGCGGGCATGCGGGCTAGCGGCCGCCAGTGCCTGAAATATGCCCGCATCCCCGGTTTGTGCGGACTATGCCCGCCCAGGGACTGCCAAGATTCGAAACTCGCCCAACTCACTTTCCGTTTGCATGATGTAGAGTACCCTGCACAGCCGGTGATGATCGTAGTACCGTATCGTATCGTTTTCATCAACACATCAGGTCATCAGGCCTAGGTTGGGGTTGGGGACTCTTCGCAGCCAACAGATAACACGGACTAGTTACCATGCACAACCGTTCGTGTCACTGCAGGGCACCCGGGGGGACTTCTTCTGCAGGGCGGCGAGGTCCCTCTAGGTAACTAAAGAGCTGCAGCAGTCGCGCAATCGGGAGAGTTGATGTCATCGACCGTTTCTCACGATCACTGCATGTTCCGCACTGTCCCCGCTTTGCTGTGCCTGAACGGCCATGGTGATTTCCATCCCGTGACTCCGATGCTCGTCTTTGCGGTCACTGCAGCTGCCAAGGCAGTGAGTGGGAGCGGGTTTCCGGGCATGGCGGAATGTTGACATCAATCAGCAAAGACTCGCCGAGCACCGTCCCCTCCAGTGTCTCCGCCAATGCCCGCTCCGCTCCGCCCTGACCTCGAGAGTCAACAGACAGACGGACGGACGCTAGGTATCTTGAAGCCAGATATACCGGTACATATATCTAGAGCTTTCCAGACCGAATAATACGCACGCCCGCCTGCACGGTGCAACATCTCCCGTGCCAAGATATACCTAAGGCAATCATTAGCTCCGCCGAGAATAATCCGGCACGCAATTTCATCAGATCATGGCAAGCCGCAAGTGAACGCACACCCACCGTCCGCCCAGCCAGAAATGGCGGGGATCCCTGACCGGAGCAGGGACAGCTAACTAGAGTACCGTAGCTGCTCGCCGTTCTGACCCCTCCAAGCAATAGCCAAGTTATCGTCGTCGTCAGTGCCAACTGCCAACCCCATCCCACCCCGCCTAGGCAGGGAGCCAGCCAGGCAGCGAGCTCCCCAAAGGCGGGACTGCTGCCGCATATAAAGCTCCCATCCAGTTCCCCTTCCGCTACCTATTCCCTTCTGTCCCCATCACCCCTTCATCCACCACCACACACCACAGCTTTACCCACCTACACCCTACCCACCACAAACACTCACCATGTCCTTCCACCTCAGCTCCGAAGAAATCTGCGTCGAGGACAACCGCATCCTCGTGGGCCGGCTGCGCAAGGAGGACGGCTCGCTCAACGAGACCCAGATCGATCTCGACCAGTTCATCGGCAACAACAACGGTCACTTCCAGTGGGACGGCGAAGGTACCTATCCATCCATCCATCCATCCAACCAACTACCCCCGACTTCGCACTTCACCTGAATACGAATACTGATCTACGCGGCTACCTAGGCTTCTCGGGCTCCGCCTCCAACGTACACTTCTCGATCGAGGGAGGCGGCGAGGTTCCTGTCCTCCGTGCCAACCTGAGGGACGAAAATGGCGAGGAGAAGTCCGCCGATATCAACCTGGCCGAGCGCGTGCAGAACCACAATGGAGAGTTCGTTTTCGGTATGTCCCACTCTTTACACTTGCCTGCTGCTGGCTGTGGCTGTGGCTAATGAGGTTGTTGCAGTGTAAATACGAAAACGATCGATTGAAGAGAGCTGAGTTCGTAAAGGATGGCGGTTCTTATTCTTCGTTGTTTTGTCAGTGTTCGGGAGAATTATTGGGAGCCGGAATAAACTCGGATCTTCCATCAATTGCGTCGTTGCCATTCTGGAGTGATATGTGAAGCTGTCCTGGAGCTTGCTTGGTGCTGGTGATCGACCTGTAGCAATCGCCCATCCGGTTCCTTGACTCGTAGTTATGTGACATCAGCAAACCCGTGGCCGGACAATTGGCCATTGACCGTTGATAGCCCTCTTCACATGTTGCGGCTCCTGTAACCGGTTTGGCGGCACACCGCTGAGAAGCCCGGTCGGCCCGTTCCGTATGCGGTAGTACATAGATGGGCCCTTGGTACATAAGTTGTCACTATGAAGCTTCTGGTAGTGAGTGCAATATCGTATGCATGCCACGCGCCAGAATGGACTGAAGAATCCACCGTTTCTGTCGTTGTGTTCTCTTCTCAAGTTCTCAAGTTCTCATGTCTTCGTCCTACATAGCGCACTAGTAGTTGCGGTAACTACGTGCGGCGCCGGCGTTGAAGTGAAGCCAGCCATGTCTCACAGCCCCACGCTAGTGGGAGTTAACTAGCGGCAACTCACCGTGCTCGCCTGCAGCTGCTGCCGCAAACACGCAAACCAAACACGTCCAGCAACCAGCTCTCTCTCTCTCTCAACAACTCTCTCTACATCTCTACATCCCGCACGACCACCGCACGACCACCACCCACGCCCCCCCTCGCCCACCCCCCCTCACCCTCTCACCCACCACAACGACCCCGCATCGAGATGGACCTCCTCTCCGGCATCCGCAAAGGCGACACCTCCCGCGGGGGACGGGCAGAGTTCAGCTGGGACGCGGTCAAGGAGGACAAAGACCGCGAGAACTATCTAGGGCACTCTCTGATGGCGCCCGTGGGGCGGTGGCAGCGCGGGAAGGATCTTACATGGTATGCTAAAACGGGCGAGGGGGATGGGGTTAGTGAGGAGGAGCGCATAAGGATGGAGCGCGCGGAGGTGAAGCGGGCGGAGGAGGAGGCGATTAATGTCGCGTTGGGGGTTGTTATGCCGGCCATGGGGGGGATGGGGGAAGACAATGGGGAGGGGGGGGAGGGGGAGGGGGTAAATGAAGACGGGGAGGGCAAGGGCAAGGGGAGGGAGAGGCGTAGGAGGAGCGACAGGAGTCGCGATAGGGAGCTGAGTCATCGGCATCGCGACCGGAGCAGGCAGAGGGAGAAGGAGCGCGGGGACAGGCGGAGGGATGAGAGGGACTCACATCATCGAGATGCGAAGGACCGGCACCATCACCGCGACGAGAGGGATAGACACCACCGCGACGAGAAAGACAGACACCATCACCGCGACGAGAAGGATAGACACCACCACCGCGACGAGAAAGACGCGCACAGAAGGTACAAGAGCAGAAGAAAAAGTCCCCGGAGACATAGGGATAGGGATTCCAGGAGGAGGGATTGATACGGCATGTTCCGTGTGGTGTTTCTGTACTGTTGCGTTTACGCGTGTTATCATTGTTCCTACATAGCGCTGGAGGTTGAAATACAGTTTACCACTCGGGCAAGCGAGTGGTAAATTGCCACGATGTCTCATAGGTGTTTTATGTCCGCCAGCGTGGTTTGTTCGCCAGTTGCCGTACCTTGTGAATTCATGGACTTGCGGTCTGTAGACGAGCACCCAATGTATTCGATAACCGTGTATTCAATTCGATCCCTTCAGGCTCCTTCGCTATTCAAGAGTGATTTCTCATGCTTCCGCTTAGCTACTCTGTTTGTCGTAGCGCCTCCACTTGTGGCCCGTGCTCCAAGCAAGCTCTCGCGTAGCACCACCCACTTCCTCCTCCAATTCTAAACACCACCCCTTCATCGCCCCAGCTGTCGGTCCACCGTCACCAACACCACCAAACATGTCGTACTTCTCGAACATCCTCACCGCGACCAAAACCCGCTACGCCTCTCTCCGGCAAGGCGACGAAGCCGACGGCGACACGGAGGACGACTCGCACATTTCCCGCGTGCTCCGCAACTACTACCAAGAGCAGCAGCGCGCATATCCTGACTGGCTCGGCCCCCCTCCCAACCAACGCTCGCAATCCCCCGTCACCTCCCTCCGCAACACGTACGGCCGACGTCCCGCAGCTCCCAACGCCGCGCCACAGCACTCCGCCGGCACAAGTCTGAGCGACATCTTCGATGCGCCGGTCGAGCAGCGGCCCCAGATCGGGCGGAATGCGAGTTCGGGCTCTGCCGCGTCGCGTGCCCAGCAGCAGCAGCAGCAGCAGCACCAAATGTTTCCCGACGACCAGCACCACCCCCACCACCCGCAGATGGGCGGCGGCTCCCAGAGCGGGAATCTTACCGCCCAGCAGAGGATCAAGGAGCGGCTGTGGGGAAGCCGCGGCGCTGCTAGTCCTAGTCCGCCGCCGCAACTGCAGCATCAGCCGCCTCCGCCGCCGCAGCAGAGGCAAGGCGGCAGGGTCGAGATGCCGATGCCAACGGGTGGGCAGCCGTATGTCGCCGCCGGAATGCCGTGGGATGATGGATATGGCGGAGGCTTTGAGGCGCCGGCCCCGCAGGCGTATGGTGGTGGGGGAGGTGCGGCGGGGGGGAATATGCGGCGTGGGGCTGCGGGAGGAAGACCAGGGTTGCAGGGTACGCCGGGAAGACCGCCCTACCGGTAATGGAATGAGGCCGTGTTTTCGAGGCGTAGGATAAGCTAAGGTGTATGCGAGCGGCGATTGATATTCATTGGCGGGCGCGGGCTGGGTTTGTTTGACTCTTGTTTGCATTTTACGTGCGAGACTACAATTTTGTTGTAATGGCTGCGTCTATATTCATTGTTCTTGTATACGGCCTGAGGATTCAGCAGAGAGAGATAGTGCCGTCCGCCTGTTGGTGAGACTCTACCTATTCGATTGTTTACCGTATTGGTGCTCTCATCTACCCATACCATATCACTCGCATTGTACCACATAGGGTAATCCCACATCCCTCGCAACCCGGGACTCCACAGTCCAGCGCAGCGCAAACAACGCTGCACTCCGCCAGGGCCAGGTCACGAAAAATCACACCCACTCCACGCTCCACCCTCCTTTACGCCCGCGCGCCATTAGTTATTCCTCTCCACCTACCCACATCCACGCACCACGCTCACCACCCCCCAACCGCCCTCCACCCTCCACGCGCCTCCCAACCTACCCCCGGTCCCCCACGCAATCGTCAATCTGCACCTACCAACTCACGCAGCGGCCGGGGCCACGGTCGGAGGCGATCCAGGACCCGCCGCGCCCGCATCCGCAGCCGCACTCGCAGTACCGGCCATCCAGGGCCGACGGCGAAGGTCGTCGTCAGTGCGCCTCACTGAGAACCCGCTGTTCCTGCCACATCCCGACCGCAGCAAGCCTATGGCGCAGGACTCGAGGAACGTCGATAATCACGCTCAAGCTCAAGCTGCGCCGCCGCCGCCCCCGCCGTCGGTGCTGCCGCCCACGCCCACGCCGAATACACAGCCGGTACAGCTGCTGCTGCAGCACCAGCAACAGCTGCAGCACAATCAGCTGCAGCAGCACCAGCAGCTGCAGCACAACCAGCAGCAGCAGCAGAACCAGCAACAGCAGCAGCAGAACCAGGGCGCTAGGATCGATGTCAGCAGGATCAGGCAGGAGTCGCCGTCGCTACAGCAACAACAGCAACAGCAATTGCAGCAGCAGCAGGGTGGCGGGGCTGGTGCGGGTGCTGGTTCTGGAGGGCAGCAGAATGGCGGTGGTGAGGGAGCGCAGCAGGGCCCTGGCGGCGGCGGTGTTGCCCAGGACAGCTTGAGTATGATGCAGCTCAAGAAGCTGGTGGGCGAGGGGGGCAGATACGTGGTGAGTCTTTGTGGGTATTTTCCTTAAGACAGGGCCGCTGTGGCTGGCGCTGTCTGTTGGGTTGGGTTGGGTGCGAAGGGTGGCAATGCGGCGGGTGCTGATGCGGAGTGTAGCAACCAGAGTATGCGTTTCAATATACTGCGACCGATACCCTGACCACCGAGCTGAGCGAGTGGTTCTCGTACTCGACCGCGGACCTGTCGCTGCTGATCGTCGGCGCGAAGCAATCGTTCCAGTCTACGTACACGAAGATGTCGCTACCGCCGCACCAGACCGCGCCGCCGCCGCCCGGCAAGCAATCACGGTGGATGACGAGCAAGGACGTCAAGCGGCGACGGTACATAGCTCGGTGCGCGGACCTACTCGACCAGGCCAGCCAGGAGGAGCGGGTCAAGGGGCTGGAGGGCTTGAGTTTTGTTGCGCAGGGCGTCTACGGCGAGGTGCATGATCAGGAGGAGCAGATGGCGTGGATCAAGCGCAACAACAAACTGCTGCGGAAGGTCGGCGTCACCGAGAGCGTCTTTGGTTGTCTCCGGAAATCGCTGGGTCGCGAGTGGGAGTTTGCGCAGCAGGCGTCGGCGACGGCGAATGGCCTCCCGAACGGTGTCGATGCCGACGAGTTGCTCAGTCAGAAAGCGTGGAACCGAAGGGAACTTAAGCAGGCTCTTACAGTGCTCTACTTTCTGATTGAGGTCACGAGGATGGTTAGCGAGGAGGAGACGGAGGAGAAGGATATTGGCCTCGACGAGGAGCTGGAGTCGTTCAGAGATGAGATCTCGCAGCTGCCGGGAGAGGGCGGGTTGCTCGGATATCTCATCACGAATATCGCGCGGGTTAGATGGGAGGACAATGTCGACATTCCATTGACGCATCTTTTGATCCTGACTTGGAAGACGGCGTTGCTACTGTTCGGATCACCGGATAAGCATCTTGCCAAGGTCAAGGAGTTCTCCAGGGTTTCTGAAGGACTGTCTTCGGAGGTTGACAAGAATATAATCACTGCCAACCCACTCGATTACTTCCTCTTCCGACAAGAACTGATCGCCAAGTATCCTGCATACAACCCGCCAAAATCGCTATTCGCCTTTGAGAGTAATTCCTACCTGCCCTCGCTTGCAATGCAAGAAAGCTCCCTGCGACCGGGCGGAAACACGGATGTCCTCCTAGGCGGAAAGGGTGGCGGCGAGAACCTCGCCAGCATCCTGGACAAGGCCGTGCACATCGCCACACCAATACCATCTCCGCCGCCGAGTCCCCTCGCTCTCGGAAAGGGACAGAAGAAGCAGAACTACCAAACTAACCAGAGTTTTCCGTTCATGTATCCTCCAGCGGACGAGGACGATGCCGGCGGTGTGCCCAGCAGCATCAAGGAGGCTGGAGACTTGTTTTCGGGCAGAACACGGACTAGTCTGGCGATGCGCCAGCTGTGGAAGGAGAGGGAGGCGTTCGAGAAGTATGGACGCGGCTGGCAGGTCGATGATCAGCTGGATTTGAAGAAGCAGAATTGGGAGCTGGCAGATCGCATTCCGAGATGGGAGGAGAAGAGGCTGGCGGCTGTGGATGATGTCTATGTTTGTACCCTAAGAGAGAGGGAAGGAGTGGGCAAGGCTGACAGGCGGGAAACAGCAAGCTATTCTGCCACAGATGCAGTCGTTGGTGATCGTCTTGTTCAAGGTAATATTGCAAAGCATCACCGCGCCACCTACAGCGCCACCACCACCGCCACCACCACCACAGAACACATTCGTGGAAGAAGATGGCAGAGGTTGGTCCAATCCCGTTTGGTGGTACGATCGTATGCTAAAGGCGGTTGTTGCAGCTCCTAGTAGCGGTGGTAAGGTGATTGTCGACCCGGCCACAGGCGATGTCAATTTTACGCCATCACTATCATTGCGCACCATCTTCGGCAAGCGAAAGGACGGCAGTATTAATGGAGGAAAGACACTCACACCAATCGGCGAAGATCCACCCGATCCAGCTGAATGGGAGAGGCAGCGGGAAAGAGAGCAGGCGGAGCGTGAGGCGGCCGAGAGGAAGCAGTGGGAGGAACTAGATACCATCCGTATGCGAGAAATCACCTCGAAGGCGGTGACGGCACTCTTCCTGGTCCTGCTGAAATGGTTCCGAGTTTCTCGTGCGTCCCATCATTGTCTACATCACGGTATCGGTGACTGACTGGAGTACAGACGTCTTGAAGTTCGAGTACTTTACGCAGCTTCTCTGGGACTCCAACTACATCCCGCTTGTCCTGAAGCTGCTCAACCAGCAAGACGTGGTCGCTTCGCTTACCGCCAAAACCGACCGCCCAGAACGCGCCTACTTCCGGATCTGCAACCTCCACTCCCTCTCCCCGCAACCTCTCACCTCGTCCCCGACCGAATCCTACAGCCCGGACGACGCCTGCCCTCCGCCAATACGCTTCTCTCGGCCTGAGCCGCAGCCTCCAGCCGCCGCCACGTCCCCACCACCACCCACCGAACCCCCCCTCCCCATAACCGACTTCAGCTGGCGCAACTTCTTCACGAGCATCAACATCATGCGAGTTTTGCAAAAGGTCGTCAAGGGCAAATCGCACCGCAACCTCGCTCTCGTACAATTCCGCTCATCAGTGATCCTGCGCAAGCCGCTGAAATGCCAGCAGCGGGACCTGCGCCTCTACACGCTCAAGGTGTTCAAGGGCCAGGTGCCCTACTGCGGCCGCAAGTGGCGACAAAGCAACATGCGCGTCATCACTAGTATCTACCTCCACTGCCGCCCGGAGCTGCGCGACGACTGGCTCGCCGGCGGAGATGTCGACGCGGACGTTGAGGAGGCTGGCCCACAGGAGGAGGCATTGCGCGCGCTTACGCTGTTCTATAATATTCGCCATTACCCGCGCAGCATGGGCGCGGATGTGGGGCTGCTCGAGGATGAGAGGGATTTTTTTAGGAGGGAGTTAGCGCGCATGGAGGAGGCGGAGGAGGGCGAGGAGAAGTGGGGGGGGTGAGAGAGTGGAGTTGGAGTTTATACATACATAAGCGAGCGGGATGTTAATGACTTGTTTTTATCTTTTCTTTGGGGAGGGCTGAGGTGTGAGGTGTGAGGGTGAGCCGCGAGGTGTGAATACCGGTACCTGGGATTATTTCGGTGGTAAATACATTATACATTATACCCGGCAGAGCCATCCTGCGAATTTGGGCCTGGGGTTTCCTTCATTATGGCACTTTACCTATTGCTTTTGGGTTGGGGGTGGTAACTATGGGAGGATATAACTAGATGCGTGATACTTGGGTTTCTAGATGTACCTAGGTGGGTAGGTGGGTGGTAATGAATACATGGCATGGCTGTTGAAAATCGACGGTGGACGGGTTAGTGGGGATTCGCATGGTGATTCAACGACATAATTTCGTCCTCACTGTCAGATGGGTATGGACGAGTGATGATGAATGATATAATCAGAAGGAGGTGGTCAAGCTACTCGTTGTCCACTCTAGTGGACTAACTACTAGTATTGTGGGATTCAAGGCCAGACCCGATTTGGTCACCTCAACGTTGATAACTTGAGATGTTCTCTGCTGCTGCTTTTGTGTTCGTCTGGTCGGTCGGGCTGTCATTCAACACATCAGACATGAGACATTGTCAACACCGCAGAGGTACTCTACTTGGAGGTTATCCAGTCTGAAGAACACTGGCTTCTTTCTTTTCTTGTTGCTTTCTGGTCAATTCGATCGGTCTCACCAGTTGCCCGTACTCTACCCGTCGGAGGTCTCTAAGTACTTGCCTAGTACTTGTCAACGGCACTAGGTAGTAGGTAGTAGGTACTGTAAACTGCAGTGTGCGGATAAACACCGGTCATACATGCACCGTATTTTAAGATTTGAGCCCTCGCATCGTATGTACGAAGCGTGGAGTTTCTCGGCCGCTCCGAGCGTCGATTGGCCTATGTACTTACCTTCATACTACCTGGTAGGTAGAAGAGACTTCGATCACTGTTGTGTTGTGTTGGCCGGACACTAGGACGGTGGGCCGGTTGTCCTACAAACTATCGGATCGATGAGCGGGCTTTGCTGGTCTGGCCATCGTCCGGCTCCAAGTCCTAGGTAAGTATGTGGGGGGGGTATTCTGCTGCTGCTTTTGCTTTTGCTTTTCTGCAAAGCCATTCACAATCACATCCACAATCATCCTTCAGGCCCCCCAGCCGCCCCCCCCCCCCCCCCCCCCCCCCCCCCCCCCCGCGGCGAACCGCAGGACCAACTCCAAGACCAAGGCACGATCGTATCGATGCACGTACGGGTTCCCGAATCCAGAAGCTAGAGATCGAGGACGGGGACGGGGACGGGGACGGGGACGAACCGCAATATACATACGCCCGGTGTTCAAGTTGCACGCTGGAGGCGAACTGCATATTTTTGACTCGACTCGACTCGCGAGCTCGCCTGGTGCTGTGGTGCCCGGTTAGAACCCCGCGGGATCGACTTCGGTTGGGGGCGTGGGTTGTGGGTGCCTAGAGTTGGGCATCGCTAGTAATTGCGGGGAGGGGGCGCGGGGAGGGTGTGGGGAGGGCGCGGGGAGGGTGTGGGGAGGGTGTGGGGAGGGAAGGGGAAGCCACAATACGGTGGGTGAGGTTGGTGCAGGAAGGTCAATGGCCCTCGGTGATGTCACTTGGCAATAAACAGGCGGATTGAGTACCTCCCTACCTAGTAGCTGCTGTGCTCGCGAAGATGGGCGGAGGAGAACTCCATGTCTATGTTCGTCGACTGCCGAATCCACCTGCAGTGCAACCAACATATACCATATCAAATCAGCAGATATTGCTTGTGGTGTTGGGTGGAGGTACTTGTGCATCTCCTCGCGGAAACGACGTCCCGAAGTCGAGCTGCGAACTCTGCGCGTAAAAAGTGGACCATCCTGGTAACGGAGGACGGTACTAATGGCTGGTCGGGCCGTGTGTTCCCAAGTGGCGGATAGAATGACGGGATATGCATATGTGGCGGACTTTATGGTGTGCATGTATGCATGTACCTGCATCGAAGTGCGGAGCAATAGCGCCACTCATCGGTGCATAACCCACACGGTCGGTGGTCGGTGGTCGGTGGTCGGGCAGGAGACCGACGTCGGACATCGAATTGCCGTGTCGGTATTCTATGTATGAGCAGGTACTCTACTGTCAGACGGGACGATGGGTGGAACCCGCTCACTGGCAATCCTCCGAGTAACTGCGTACGACGGTTGCAATTGACTGCTGACTCCTTCGCGCGGGCCAAAGTCCGGTGTCGACTCGGCGTCGGGGGCAGGCGGATGTTTATTTACATCTCCAACGGCCACCCGCAGCCAGCTGCACCCCGCATGGTGAATCGTGACTGGTCAGACTTCAGTTCGCTCGCACGTTACACCGAGCAGCGACCGGATGCAGTATAGTTGTGTTGATCGCCGGGGGTATAGCGACCAGCAGGGGACAATGCCGGACCGGACATCATCCAACAGTCGATAGTTCATACCTAGGTGGATGGAGTAATACTTGTAGAGTACGCCCGTAACGAACTACGAGAGAGCGCACAACACCTTCCTCCTCGACAACCACCACAGATGACGACCATGCATGACTTGGACCTGGAGATGGCAGCGGGGTACAACAGGACGCGGGGAGAACGACGGCTGCCAGCGGAAGATGGCAAGGGGGGGGAGCGATACACAGACGATCTCGCCATGCAGGAGACCCGGAGATTGGTTCTGCAGAGTGATGATTCCGCATCTGAATCCGCCTCTGAAGACGGGGAAGAAGACGGGTACTACGACGACAGCGATGACGATGATGGCAGCGACGGCAGCAGCAGCAGCTTTATCGTCTTTAAAAGACCCGCCCCCCGGAATTGGGCCAGCAGCGTCGCAGACGTTATCTTGACTCGACGGAGAGCTCTCACGATGATCGGACTTACTGCTGCCGTGTTGCTGGGCTACTCGCTCTTTGCCGCTTCGGCGCCGCTCGAACCGCGCCAGGGCATCGCTACCACCAGTCCGCCTTGGTACCCGACGCGTTGGTGGTCCCCATCTGTGTACATACACACTCCCTTCGGACACTGTGGCTAACTCCGGCATACATATAGCTCTCGGAGGCACCGTAAAATCATGGGAGGAATCATACCGCAAGGCGGCCGATCTGGTGTCGCAGATGACATTGACGGAGAAGGGTATGTGCCTACTGATGCCACACCACCTTTACCACCGAGTCCTGACATGGCGTGCAAGTGAACGTTACCACCGGAACGGGATGGCAGATGGGTCCTTGCGTGGGCAACACCGGAGCAGTACCGCGGCTCGGCTTCCCGTCGATTTGTCTCCAGGACGGCCCGTTGGGTGTTAGGTTCGGAGATAAGATTACTTCGTTCCCGGCGGGGATCACGACTGGTGGTATGGCTCGATACATACGTGGGTGCTCGTGAAGAGAGAGAGGGCTGATGAACGGACGTAGGAACTTGGGATAAGGACTTGATGAGACAGCGTGGAGAGGCTATTGCGGCGGAGTTTAGGGGGAAGGGTGTTAACGTAGCATTGGGTCCGGCTATGGGTATGATGTTTCACCCTCCTCTCTGCGAATATGTGGACTGACATGTTCTTCAGGCGCTTTGGGAAAGCACCCGGCCGGTGGTAGAAACTGGGAAGGCTTCGGTTCGGACCCCTATCTTCAGGGTGCCGCATCCTACGAGACGGTAGTGGGCATGCAATCGCAGGGTGTCATCGCCACGGCGAAACACTTCATCGCCAACGAGCAAGAGCACTACCGACAAGGCCCCGGCGCCATCTCGTCGAATATCGACGACCGTACTCTGCACGAGGTCTACCTCTGGCCCTTCCAGGACAGTGTCAAGGCCGGAGTAGGCGCAGTCATGTGCTCGTACAACCGTGTCAATAATTCTGCCGCATGCCAGAACTCCTGGCTGCAGAATAATGTTTTGAAAGATCAGCTGGGATTCCAGGGATTCATCATGAGTGATTGGCTGGCGCAAATGAGTGGAGTTGGTTCGGTATTGGCGGGGATGGACATGTCCATGCCTGGTAGGTTTCCGTGGATTGCGAGCGAGGTGCGAATGTTCGCTGACAGACCTTACAGGCGATGGTTATGTCTGGGACGACAGAGTTCCTATGCTCGGCCCGCGCCTCACTGAAGCAGTGCTAAATTCCTCTGTGCCGATTGAGCGATTGGATGACATGGCTACACGAATTGGTACGCAGACCTAGAACGCGTGGGATCATACCCACCACAGCGATGCTGACGAAAACAGTTGCCGCGTGGTATCAGCTCGGCCAGGACTCTGACTACCCAGAGCCCAACTTCAGCTCATGGACACAAAACGATACCGGTAACATCTACTATGGCTCCTACGAGCCTCCGGTCGGTTTGATAAACCAGCACGTCAATGTGATGGCGGACCATCCAGCTCTGACGCGGAAGATCGCCGCCGAGGCGATTGCACTCCTCAAGAACGAGGGCTCAACTCTGCCGCTCAAGAAGCAGATGAAGATCGGTGTTTACGGCGAAGATGCTGCGCTACCAGCGGGCGGACCGAACGTCTGCGTCGACCGGGGCTGCAATGTGGGAACACTGGCAGTCGGCTGGGGAAGTGGAAGCACGGAATTCGAGTATCTCATCGACCCGCTCTCGGCCATTACCGCGAAAGCGAAGTCGTACGGCGGAGTAGTCACTTCCATCACCCAGAACAACCTGACATCCGAGATCGCCGCGTCCGCGGCCAAGCAGGACGTCTGCCTCGTCTTCGTCAATGCCGATTCCGGCGAAGGATACCTCACGTGGGAAGACGTAGCTGGTGATCGCAACGATCTCAACACACAAAAGGGTGGCGATGAACTCGTCCTTGCCGTCGCCAACGCGTGCGAGAAGACCGTCGTCATCGTGCACAGCGTCGGCCCCATAATCATGGAGAAATGGGCGACCAAGCGTCAAGTCCGCTCTATCGTCTGGGCGCACCTCCCCGGAATGGAGAGCGGCAGCGCCCTCGTCGACGTCCTCTGGGGCGCCGTCAACCCCTCAGGCAAGCTCCCCTACACCATCGGCAAGTCGCTCGCCGACTACGGCGCGGCCGCGGGAATAATCTACACGGAGAACGCAGTGCCGCCGCAGTCGGACTTCACCGACGGCATCTTCGTCGACTACCGACACTTCGACCAGCAAAAGATCACGCCGCGCTTCGAGTTCGGCTTCGGGCTCTCATACACCACCTTCTCATACTCGCAGCTCAAGACGACAAAGAAGGGCAAGCTCACGCCGCTGCCCGCCGCGCGCCCCCGCGCCACAGCAAAGCCGCCCGTCTACAACACCACGCTCCCGGACCAATCCTTAGCGCTCTACCCCCAGGGTTTCACCAAGATCAACCGCTTCATCTACCCGTACCTGGACGCGGCCAACGTCACCGTCGGCGCGTACCCCTACCCCGAAGGCTACACCACCGTGCAGAAGCCCAGCCAGGCCGGCGGCGGCCAGGGCGGCAACCCCGCGCTCTGGGAGGTCCTGGCCGAGGTCTCCGTCACAGTCAAGAACACTGGCAAGGTCGCCGGCGCAGAGGTCGCGCAGCTATACCTTGAGTTCCCGCAGAGCGGGCCGATTCGTTAGCACCCCCTCCCACTCCCCCTCCCCCACCTCCTGAGTCAAACCGTGCTAATGAAAATAGCGTTCCCACCGAAAACCCTCCGCGGCTTCGAGAAGGTCTTCCTACGACCGGGCGAGAGCAGGAAGGTGGCGTTTAAGCTCACGAGAAGGGATCTGAGCTACTGGGACGTCGTCAGGCAGAACTGGGTCATTCCCGCCCCTGGCGTCGGTGTCTTGGTGGGTACTAGTAGTAGGAGGATTAAGGCGAAGGCGTTTGTTGGGAGTTACTAGATGGACGGGACGGGTGGGGGGTATAAACGTGTACACGAAGATATTGAAATTTGAAGATGAAGCAGGGGCGGTGGAGATGGGTGGATGGTTGGTGAATGGGATATTTGAAGTTTTATTATCATTCGCTGCTGGGTGATTGATCCTGCGTGCACTTAAACAGAAACAATGTTGTCATAATCGTTGCCCCGTAGCCTCACAGTTAGGAACACCATAAAGGGTACTGCCATCTGTCTCACGCACAGTACGCCATGTGCGTATGTAGCTTATTGTAGCGCGGCCAATCCACCGTCGGAGTATCCTATCGAGTGAGGTAGTAGTACAGGTGTAACCCACAACCATTGAGGAGCGCAGAGCGCGGAGGCGGCGGCGGCGGCTTGGTGTCATCGGTGTGCACTGAGCGCCGAAGAGACGAGACCTTGCTGAGACCATGCCGAGACCTAGTGGGACCCTATGCAGACCCGATGCAGACCCGATGCGGTCGTGCAACGTTTAAAGTTTGTTTCTGCTGTCACTATTTCTGTTGTCACTCACTATTTCTATTCTTTCTGTGGTGATCCCCATCAGACATCACCTTGTATGTAAATCATGATCATAATCATCGAACGAGACCTCTACTATGTATTTCAATTGATCACGTTTTTGTTGCTCGCCCATTTTTGGGTTGTCAAAGATACCGAGATACCTAGATAAGATAATTAGTAGGAAGATAGAACTATTTTGTTGCTTGCTTGCTTCTTCTACTCCGGGCCAGTGCCCTTCTATATGTACAGAATGTGTTTGGCTTGGGACTCGGGAGATAGACCCGCCGGAGCTAGGGACGAGACCAGACAGCAGACCAGACAGCAGAATATATCTCCTCCTTGACTCCCCCCGGATACAGTTCGCATGACCGAGTCCTTGACTCCTTCAGAACTGAAAACAGTGCTCCTTGAAAGTTAAAACTTCACCACCACCTTACAGCGGACGTGACATGAGGAGCGATCTTTCACGTGCTCCGGACGCCATAATCTGGACATGGGTGGGTCTCTCACTACCGAGTGGGCCTACCTATAGTAGCCCATGTATGGCAGCCGGCGCCGTAGAGTAGAACGTGAGTGACCACCTGTGACTTTCGGCATGCCACGGACAGCTGACGACGCGCGCCGCGGGCATTAGGGGGTTACACGCGGGGTTTCACTCGCCGTGACGTCGAGGCAGGCCACTAGAGTACATACGCTTCTTTTTCGTCAGGAGGGAGGTGGAGGTGGAGGTGGAGGTGTGAGGGAGGACCCTTATTTCCTCGCGTTCGCCACCTGCCGTGGCGCATCGCATCGCGCATCACATCACCGCATCAGCGCACCATGACCTCACACTTCGTAATGATCGTAATGATGGCCTGGCTGGCTGGTTGGCTGGTACTTGAAAGTTGAAACTTCCAGCGCGGCGGAATGCACACCCTCCTCCTTGCATAAAGCTGTGGCCCAGCCCTCCCCCACCCCCCTCGCATCTGACTGCTGCACGGAAACAAAACTATATTCGGAACGAACGAACAGGAAAAGATAAGATGGATACGCTCGCGAAAGTCATTCATGACACGGTCGGTGTGTTCACCAGTAAGACCGACGATGGACCGTCGCACGACGAGGTGCTTGCCGAGGAGCGGAGGCGGAAGGAGGAGGAGAAGGAGGCACTAAACCGGGGTGGCAAAGAGGAAAAGGAAACGCAGGAGGTGAAGGAAAGGGAAGAGGAGATTGTTGCAAGCAAGACGGAGGTCACGGGTGTGCAGAAGGGGGATTGGATTTTGTTGACTGGTTCTACATGCCCCTCCCCTCTCCTCCATCATGCGGCGGCGGTCGTTGCTGATACCTACATACGGATGTCTAGGTGCGTCTGGATTCGTTGCTGCGCACGTCATCTCGGCGCTGCTCAACGCAGGGTACAATGTCAAGTGCGCGGTTCGATCACCGTCGAAGGCAGACGACATCCGGAAGCTTCGGCCGCTGCAGATGGAGAGTCTGTCGTTCGTGGTTATCGAAGACTCCACAGTGCCATGGGCGTACGATGAGGCTGTCAAAGGGGTGAAGGGGGTTTGTCTCCCGTCATGACCATCATTCCGGATCGCTGCTGATTCTGCGGGGAAAGGTGATCCACACGGCCTCCCCCTCTGTACCCAACGGCCCGATCGACAACCGCCTCACGCTGCTGGACCCGGCGATCCGGGGGACCACAAACCTCCTCGCCTCCATCTTGCAGTACAATCCCGAGTGTAGACGGGTAGTGATGAGCTCCAGCTTCGCCGCGATCGTCAGCCCCGACGCCGGCCTGCGCCCGGACTACACATACAACGAACTCGACTGGAACCCGATTACGTATGAGGAGGCGGCGCGCGCTCCCGAGTCGATCGCCTACAGCGCCGCCAAGATCCTCGCCGAGCACGAGGCGTGGGACTTCATGGAGAAGCACACGTCCGCGCACTCCACCAGCCGCCCGGGGTTCTCGCTAGCCACCGTGTGCTGTCCCATGGTGTACGGGCCGATCGAGCACCACACCCGGCTGGACACGCTGAACACCAGCACGGCGGATATCTACCGGCTCATCAATGGCAGCGAGAAGTCCGTACCGGAGACGAAGATGTACGCGTGGGTGGACGTGCGGGATGCGGCGGAGGCACACGTGCGCGCGCTGGAGGCGCCGCGGAAGCGTGCGGGCATGGAGGATCGGTTCTTGGTTGCTGCCGGAGGATATTCCTACACGGAGGTGTGCAAGATCATCCAGAAGCGGTTTCCGCATCTCGTCAACACGGGGCTCACGCCGAACCCGGCTGGGGCGCCGCTGCCGCCGCTGCACTACGCCGTCGACAATAGCAAGTCCGTCCGCGAGCTGGGAATGTCCTACCGCCCGCTCGAGACGTGCATCGTCGATCTCGTCAACTCGCTGCTGAAGCTTCGGGCAGACGAGGAAGGGGGGGAGGAGGAGCAGCGCGCGCCAGTCTCGGTCACGGATGTGCGCACCGGAAGGGAACACAGGAGCCATTCCCTCGTCGGCACGGGGCTGACCGTGTGCGAGTGCGAGGGCAACATGGGCGTGTGCTCATGCTCGCCGACAACGTGTGCGTGTCGGGGGTGCGCGCGCAAGAGCTGGAGCAATCCGACGGCGAGGGTGGCGCAGCACGGGCCGAAGCCGGGGATGGGCGCCGTGCCGAAGGAGTGGCGGGAGCTCGGAGATCTGGGCGTGAGTGGGTTGGGCCTGGACGATAAGCCCAGCGGCGCGGTCTGCGATTGCGTCGACCCGCAAACCTGCGGTAAGGCTACGACTGGGGTGTGTTTCTATTCCACGGTGGGCGCGTCGGATTACAAGGTGGACGAGAGCGAGCAGACGACGGTCGCCGCTTCGGACTACAATAGGAACGATGATTCGCCCATGCCGACCTCAGACGCGGCGGCATCGATGGCGGGGCCGTACCAAACGGCGCGCCACTCGTCCCTCTCAGCAACCGCCGCGCCGTTCGTGCCGATGTTCATTGCTGCCCCGGACACGATGGCGCCACTGATCGTGCCGGACACGGTCGTTTCCACATCATCGGACACACCCGAAGCCACATTGCTAGCTCCCGCCACGTCCTCTACATCCACCGTCCCTTCCACAAAGCCAACCGTCATTTCACCCACTCCAATCGCGGCTTCCACGCTGGCTACCGACCCCTCCCCCTTGTACGGCGACGACCGACTGTTCGCGGAACTACAGCAATCCTCGCCCTTCAGTCCCACAAAGTGCACCTGCGGAAACAAGGACGCGCCTACAGACGCGTGCAGGTGTCTTCCCGGAGCCACGGGTTGTCCCTGCGGCGGCCACGAGAAGAATGTCCACGAGTGCTCTGTGCCGCCGGATAAGACGACATGTACGTGTGAGGTCAGTGACGGGGATGGCAGGAAGTGTACGTGTGAGCCCGGGTGTGCGGGGTGCGATCATGGGAAGGAGGGGAAGAGACATGAGGGAAGCTCGCCGGTCGTGTTGAATTTGTAGTTAGGTGAGGTGTAAATAGGTGTAATAATTGGGATGGGAACGTCGGAGGAATGTTTGGTGCTAGTTCAAGCATCCACATGTCTGCGGGAAATCCATATCGATGTGCTAGGAGGTATATAGTATAGGAAGTATGCCCATCGCACTCCTGCCATACATAAAACCGTCAACCGTGACACCTGATGATCACTCAAACCCTCACCCTCTTACGTATCGTAGAGTACCTCGGTAGACGCTGGGGAAGGAGCGGGAACGGGTTGTCCATCGTTCAGCCACATTCACAGCCATTCCCCGCCCCACCCCCACGCATGGTCTCCGGCCTACCTGGAACGTGCCTGTGTCGCAAGGTAAGGCAAGAGGCAAGAGGCAAGAGGCAAGAGGCAAGAGGCAAGAGGCAGGCGTTTCGAACATGCATAAGGCAATAAATAAATACAAGCTTAAGGCGGCTGCCCATCAATGATCAATAACGTCAGCCGGACGGAGGCGAGTATAATACATATGCATGTAACGTGACTATGTATCCACGGTATGATGGGTCAGGGAAGGGAAGGGAATGCGGGTATCTCCGGATGTCGGGCAGCGTCCGTGCGCGAGTCCGTGCACCGGTAGGTATAAAAACATGAAGATTTCTCGATAACGAGAAGTAGTAATGCTAGAACATCTCGAAAGCAGACATATACCGCACGCTCTGTTTGAGTTGGAGGCAAGTATACCATAGTCTACCACATAGTATCGATTCGGGTTCGCTGGAGGCCTTGCCTTCGTGGTTCAAACGCCGTCCGCCGACTCCGCTGACTCCGCACAACCGAGCTCCCAGGAAGATGTCAGGACTGGTTGGTGGATTAGGTACCCGGGGGGGGGGGGGTTGTTAAGCTTGGCAAGGCCTTTCTTCGACTGTCTCCAATATATACGCTCGCGATTTCCGCGGTAGCTGTGCGGCCTTTCTTGAAGTACAATGTAGTTACCATGAGCTGGGGGTTTCACACCCGGATGGGCCCATGGGTAGCGTTGATCAACGGCCTAGGTAGGTACTATATATGAGCTCACCACGCGCTACATACGTCCAAAACTCAACCTAACATCTATGATACATATATGCCTCTTTCCGGTGTCTCAGGAGGGCTCACTTCCAGCCGGTGGTTCCGTCTGGTAGGTAGGTGGCTTTTCGGGAGTGCGATACCTACGCTCCGCTCATCCGGGTGAGCATCGCCATTTCGTGGGTCGTCGGTGGCCACAGAACAGGCATTGCAAATGAAGATGTGAGCCGTTAGCGAATGTGAGCTTCGCCATGGAGGTTTCAATCCTGCATTTCCGACTTCAACTGCGTACCTACCTACTTCTCAACCTTGCATACCGACCTATTGTCCGACTTCCAAGCATACCTATCCGCCTTGCATGTCTCATGCGTGGATTGCAATCCGCAGCCAGTGGGCATGCGGAATCCATCTGCTGCGCGGTTACACCGGGGAAGCATCTCGACTCCTGCCGTGTCGTACGACGGGTTACATCCGTGCCATCCTCCGGGCGACGTGCGAAACGTGTAGAACTATAGTACCAGTAGATGAAACAAAAACGTGCCAGTGAAATCTTACGTGTCGGAATGAGATGGCGTACACACATACACACAGCTTGCCAGTCAGGTGCCTAACTATGGGTAGCTACCCCACAGCGCACACAGCGTGAAACCCAAGTACCCTAGGGGGGAGCTCGACTCCGTCGCCGTGCCAGCCGACGTCTACTATTGTCGTCCCCCGAAATTCCCGCGAACCCTACGCGAGTAGTGGAAGCAGCCGCGGGAGGAAGTCCGTGCCGCAGGGCCCCTTGCCGGGAGCGGGCGCGCGCAATAACGACGGCGACGAACGGTCGACGATAGCCCTTGCATAACTGCTGGCAATCATCGCGCTCGCGCCACGCTTTTTTGACGTGATCTGATGGCATGGGCTAGATGGATAACCCGTGGATTCGTCGTGGGCGTGGATTAGTTAGTGGCGGGACAGGGATGCGCGAGCCATGGCGTAGTGGGGGAAAGCGGGGTGCCGATATGCCGCGGATGGCGAAGCTCGGTGGTGGATCAACAGCGGTATCCACTCGTGGCTGGGCATCGAGTATCTGGAGGTTTTTAGCGCGATGAAGTGCTGGGACTGAGGAATTATGTAAAGACTCGCGACTCGGAGAAAGGCTCCATGCCCGGAAGATGGCTGCGTGTCCGAATAATAAATGGCTTCCATGGGTAGATGGGAAGGTCGGAAAAGAGGCGCGGACGAGGCAAACAAGCCATCCGCATTCGACGATCCCTCGCGCTGCTCTGGAGCAGAGTACTCTGCAGTACGTGTGCGGCAGGTGATTAGTCTCCTTACTTACTTAGGTCTTCAATGCGCCCGCCTCAATTATCCGCATGGGCTGGATGGTGGGGAAGAAGCTCATCCCTTCGCGTTCGGCGCTTTCGCCCAAAGCGGTCGACAGCACTGCTATCCGGACTTTCCCCGGCCGGACTTGTCGGCACTCAGGACAGTCCACGAGGCAAACACCATCGTGAACCCTCCATATGCAATTGACGATACCCGGAGCTTCCATTCCACGGCCGCCAGACCGCCCTTTGCGCTCGACCGGCCACTTGAGCGGGTTGGTTTAAAAGGAAAGCGTGCCCACTGCTCGGATACATTCTCTTCTGCATCCGCTCTTCCCGCTTCAACAACGCCCTCCTCGTCTCGACAGCTAAGCAGCATTCTGCCGGTGAGTTCTGCAGACCCCAATCTATATCCTTTGCCCATCTCTCCAGCCATCCCATCCGATGATGATCGCCGGCATTGATTTCCGCTGCTGGCTGTTGTCTGCGGCGGCAAAGATATTGCTGCAATCGTGTCATTGCTGGCGAGCTGCACCAGATATCATATAAACTCTCGCTGTCCCCCGCTCATCGGTATAAGACAACCCACTGACTCTTGAGTTTATAGGCCTCGCTCCTCCTTCCTCCGTTCTCCTCCATCTTTCTCCTGACTCATCAGTAACCATGGTACTTTCTCCAGCCCTCCTGCGCACGGCAATGCGCTCCCTTAGGCCTCAGTCAACTGCATTCATGAGGCCCGCGGCTTCTGGTGTCCGACGGCTAACACAGACTTTCAATCCGCAGGTCAAAGTTCTCGCAGTACTCTACGATGTGAGTACCCCCCCGCACTCCCAAAGTTCTCGTCAACCCCCAGAAACTGACGGATCCATAGGGTGGCATCCACGCCGAGCAGGTTCCCGCTCTTCTCGGAACAACTGAGAACGAGCTCGGTATCCGCAAGTGGCTCGAGGACCAGGGCCACACCCTTGTCACTACCTCCGACAAGGACAGTGAGAACTCCGTCTTCGACCGCGAGCTCGTAGATGCTGAGATCATCATCACCACTCCGTATGCTCCCCCCCTCTCCCGGCTGCCCGGATGCGAGACTGACCCCTTCACAGCTTCCACCCCGGCTACCTCACCGCTGAGCGTCTCGCCAAGGCCAAGAACCTCAAGCTCGCCGTCACCGCCGGTATCGGTTCCGACCACGTCGACCTCAATGCCGCCAACAAGACCAACGGCGGTGTGACCGTTGCCGAGGTCACCGGCTCCAACGTTGTCTCCGTCGCCGAGCACGTCGTCATGACCATCCTGACCCTTGTCCGCAACTTCGTCCCCGCCCACGAGCAGATCGTTGCCGGCGAGTGGAACGTCGCTGCCGTTGCCAAGGACTCCTACGATCTGGAGAACAAAGTCGTCGGAACCGTGGCCGTCGGCCGCATCGGCGAGCGTGTCCTCCGTCGTCTGAAGGCCTTCGACTGCAAGGAGCTCCTCTACTACGATTACCAGCCTCTGTCGGCCGAGAAGGAGGCCGAGATCGGCTGTCGCCGTGTCGACTCCCTCGAGGAGATGCTCGGCCAGTGCGATGTCGTCACCATCAACTGCCCTCTCCACGAGAGCACCAAGGGTCTGTTCAACAAGGAGCTCATCTCGAAGATGAAGAAGGGAGCGTGGCTCATCAATACCGCTCGTGGAGCGATCGTTGTCAAGGAGGACATCGCCGAGGCACTCGCCTCCGGCCAGCTCCGCGGCTACGGAGGAGACGTCTGGAACCCCCAGCCCGCCCCCGCCGACCACATTCTGCGCAATGCCCGCAACATCTACGGTGCCGGAAACGCCATGACCCCCCACATCTCGGGTACCTCCATCGACGCGCAGAAGCGCTACGCCGACGGAACCAAGAAGATCATCGACTCGTACCTGAGCGGTCGCCACGACTACGACCCCCAGGACCTGATCGTCTACAAGGGTGACTGGGCCACCAAGGCTTACGGTCAGAGGAAGTAGGTCCCGCATGGTTTAGGGAGTTATTTGTGAATACCTGTTGCCTTTTTTCTTTCGGTTTTCTTTGTTTTGTTTTTTATGTGTCATGGATTTTCTTTTTTGCGGGATGGGGAGAATAGGGTATTTGCCACGTCTGCAAGGCTATTGGTAACTAGCGACCGGGGTATCTGAGGGCTTGGAGAAGTTTGAATTGATTGAACTTACTGTATATCATGGCATTGGCAGTCAACCAAATTCAGTCTGTAGTGCAAGTAACCGGTTCAGGGTAGCGACCCCCTTCGCCCGCCTCCTAGGCATACCTACGTGATCATTGATATGGAGTGCACAGAGGAAGTACCCTGCCTACCTATACAATTGGAACCGGAGAAGTGCCATTGTCTTGTGGTTTCCAGAGGGGGTCGCGAGTGATAAATCGTGCGGTAGGTAAGTACATACTTGGGTAGTGAACTTGAATGACCGCGGCGACTGCACTGCAGGAGAGCCTTCCACGGGCTATTTTATTAGGTATGTAGCTCAGCTTACACCCCGGAGCCCAGATCCATCGGAGCGGATTATTGCGTCGTGTGTAAGCATCTCTCGTGGCGGTGATTGCAGCCTGCAGGCGCGCGGGAGAAGTAGAGGTACATACGGTAAGGATAGCCATGACTGCTGCCTGCTGCTGCTGCTGCAATTGCAGTCTGTCTGTCTTCCTCGGAAGTTCGAGCGGAGCATCGAGTAGTGACGAGTCATGAGAGGTGATAGCCTAGGTAGCATACTACTACCAGTAGGGGGAGCACAATAGAGATTCCATGGAGATACAATAGATTAGGTAGGTATGAGTGACTTATACTTTTTCTATTCGGAGATAACTGGGAGACAATTTGGAGTTTACTTTTATAAACCACGGTTGATGGTGATGAGAAGCATAATCAGCACAATCAGCACGGTCTTGGAATCTTTGAGAGAGAGAGAGAGAAATAGATCTTCTTAGAATCTTGATTCTCAGTGTTGACGGGTTGAGCGAGTGATAGATATCGTATCTTTGCATCAGCAGTACCCCACCCGGGCCACCCCCTAAATTCACACGCCCACCTGCAGCGCATATACCAATGCACAGATTCGTATTCGTCTAGGCAACTAAGGCGTCAACTGACCGTTCGCCCGCCCGCACGCCTGGTTGGGTATGGGAATGGGTGATCTCCCCACCTCCGCGCACTCCGTCTCACTCGGCTCCAGCGCCCTCACTACACCACACAAAAATCCACAATACAACAGGTATCAAATCGCTCCGCCTAGAACGTTGGGGCGTTGGGGCGTTGGAGACGGGCCGGGACGCACGAGACATGCTACCGTCCACGTCCAGTGCGCGGGGGCGCGGTAGATTCCTGCCGTCCGTCTCGTCTCGAATAAAGTGGCTGGCTGGAGAGTGAAGTCCGTCGTCTAGAACGCGAGAGAGATCTTCACTTTTGGGCGGGTGGGAGGGTGGATGAGGACACGGATCGAATGATATCTTCAACACCCGATCCGCGGTTACCCAAGCCGCCCCATCAAAGCACAGACCCCATCTATCTTACGTTTTAACTATGGTCGATCTCATGCCATTCCCGTATTATGTATTCCGTATAGGTATACCTATATTCAACCAGGTTGCTGATGCTGATGCTGTTATTGGCGGCGCCATCAACATCGGAGAGACGATTACGATTTGTGCCGATACTCTGGAGTCTAGGTCTGGAGATCTATCACTCGTCCTAGGTTGACTAAGCTACCTAGGTTGAGATCAGCGCTGTTGCCATGCCGTATCAAAAGTACCGAAATTACGAACCTAAAACAAATGGTGGTGACGATCTTCGCGTAGGGCTGGCTGGCTCGATGGGGGCGGAGGAGGCGGAGCTGGCCATTGCCATGGTTACCGCGGCGTCGGATACACTCGGCCGAGCAGGAGCAGGTCTCAGGCTTCAGGCAGGCAGTCAGTGCAGTTCACCTAAAGTGGCCATGCACCGAAGCACGAAGCTGAGCCCTCCTCCCCTCACCTCAGACCTCATCTCCTCCCTCATCTCCGTAGCGAACTGGCCCAGACCCAGCGCCGACCCCCCACATCGGCGGCGGAAGCTCTCTCCTCCACCGAGCTGCAAGCCGCATGCATGCATTGCTAGCCCCTTCCGTACGCAGATGCATGGAAGCGGTTTCAGTGCCGCGGGCGCGGATGCGCGCGTGGTTCCGTTGTTCCGGATCCCGTTGGTTCCCCACGGGCTGCGGGCTGCGAGCGACGGGCTGCGGGCTTGTCGTGTCTGGTGGATTCTCCGGTTCTCTCTTTCCAGCTTTTCAGCCTTTCAGGTTCTCTTCCCACTTCCCACTTCACACTTCTCAGGCTCACATGTCTAGGTAGGCTGAGGCCTGTAGGTATACCGAGGAGTAATTGGCGCGCATAGTCACCCGGGTAGGCTATCCCCTATACATAGGCACTCTATGATCCGTCAGTTGCAGCTCGCGTATCGTGCAATTTGACGGAAGGGAATATCACTCACCCTCACCACCTCCTCCGTTCACTCCAAGTCTCGTCGCCGGTCGGTCGGCAGATGACGTTCCGTGCGTCCATGTCCGCTCGCTTCGTTCCGTTTCGAGTTTTTCGATGCTTGCTTGCTTGCTTACTTGCGCACCCCCGGGCCCCCGGGCCGGCTCACCCGCCTCCAGCCTCCAATAGATTTCTCCGGTGGGCATGTAGTCGGCGGTTGGCGATGTTTCTCGCTCGCTCGATCCTTCCCATGCTATGTAGATACCGTAGATGCCTAGTCTCGACGAGATGAAAGAAGAAGCCATGCCACTCGCTCGCGAGGGAGCGAGAGTTGATGGCCATGGTGAATGACAAATATCTGCAGTTCGCAAGATGCCACACATCCGCGGCCGCCGCCGGCGCGTAATACGTGCAGGGGAGGGGGGGTTCTTTCCGGTCAATCAGGGCCATGTCGGTTCCATGTACTTATGTCGAACGCCGTGTTGGACCTTTGGTGGCCGGGGTAGAGTACGTAGAGTAGAGTAGAGTATATACCGCCGGATCGATAGATTTGATAAGCACTTGCGATCACTCGCGCTGCTGGGCATGCTGTTATATACAGTGCACCGAGCCTAACAAACCACCTATCAGCGTCAACGTCAAAGTGCATAGCATGGCATGTGACTGGACTGGACTGATGCCCTGCTCAGTGCCTCGATCGCCGTAGAGCAACTATGGTCCGGTCCAACCATGCCTCATAGTTCCAGGATGTATGTATGAAGTATGAGTTATGTGCCATCTACCCACCTGCGGCCATCTCGCAATGATGCTGATGCCGTAATGCCCTTGCGGTCCCGCAAGTGCTGATTAGAGTGCACTTGGCCTAGGGAAGGGGGGGGGGCTTAGTATTGTGCACGTGCACGTGCGTGGGTGGCGGTGGGCGGTAGTGGGTGGTGGCAGGTGAATATTCCCAGTCCACGGCCATGGGGGCATGGGGGTTGGGGGGTGGGAGGGGGCAGCTGTCATGGAAGAACCATGGTTCGACGTGCATTGCCTCTGGGCTGCAGATTGGGGGTACCATGTAGCCATGTAGGTAGGTGGGTATATGGTATATTGAAACAGAGTGTTTTGAGATCGATGCAGCAGCACACACAAGCCCCCCTCCCCCTGCGAGACTTGAGTGACACCGAGCGAATGATTAACGTTCAGCACGCCAGACGATGATGATGATGATGATGATCATGGGTAGCTGGTGAAACTCTACGTTGCAGCGGGCCCACCGTTGACACACCGGGGCCGTCATGGTAGTATTAGCACTTTGGTACAGTAGTTCGTATTCCGTCCACGGGGCGCGGTGGTGCGCGATTAGGAGGGTGGGGGGGTCTGGTGTAACCAGCGAAAGTAACTACCGGTAAGTTGTCTACAACCTAGAACCATCAATCCCAGAGACGGCTCGGCTTGGTAATTCCGCTACTTCTGCTAGTCTCTACCATAAGGCAGGCAGGCAGGTAAACAGGCCAATCCTCTCAGGCCCTCGGCGATGATGGGTGAGGGGTGATGGGTGTGTTCTTCACGACCGATCACTCGTGGTGTGATCTGTCAATCAATTTCCGGTCCCACGGGAGAAAAAAAAAGCGGAGGTGTGCCACGAACGAGAACGAACGACCGACCAGAGGGAAGAACCTAAAAGATTGACTTGGCCCGATTCACGCGGGGATCCTCGATCAAAGTACCTACCCCGCTAAGCGGCTGCCGCCGCACGCGCACGTTTTGGGGGGTTTTCTTTCTTTCTTTCGGGATATGAGCTTGAAGTTGTGATGGGTCGAATAGCGTCATGTACTACCCACAGTAACTCACAGGCAGCGTGGCAGTCATGCTGTGATCAGAGAAGCGGTGTGTCACTCGTGTAATTGGGAAATCAGCTGGCTGATCATCGTTCATCCGTACGCGGTGTTATTGTTGGATGTGCGCAGTGGCAGCAGCATGGTGGGTGAATGGGGCGTGTGAGACTGTGAGACTGTGAGGGTGTGAGGATGTCTCTGAGTTTGTGCTCATGAGGGTGTGAGGGTGTGGTGGTGTGAGGATGTGAGGTGTGATGTATGCTGAATGAGGGTGTGATGGTAGCAGAGTGGGCACTGGGAGAGTGAGATGGTGTGCCAACCATGCACTGTGCTCAATCGCCACTCCCAGTCGGCGCCACCCATCGTGAACGGAATGTGACTGATCTTTTACTTCACTCCAGCTCATCCACATCCATCCATCCGTCCATCCGTGCATCCCTCCATCGACCATCGGCATCCGGATTCGAACGAGCACGCCACCTCCCCTCCGCACACACATCTGTAAGGATCAGGCCTCAGCGGCTGGGCCCTGGAGTCTGGAGTCCGGGGAAGCTGAAGCCCGCAGGCTCATCGGAGCATCGTGAGGGGGGCCGGTGGTTAGCCTGACGGTCCCACTCTTTCGACGGTCTCGAAATGTCTTATCCCGTTCGCCAGCGCATATGTGAGTGCGGGGCACACATGTCCCCCGTCCGGGGACAGCTGCTCTGGTGATGGCATGCGGGGCTACACCCAGCGCTGCTGATCTGTCGATACGAACAGCCAGCCAACCGAACTCAACCAAACACACCACTATGTACGCCCCCTCCGTGTGTGTGTCTCGCCTTGGATAACCGTCGCAATGACTAATTCCCGCAAGCCATGCATCCACCATTCAGCCCGACCACCGACCTTCGACCCCCTTCGCTTCGGCAGGCGCTGGCGTGTGTGGGTGTTTGTATATATGCGTCTAGAAGGCCGGTGATGCTGTACGTACGTACATACATGTTTCTTGGCCAGATGCCCTTCCCTGACCATATACACACCCACACCCACCCTCCCGCTCTACCCCCGAGCCTTGCCTTGTCTCACCGTGCACCGACTGGTGACAGGCAAGCAATACCTGCCTACATACATACCTAGGCGAGAAATATGTATACAGTGGACCCGGATCGTGTGTGCATACCGGTAGGCAAGTACGTACGTGCAGATTTGTGGGTTCTAAGATCTACGGTTGCGCAGATATCGTATCGAGTAGAATAGAGTACCTACTTGCCTACCTAGGCATACCGGCAGCTACGGTGCTCCCCACAGCTATTCTACTCTATGTACGTGCCGGCAGAAGGATGGATGGGTGGAATAAAGGGAAACCCGGTGGAGACAGCTATGATTCCATCCATGGGATGAAATGGCACCACCTACCGACATACATAGGAACAGCTGTAAACCAAGCTGTCACGTTGACGGACAGCTTGCCAACTACTTTACCTGGGAACGGGTGCGGACCAAGACCGAGAGAGAGCTGTCACGTCGACGACAAATCGACCGGCACATCGCTATACCTAGCACATAGAGTGCAGGTGTGTAAGTTACCTCGCACAGCCAAGAGGTGACTAACTGCTGGGCCGCCTGGTGGCGAGCTTCATCCTTAGTTAGTGGCGAACGCAATGTGCCCGTTTGTTCGTTCGTCGCTCCCTCCGGTCTCCCAATTCTCTCCGTCGGGAGACGAATCTGAGGCGAGGTGGATGTGGTTGGCCGGTGCTATGTAGTTAGTCAAGTACCTTAGGTAAGTACTATGTACTTCCCTAGGTATACTTGCTTGTAACTTACCTAGCGGACCGCCGGGTGTGTCCGTTCGGCTGCGGGTCGGTGCGTGCATATGTGATGATAGCTTCCCTTCCCTTCCCTTTCCCCCGTAGTTAGTCGTGCGTGCCATTGAACGACAGATTTCTGGACGGATCAGTATCTTTGTAGTTAGATACCGTGGAGTGGAGCGGTAACTATCTCGTTCTTGTACTCGTTTACCAGCCAACCAACCAGCTACCGGCCTCACCATCACCGCTTACATATTGCCGTCGGCCGACCAACTAGAACAGAAACCCGGCTATGTACTCTACCTATCGTACGCGATAAATATCAGTCGTTACCGTGTATGTACTTTGCTGGGACAGATTCCCATTGGCTAGTGTAACTACTTCTCTCTCGCGGTAGGATTAGCTAGGTTGTCTCGCGGCGGTGGCTCTCTTTAGGTCTATAGAAACGTCAATAAAATGATCCCCCCCCCCCTATCATACGCGCCTTGCATATCACATCATATCACACTCTACGTGGGACCATGCCGCGAGCGGTGCCCATCTCCGCAGTGCGCACAGGGTGGTCTCCGATCCGCAGCGTATGTATGTGTGTGTACATAGCAGGAAAGCGTGCGCCGAAAATGGTCATGACAGTGCAGACCAGGCTGCTAGTTATAGCCGCGCGCGACCGTCGGTGGTTAGTTAACCGCGAGCGCGTTTCTGGTCCTGGGGAAACATCCGGCGTCGACTTTCACGAGCACACGAAGGAAGGAGCGAGGGATGTCAACGTGGGGGGGTGTTCGACCGACCGACCGCGAGCCGTTGGAAGAGTACCGCCCTCCCTCAGGGCGGACATGGTTTGAGCTGTGAGCTGTGAGCTGTTCAGTTCTAACTTACTTCCGCGGACCTGATTCCTCGCCCCCACGCTGCTCACCACCCCCTCCACCACCACCCTCGCCTTGCCACACGTACGCAGCAGTAGCAGCAGCAGCAGAAACCATTTGTTTTTTGTTTTGGGCGCTTGTTGTTCCCCATCTGCCGCGATCGACGGCGGTGGTAGTACATATCCCGGAGCTCCCGTCAAAGGGGAAGGGGGAGGGGGAGCCGACACTTACCTAAGTTTGTAGATGTGAGGAGAAGAAAAAAGAAAAGTCGTGACGGTTATTCAAAACACGGGCATCCACCGCTCCGAACGACAACGGCGGCGACGACGTCCGCCGTGCACGGGACGTCGGGACCCGGCGCATCCTGAACCATGGGAGCGACAAAAAGAAGCAATGAAAAAAATCTCCAAACGTTACAGCTTACGGTACATACGCTACCTAGGGGGGCGGGTACCTAGGTGGGTACCTACTCCATCCGCATATGGGTACTGTTGGTACTGACCATGAGAGGCAGAAAGAGGCCAGCATGCTTACCTGGGTGGCCTACGTACGCGGCCGAGCAGCCGTCTCCAACGCCACGGCCTGACTTGCACATATGTACATGCGGGGGATGACAAATACCGACCTCGTATACCATATGTAGCGAGCATGTCTGTGGTATTTACAGTGACCGATCAGCCGGGAACGGCAATGCGAACCGCCGTCCTTCACCCTTCACACTTTACCCTTTACCCTTTACCCTTTACCCTTTACTCTTTACTCTTCACTCTTCACTCTTCACTGTTCACTCTGCATCGGCCTTCACCTCGGGGGGCCGATATGGATGTGGCTTAGACTCAGCCGACTCGTCGTGCCGTCGGTTTCAAGTTGAGCTCAGTCACCAAGGGAGTAACCAGATACTTGGTTAATAAAGTAGGTATGTGGGTATCGTCACCGACACGCGGTGCTTTGCGCTCTAGCGTAGAGTGGAGTGCCAGAGTGCCAGAGTGCCAGAGTGCCAGAGTGCCATAGCTCTTGGCCAACGTCGACGGAAGTCACGACTCACGACGATGATCGATCAGGCCCCCTCTCGCTCTCCCTCTGCCACCCTCCGACGATACGATACGATGCGATAGAGTACAGTACAGTACCTCGATACGCGCTACCCATAATAGTAGAGTATACTCTACTCTACCGTACTCGGCGACCGTATGTATCACAACAATCTACAATCTACAAGAAATACGCCAATAGGTACACCGTACATATGTCAATATACCAATACGCCAATATATTATACAAACATTCAACCCCGACTTTTAGGTAGCCACGTGAGCGTTGCTCCCACTGCCCACTGCCCACTGCCCATCAATGTTTTTGGTTTTGTCCTCCACTCCACTCCAGTTCACTCCACTCCACTCCACTCCAAACGCCGGCATCGCCGCTCGGCTATTGTCGATAAAGTACCTACATTTATCTACATACATACCTCTCACCCAAGTACTCGTACAAAGTACATAGAGCATTTACATACATAGCACCCAGCCAGCCTGCCTATTCCAGCGCCCCAGCCGCCCCCGCAACTCGCTAAGAGCCTCTCCCTGCGCACTGTCGAGAGCCCTGTCCTGCCCAGTGAGTGAGTGAGTGCCCAGTACCCAACGCGTTTAATATAGCCACCTGCATTCACAAGCCCCAGAGATTGACGGGGTGCGTGGGTTGGGGGTGGGGTGGGGTTGCGGGGGCCCGTGGAGCGTGAATACGGTAGTTGAGCTCGCTCGCTCGCTCGCTTTCGGCATTCGCGAGAAGCGAGGTACGAGGACGGTTTTCCTGAACCATGGAGGCGGGTTTTTTTCTCACTGTTGGATGTTGCCGTTGGCTGTTGGCCGTGGGCAGGTGCGTTGCTAATCCGGTTTTTTTTTTTGACTTCTGTTCTTTGCTTTCTTTTTTTTTGACTACTAACTATGGGATACTCGAGTGGAGCGCTGCATGCGATGAGATTCGATGAGCAGAGGGTAAATATTGGGGAATAGCCAAAAGCTACATAGAGCCAGATGGCCCGGATGGAAAACTCGGCTGGCATGGAATGACAGGGGCGATACACACGGTATGACATACGGTGTCCGCCCGGAGGCTGAGGTTATCCCCGGATTCCCCAGATTCCGCTATGGAGCTTGTATGGAGCTTGTAAGGTCAAGCTTGTACGTTGTGTGCCGCTTCCACTTCCGCTTCCGCTTCGCGTCTATTGTGGGAAGCGTCGATACGACGACACGGCGACATGGCTTACGCAGCCAAGCGGACTCCGGAGCCGGCGCGCGGCTGACGGTGTCAGTGTCGCGAATACGATACCGTATCCAAGTACTCTACATACCGAGTTCTCATGCCCGTCGTCCACAGGCGAGTACTGTATCAACTACCAAGTATTAACAATCAACGCAGCCGAGCCGGTCAATAGAGTCCGGAATACCTAGCCCCCCGTCCTCCATCCCCCGTCCCCCGTCCTCCGTCCCCGGTAAAACTCGTACATAGAGCCATTGTAATTTGTAACCGTCTCCGCACGCCGACACTGCATAGATACGGGTTTTTGTATTACTGCCCAGTTAATCGAATCGAATCGGCCCAGGACGAGGACCAGGACCAGGCTGCTAATACCTCCTCCTCCTCCTCCACCGTACCCTCCACCCTATCTCTCTGCCCTCCCCCGTTAAGTGTCAAACGCGGCTGTGTACTGTATGTATCGTATTGTACATATAAAAAACAACTTCCGCAGCTGCACGCCGCTTGCATGTATTCTACTTAGGAATCTAAGTGTACACCGGTTGGCGCAAGTACTTCCGGCGTTCTCATCTAATTCACTGTCTGTCATGAGGTCGGCGTTAAAGTACTTCCAGCTACATGGCTACCTACCTGATAGTACACGCGGGGTACATGGCTTGGTTAGTTAGGTACATGCTATAATATAGTACGTACCATGTAGGTACTTGTAGCGATTCCGCAGCGCGAGGCGGCTGTATGCGAGTGCTCGATTAAATAATGTGAATAAATGATTCCCCGCACGCACGCACTGTCGTTTATCGTACATACATAGTGTACTCTATGCATTACTGGTAGAGCTACCTACCTAGAGTACCTATGTGAGTGCACGTGTCCGTCTGTCCGTATCGTTACATAGCCGGCACTCTCGGAGTTCCGGATGGTGGAGTATGTAGCATGTAGTTTGTAGCACTCGATCGGAATGTGGAGATGAATATTCGAGGTACACTCGTACAGTACGGTAAAGTGAGTACCGCCTCTCTCATGACCATACCGGAATCGGCGTCATACTGTCGTCGCCGGTCTCCTTCTCCCTTCAGGCTTCCCCCTCCCCACTCGAACCGGATAATGACTCAATCCGCCATCCGCCATTCGATCCGTCGCACTCGTACGGAGCCACGAGCATCTGCTTTCCGCTAGATCCCTCCGGCGCATCCCCCCTCTCGCTAGCCAACCGGCCGATCAACCAACGGAGCGGCCGGGCCCTCCGTTCGTCTCGTCTTGTCTCGTCTCGTCTCGCCTTGCTAGATAGTTACCCGCGGCAGACATCGGCAAGAGCAAGAGCAAGTGCAAGAAGAACAACATATTCGCTTCACTTTGCTGCTTCACTTCGTCTAGTATCTTACAAAGGTACTCTACCCTCGTTCGGTGTCCACCCGTCCCCGTCCCAGCACGAATGTAGACCGTTGACCACTCTACTCTACGGTATCCAACCCTGCGCACGATATTTACATTACTTGGCCCATCCAATACCCTCCCATCCCATCCCATGCCATCCCATGCCACTATGATACCTACTATGTACCCCCCGGTCGACCATCCCCCGCATCGAATTAATGGAATTCCTCAAACGCAGCAGCCAGCAGCCAGCTCCGCCCCCGGAATCACGACTGGGATCCCCCGTATACCTATGTCGTGCATTTAACTACAGTCGCTTACCTCCCCCCTTCCCTCCCCCGCCCTCTCTCACTCCCTCCCCTGCAGAAAAAGATCGCGGCCCCCCCGCCCCCCTAAGGCGTAGAGGTGGAGCGAGGGAGGGAGGCAAACGTGGACTGCACTGCACTGGACTACGTAGAGCACATATGTACGGTACCCACTTGCTGGAGCGCTGGTGGAATTCGGCAGGCCGGCCGGCTACGGCGGACGGGAGGCTTGCCTGCTAAACGCCAGACTCGAGCTGATGCGAATCCATTACCTATCCATCGAGTTGCCGTGGAATTCTTCCGTCGTCGTCGTCGTCGTCGTAGTCGTCCGGGGTGTCGCACGTAACTACTGGGTACTTGTTAGTACTCTACGTATAGGTATGCGGGGAGGGTACTCTATGTACTCTAAATACTCTACACAAATGCATGGACAGGTAGATAGGATAGTCCGATAGTGTACCTATACATACATGCAAATAGCTACCGCTAGGTTCCAATGTCCAATGTCCATGAGCTATGTTAAGGTTGTTGCCCCACAGAAAGACGGGATGCCGTGCTACTACATGCCGGTACCGGTAGTTAGTAGGTACATCATCTTACCGACACGAGAAGCAATCAATCAGTCAATCAAATCTGTCCGTCCGTCTGTCCGCCGTTCGTCTCCCTAGAGTAGGTAGCCGAACGAGTATCTACCGTACCGGTAGTGTACAATGCAATGCAATGTACCAACCGAACCCCCCCACCCAACCCCCAACCGCCTCGGCTGATATTATATCCGTCCGAGTCAAAGCCAACGCCAAAGCCAACGCCATGACGGGCTGCCAGACTGCCACTGCCACTGCCAGCCAGCCCTGGGGTGACAGGAACGAGGACCTTAGACCCACCTACCTCAGACCTACCTACCTGCCTGCCTGCCTGCCTGCCTGCCTGCCTGCCTGCCTGCCTGCCTATGACCGAACCCGGTAACTATCGACGGAGTTGGTGTTTCGTCCGGTTTTTGACTCGTGTTGACTGGTGTTGATACCTACAGGGTGCATACGTACTCACGTCGTAGGGGCCCCCAACAGTTTTGTTTTTGTTTTGTGTTGCTTTGTTTTTTGGGCTTTTGTTTTTTTGGGCTTTTGTTTTTGTTCATGAATGACACTCGAATCGAATCAAATGGCTTGCTTCTTCCTCTTCTTCTTTGTTTGTTTATTTATTTCCCCGTGGGTTCTAGTGGGCTGGTAGTTACAGTGGTAACTATTACTAGATATGGCATAGTGACTACTGTGGTACTGTAGGAAGTGCCGTAAGTGGCTAACTAGCCGCTGGGCCGTTTTGTTTATTTCTTCTTTCTTTCTCTGTTTCTTTCTTTCTTTCCGGTCTACGTGATCAAGTAAATAAAAGTTTGTAAGCAACGTAAGTACCCAAGTTAGTCCGTTGATGTTTCAAACATCAACAAGCCTGGGGCGTACACACGGTACATATGTGAGTTCGGGACCACCGGCCTGCCCTGCGGTGTCTTGCGCTGTCCTGCGCATCTGTCGGTTGAGGGGCAACGACGCAGCACAGCTTCGTCGTTTGCTCGTCCTCGAGCGGTGAGCAGTGAGCGGTGAGCGGTGAGTGGCGGGTTCCATGCATCCGTCGCCCATCGCCCATCGCCCATCGCCCATCGCCCATCGCTCCCTCAATGATGATGAGCTGTGCTGTAGGTTGGTATGCATGTTTCAGCGGTCGGTATGTATGATGTATGATGTATGTATGTAGGTTGAATGTAGGTATCCAGAGATAGAAACACGTCCGCACGTCCGCACGCCTTATTGCTTATAGCCTCCCCTCCCCCCTCCCCCGGCCCCAAAGGATGTCTGATGTCTGATGTATGATGTATGTGTGTGTATGATGTATGATGCATGTTGTATGATGTATGATGTACGATGTCGGATATGCGTGTATGTATGATATGTGTGTGTATGTGTGTGTGTATCCGGCGCATGCCTTGCGTAAACCCGATCGCGAAAACCGGGGACTCCCCCTCCCCCGCCCGACGCCCGCCCGCCTTGCACGAACCCGGGTGTGGACGTGGACGTGGGCGAGGGCGAGGGCGAGGAAGTCAATCTGCTGCCTTCGCTGCCTTCGCTGCCTTCGCTGACTGCGCTGGCCGGACGGTCGCTCTTCCAAACCAAACCAGATGGGGGAAAAGTTTCCTTTCCTTTCTCATCTCATCCCATCTGAACTTCTGAAGCCGAACCCCCGTGCACGTGGAAGCAAAACGGCGGCGGTGATCGAGTTGAAAGTTTTAACTTCTTCGTTGGCTGGCTGGCTGGCTGGCTGGCTGGCTGGCTGGCTGGCTGGTTGGCTGGTTGGCTGGTTGGCTGGTTGGCTCACTGGTTCGCCTTGTCTTGTCATGTCTTGTCATGTCTTGTCTTGTCATGTCTTGTCATGTCTTGTCTTGTCATGTCTTGTCATGTCTTGTCCGCGGGGTTCTCACTCCCCCAGCGGCTGTGGCTATGTCTGTGGTACCGCACCTCCAAAGTTAAAACTCCAAGACTCCAACCCAGCTCAACCCAACTGAACCCAACTGAACCCAACGCAACTCAGCTCAACTCAACTCATGCGGCCGGTGGGTACACAGTACCAGTACCAGTACGCACCTACACCTCCGATCCGCGCTCACAACTTCAGATGAACTCCTCGATAACCAGAGTAGAGTACCTATGTAGGTGCCGAACTAGGTAGTTACGCCATGGCATGGATACACCATACACCATAACGTACTGTAGTTATACGGTACACCTGACAGCCTACAGCCTGCCTACTCTACTGTAAAGCTACAGGCATGGCCCGTCGGCCGGACGAAAGGTACATTACTCTAGGTACATGCTCTACATGCTCTACATTCCGGTACATAGAGTACAAAGTACATAAATAAATACATACGAGTTCCGGAGTCTGGAGTCTGTAGTCTGGTCTGGAGTCTGGACACAGACAGACACGGAGATGGCCACGGAGATGGAGATGGCAAGATGGCAACGCAACGCATGAAGACGTAGAGTATATTGGAATAGAGTAGTAAAGCCGAACGAACCTCCCTCCCCCTCCCCCACTCCCCCCGCACCGCTCGATCGATTGTTTGTATGATAGAGCAAAGTAGAGTAGAGTACCATGTGTTGCATTCGCATTGCATTGACTGCCGACACCCAAAACCCAAAACCCAAACCAATACCCAAAATCAAAATCCCATTCCCCGCGCGCGCGCAGCCCGATCCAAACCAAAACAAAACAAAAACTGAAAGAGAAAATCCCCGCCCCCGTACGCCGAAAAAAAAAACAAAAACAAAACAAATGACACAAAAATGACACAAAAGGAAATAATCCGTAAAACGACATTACCCCCAACCCAACCGAACCGAAACGAACCCTAGAATACCGGTAAGACCCACACAGATACACACATGCCACACATACAGACACACACACACATGCCCATATGCCGACACAAACCAAACAGCGAGCAGCCAATAAAAAACGGGTAGTAAAATACACCAAAAAGCCGTGAGGGGAAGTAAAAAAAAAGAAAATAAGAAGTAAAACGCTAAATGGGAAAAAGTAAAAGCAAGATGGTAGATGGCCTCCGTTAAGTGAAAAGAGAAAGGAAGAAAAAAGGAAGAAAAAAAACACCGCCCATAATAGTTAGGAAGGAAGTAACCCAAAAAATCCCACCCGTAAAAACAAAAACCAAAAAGACCAAAAAAAGAAAAGCGCTCGGAATGAATCAATCAAGCCATCCGCTGCGCTTCGCAGCTGGAGAGACGAGTCGAGTCGAGGGGAGTCTAATTGTATCTCTCGAGAAACCTGTCGCCCAGTTTTGCCTCTCGTTCGAGCGTCTCGCGGATCTGATCGGATCTCACGGCAATGCCGCAGCGGAATGGTTGCGGCTTCGAGTTGAAGCCGTCCGTGTAGGCAAATGTGTTGTACACCTCCTCTGCGCCCGACACAGGGTCCACATGCTTTGAAATGTTGAACGCCCACAGTATGCGCGTAATCGAGATGAACAGACTGTTCTCGGCGAGCAGCTTGCCCGGGCAGATGCGCCGGCCCTGTATGCATTGTCAGTCGATGATCATTCGTGGAAGAGGAAGAAGAAGAGGAGGAGCTAAACGTACCCATCCAAATGCGGAGTGACCATCACGGTGCGGGTATGGCTCGGTGCCTTCTTGCACCTCGAGGTATCGCTCGGGCACAAACTCGTGCGAGTCCTTAAAGTACTTGCTGTTGTGATGGATCGCCCAGAGGTTCCCAAGGATGGTGGTGCCGGCGGGAATGAAGTGGCCGTCGTAGTAATCGTCCTTGATGCTGGCATGGGGTGTCCCGCCCATGACGGCTACCGGTCGCCACCGCAGGGTCTCCTTGATGATGGCAGCACAGTACGGTAGATTCGGTTCGTCGCTCCAAGTAGGCGATCGATCTCTGCCCACGACGCGGTCGAGCTCTTCCTGTGCTTTTGCCGCCACTTCCGGGAAGCACGTCATCGCGAGCACAAAGCTCATGAGTGTGGACGACGACGTATCGCTGCCAGCGCCGAAAAGGGATCCGGTGGCATACGCAATCTCGCGCTCCGTGAGCTCGCCGGGGTTCTGGTCAAACTTCTCCCAGAGGTTCTTGGTGAAGGATGGGGGCGCGTCGCCCTCGTTCATGCGTCGCCGCACGTCTTGTGCGAGGCCCAGGAGAAGTCTGGATGACGCTGCGGCTCGCTGCTTGATCTCGCGCTTCCATGGGGCCAGAAAATCGGGAACCAGCTTCAGCAGGGGAAACGATTCAGCCCAAAAGGCACCGGGTCTGACGTCAGGTCAGTCAATGAGCTTCCCCTATAAACGTTCTCGAGCGTCGGGTGCCCGCGTGCGGATTGTGGGGGGTGGGGGGGGGGGGGGGGGGGGGGGGGAGGACAAGCGGACGAAAGGATTTTTTTTTTTCAAGAGACAACCCTTGTGCTGCAGTCAAAGGCAGGTGGATAGGGCAAACGAACAAGCAGTAGATTGATGTTGTACTCACACGTTCAGCGTCGACATGTACTGCATACGTTCGTATATGCGCTGGACGATGGAATCGTCCAAGTCATCGACACGGCGACCATAAGCGACGCACACCATGACCGAAGCCGCATACCGCTCCAGATGTCTTCCAAAGTCCTGCGGCATCTGGAGGAGATCGCGCAGGAGCCGCTGCGACTCGGCCTCCTGGATCGGCTTGTACGATTCGCAAGCTCTCCGCAAGAGGCCGCTGTGGAATATCTTGCGTGTTTTCCGCCACTTGTCGCCGTGGGGCATCGTAAGCAGCGAGTCGTTATTGGTAAATAGCTCGCCTGCATGTTCGTGTGGTCAGCCATGAAATAAATAAATGCGCAACCCACAGGGCACACGCATGAATTGTGGGTGCGCGTGCAACCCACCGTCGCCACCGCAAACCGCCGCGTGGAAGCCATGAGCTTCCTTTTGGCTTCTGGAAAGAAAAGAAGAAAAAAACAACAACAGTAGGAGACTCACCCATCACAACGAAGCGAGGCCTCGAGGAATATATTGCCGACCGCCGGTCCAGGAGGTCGCAGGCAACCTTTGGGTCTCCAATGACAATTGTTGGCCGTCGGCCGGTCCACACGGTTACCAATGAACCGTACATATCCGTCCACTGTTTGAACTTGTACCACGGCTTGCACGGCGGCAAATCCCATTTATTGCCAACGAAAGGGACCGGTGACGGTCCTGGAGGCCTTCATATCGCACCGGCGTCAGAGATGTGCAAAACAAACAAAACGTCGAAATGCATAAAAAAGCAAAACGACAAGTGTTGTTCGGCGGGGGTGGGGTGGGGGAAAAAAGCATACATTACTGCATGCCGCCGGTAGTCCTTGATGATGGTATAGAGCACGGCAATGATCAGGGCGAGCAGGATAAACACAGTTGTGAGGCTGGATGCATAAGCCATGGCCGTTATGTAGGGAGCCGGCCGACGGTCCTCAGCGAGGAGTTGCAGAGACGACACGAGCGATGCCAATGGCTTTTCGACCGAGGACGAAAATGGTGGGTATTCGGGAGAGCTATGGATGGCCATCATTGTGCTTCGGGCCATGTTGCAACTTGCGGATATCGATGGATCTATCACTGGCGGACTGACTGAGGGAGTTGGGAGACGTCGAAGACCACTGAACTGAACTGACTGTTCAGAGGCGGTATATGTATGTATTTCGGATAGATGCTGTTGACGACGAAGTAACGATTCGTCTTTCTTCTTGACTGCCTGCCTGCCTAAGACATCGAAGTTTGGAGGGGGGATGCTTGGGATTTATACAGGACGTCCACGATGATGATGATGATGGCGGTACCTACATCCGGCAGGCCTATCTCTTTCTCAATGTTAATCTAGGCTGGAGGCGCAGGCACACATGATGGGAGTGAACCCCACCCACCCTTCCCCGGAAGGTAAACCCAAGGCTCGGGAACCGCGTCGATGTGGAAGGGGGGAGGGGGGGTGGGGGGGTGGGGATAGTAAGGAGGATTGGGGGGGGGGGGGGGGGGGGTGGTGAAGGGTAGAGGGTAGTAGAAGGTGTGGGCGGGCCCATACGGGCAGCATGAGGCGAACCCAAACTCCGAAAAAAAGTGCTGGGTAGTCCGGGATAGCCAGGGTCCCATCATAAGGCACGGGCTCAAACAACCATAATAATAATATCGAATTGTTAGACCTTATGGACCGAAATATTATTATTATTTATTTATTCCTGGCGTCCCCAGTGAGGGTGTGCAGTGTGCAGTTGCAGTTGCAGTGTGGTGTGCACTGTGCCTAGATACAACTTAGTTAGCACGTACCGTACCCCCCTCCCTCCTGGTCCGGCGAAGGCAGGGGCATGACATTCTGCACACATACAGATTATTGCATGGTCTGTCAGTCTGCCATTATTTGTTTTTAGCGCAGACCGTCCCGGTATTCAGGTTGAATTGACCTTGCAACTTGCAAGCAAGCAAGCAGAGCTTTCAGCTCGGGACTTGGGCAGGGTAGGTACGCAGCAGTTAGACGGTTGGTAAATCGTCTGTGTATGTGTTCTTGCGCCTGTTATGTTTGCGGGTCCTTCTCTTTGGCTCCCGGGCTCTCTTCCACTGTCCAGTCCACAGCACACACTCTCGTGAGATGGGCCTTGCCCGCGCCCCCATCATCATCATCTCCCCCCTGGGCAGTAGAGTAGCAGGTAGAATGGAGATGGTGGTACATACATACGGCGAGCTTAGCAGCATCGGAGCGTAAGTTATGAGCATATGAGCAGCTAGCAGCGGAATTCCAAATTCCAGGCAACCCCTCCTCTCCTCCTACTGCTCCCCTTTGGGCGGTTCGTTCATCCCCAGCGTGCAGCGCAGCAGCAGCAGCAGGCAGCGGAGGGACGGCATGCGGTACATAAACAACGCCCTACAAAAGCTCACAAACCCGCAAACCCGCAAGGAGCCGATGATTGGGGTGGGAGTGTAGCATCCCACAACACCAGATACATCATACTCTAGTTATCCCTTGCCTGCCCGTCTGCCCAACCAGATCTGTCATCCACACATCCACACACCCTTTCACCCATCCATCCACCCCCCTTCCCTCTCGGGTTTATTTTCTGTGGTGGTGGTGGTGGTGGTGGTGGTGGTGGTGGTGGTGGTGGACGACGAACGCGTGGTTACGGTCAACTATGGTTGTGTGTGGCGCCCTCGCGCGCGCGCACCAGCTGCCTGCGTGCCAGCTGCCTGCCAGCTGCCAGCCCGAACGAACTCCCATGTATGATGTGATGTATGTACCTACCGTTCGGTGATCAGTGCAGTGCGTGCTCAAGCGAGTCGGCTTTTTTTTTTCTTTCTTTTTTTCCTTTTCTTCAAGGGCTTCCTTCTGGGTATACCGTACTAGTAGTATGTAAGTTCTGGCACCTCCGGCGGCGGCCAGCCGGCAGTTGCGATTGACAGACCAGACCAGACCAGACCGACCAGACTACATACAACAACCGAGCCCTTCAGATCCTTCAGAACCAATTTTTCGGGTTCGAGTTACGTAGTAGGGAATTGCTAATTCTGGCGAGTTACTATGTGGGTAGGTGCGTAGGAAGCATGTATGTACCGGGGCGACTGCTCACTGCTCAGGGAGACTGCCCAGGGCGACTGTGACTGCGATTGATTGATTGATACATACAATTAGTCACCGCGGCCGCAGTGACTAACTACTGCTTGTACCAGCTACTTGTTATGGCCGGTGACGCTGGCCCATTAGTTAAGTTTACATGTATCGCTGGCTCCGTGGTGTAAACAAAACAAAACAAAACAAAACAAACAAAGATGTCGTCGTCAGATCAGATCAATATCGGTCACGTCGTCAGAGTTGAGTTGTATCACGATCGTTACTGCCAGAGTAAGAAAGAGAGCCATCGATATCGATATCGATCTGTCAAATGCAGGAACTCCAGACTCTAGAGTACACAATTGGCTTTTCAGAGTCCGTTGCTCCATCGTCATCATAATCACCACCATCGTCATCATCACCACAACCACCATCGTCATCGTCGTCACTCACTCAGTCACCGCCTACCTACTCTACCTACCTAGCCCCTCACCCACCTCAAAGTTCAAACGAATTGGTTTTGCGAAAGAGAAAAAATCGTAAATCGGGCCCGATCCCATGACCCCACGTCCATGACCCATCCCATCCGAAATGAAAGGGAAAGGGGGCTACGCAAACTCACCTACATACATCATACCTCGCCGGCGCCGTGAGTGTGAGTCGTGTACATGTATGTATGAATGTACATCTGTATGTATGTGCTCCGGTCTCCTTTGGAGTAACTACCGTAGCCTACATACACGTGCTGGCGTGTATAGCAGAGCAAGCAGAGCAGAGCAGAGTGCCCCCCTCCCCTCCCCGTAACTGATCTGCACACTGCACACGTTAACTACCCACCTACCCACCCACCTATGTGCCGTATGTACGGTAGATATTTACGTACGTCGAAAAGGCTAACTCGGCTAGACAGCTCTCGAGTAGGTTGTATGTGAGGTCTGCACAACATACATACCGTACATAATGTACAATACACTCTAGTCAGTTATGTAACTAGACGATAAGTAGATAGACAGATCTCCGTCATGCAAGCCGCTGGAACTGTTGCTCAGTAGTCACTCACTCACAGCAGTGATCCTGCCACTTAACTCGATACATACATACATCATATGTATTGTACATACGAGTACGCCCCACGGTCCTCCAGACGAGAACTCGCCGAGGTCACTTAATTAAATAACTATCTATATTGTGTCTCGCGCGGGCAAGATCGCAGGGGAGACGACCTCCGAAACAGAGAGAGACAGAGAGAGGGAGAAGGAGAGGGGCGGATAACCGCGGACAACAGAGCGATGAGCTGAATAAGGCGTTCGCGTCGGTGATAGGAAAGCAAACGAGTGAGATGCCCATGGCATGGCATGGCATGGCATGGCCCGCATAGGCTGCATGGGGTCTCCTCCTATGTATGGCTGCCAGCGATTGAGTCGGTCCGCTTCTCTCTCGAACAACCACGGAGCACCAGCAACCACCGCAACCACATGTAGAGTTGACCACGACAACCGACACGACACAACAGCAACAACAACAACAACACCACAACCACAACCACCACCACCACCACCACCACCACCACCAGTACCAGCAGCATGATCCGCGTCCCAAGGATAATGAGATGCAAGCACGCATCCGAAATCAGACCACAGAAATGCAGATCGCACATGGCATTGCATTGGGGCATATTTACTTGAGGCTGCAAGTAAGCTATGGTCAAAGCGCTTGCTTGCAAGCGGTCATCGGTCAATCCGTCAGTCAATGACTGCTTCAGCCTTGTGATGGGAGGGGGCTTCATCGCTCCATTCCGAGTAGCCCATGATGCCTGCAGACCACGGTCATTCGAGCAGCTGGCGCGCCAATCCGAACTCCGGCAGTTGACGTTTCAGATATTCCATCCAATCACGGTGAGCGAGCCAGATCTGCTCGTCACTCACTGATTGACCTGAGGCCGGAGCCCTCGTCTGCCTGCGGCCCACCACTTCCCGGAACACTTCCAATATCTCCATCGACTGGGTTTCTCCGTGAAACTTCTCACCGAGATTGCTCGCATGTATGTAAGGCCAGCGAGATATGATTTTGACATTGAAGCATTGGGATCGCTTGTACGATCGTGATTTGCGTGGAACTCCCTCTTCTCTCCTCCGCCTTCAAAAAGAGGAATCCAAACCGATTCTGGCTTTCGTGGCAACAGATGACTTGTTCTGGGTGCGCGCAACTTGCAAGGCACATGCCAGCCGGTACATACGATACCCTGACGGAGTAGCATCACGATCGAGATTTTACACTGAAGGGATGCTGCCAGATCAAGAAAATTTGCTGCAGCACTCGAGGAGGCGTCTCCGTGGACTGTGGGAAATCCCTTCATCCTGAACCATGTCTCTGCACATCTGCATTGATAGGCGTACGGCATGTATATCGGCGGCCAGCGGTATTCGAGCCGGTCCAGGTCGTGCTTCATCGAGCTTGTCCAGATATGAGCACGGGGTCCACCACCACCACCACCGGCAGCCTTGCGCTGTGTGTGCCCTTCTCGGCAGGGCAAGGCCCGAAAATGCACGAACACTATCCCCTCAGGAGGTTAGCTCTTATTGGTCATGCAAACACCGAATCAGAATCAGCCAGCCCGTAGGCAGAAAAATTGGTTGCATGCAGTGGTGCAGTGGCGAGATGGTAGTTAGTTGTGGTGTCCGCTTAACAGGCGAATATACACCATCAGGTAATAGCAGCAAGCCTTCTGCATATGCCGTTTGCTCCGACGGTCCCGGCGATACCGCGAATGTAAGTCCGACAATCGAATAATTGCCACCGCACGAAAAAGGGCACATATGTAATCTCGCTGTCACTGACGCTGACTTGCCCACGAGACGGCCGAATGAGCTGTCAAACGGGGCGAGCCGAGGTCTGTTGGACCTTCCGAAAGCAACATGCCAAAACAACAGCGCGTGCCACATTGCGGGACAGGACCCGATGCCATGGCATAGGAGTGTCGTCGGCAGCAGACGCTAACTAGCATTATGTAGTTGTCGGTAGGCATAGGTACTCGAGGGTACATGACATGTGGTACCCATTGCCAGAGAGACGTCGCATGCAGCATTGTTCCCGGTTTTCACCAGTTGAGTCGATCGATTATTAAAAGGAGAGGGTCCCAGCCAGCTGCCAGCCTGACGTCTAGGATAGGGAAGGTGCCATGATTCAGCTTTCAGGCGCTTATGGTGTGCAACCCCAAGCGTGCAAGTTTAGCCTTGCGAACGAGAGAACGACGTCAACGACGTTCGTCTCAAGTCTCTGGGCGTTTAGTTTGCTCTCGGGGGGTCCCTGCTTTCGTCGTATGACAGCTCGAAATTCCACCGGGGGTCGGGGCAATCCGACCGGCAGATCATGATCAATTGCAGCTTGCAATTGCAATTGTTCAGGGTCCAGATGCAATGTTGTCCGATGCTAAGCCATGCAGCTCTAGCAATCGAGGAGACGGTGGCTCCTCGTCCATGTGCGCAGCGCACTGAGCACACAAAACGACATTACATAGCTGGGCGTTTCGTTTCGTTGCGCAATTCCGACGTCGCGGGAGGTTCCACGAATCCGCATGAAGACTGGGAATTGCCCCCCCTCTAACCCGGTTGCGTTTGAAGCCAACATTTTTTCCCTTTATTTCGGGAGTTGACGATTGTATGCACGCACGTCCCACCGAGCAACTACCGCAAGTACACTACACGATGGTAATGCACACATATTGGGCCGCGGGAGGGACTCCAAAAAGATAGGCTGGTTGATTGGACTTGCTGGGCAGGATCCACATCTCTCTCCTTTTCGGCGGTTTGTTGAGAACCAAGGAAGCGGTAGCAGAAAATTGTCAGCGAGTAAAAGGGGGAGCGGAGGTAGGAGGGGGAAAGGGGCGGGGGAGATATCTCCTAAAACTTTGTATGATGAGACGGATGCCGGACAGTCGAGCTGTACCATGTTCGGAAGAACGATCGGGTTCAGTTGACAGCTGGAAAGTTCCGACGTCTCCCCACGTCTTCGAGCCTTGCCCCACGCGCGCCGAGCGCAGATCACCATCATCGACAAGCCTAGCAAGCAGTGCAATTTCGAGACCGGCAGTTGTGTTTCTGCTAGTCATTTTTTCTTTCAGGGCGTTCCTCCGCCAGCTCCAAGCGACAGCTGCCATTGGGGGTCGCGCTGATGGTCGATATGGATGCTCTGGTCTAGAGTATGCCGGCGACCACCTGAGGTGAGCTAGGAGATGGTCGAGACGTTTGCCTGCCTTCCTGCCTGCCTGGATGCCTCAGCTCACGCTGCTACCTGGAAAGCTTCTCTGGCGTCGCCTTGGTACTGCGGACGGTTGGTGCAATGGCAATGCTAGTTTCTTTTGCTTCCACGCACGGCAATCGAATATTCTGCGCCAGTTCCATCTCCCGGAGCCTTTGAATGTGGTAATGGTGGTGGTGGTGGTGGTGGTAACAGTGGTGGAGGTGGTGGTGGTGTGTGGTGGAGGCGGTGGTAGTTGGTAGTAGTGGTGGTGGTGGGGATCGGTGCTGTGCACTTCGGCAGTCAAGAGGGTGGCGCATAAGTGTGTGGCAGTGAAGCTGCCTAGCGAGGCCTGGGATGAAATAGTGTGGGGGAGAGGAAGTGTGGCATTCAACCATGCCTCCAGATGTCGCGTGGGATGAGCCTCCAGCGCTATCACCCTCCCAGAAACTTTTCTTCCCTCGGTCCCTTCCATACTTTCGTCTCTCTCCCCGCGCGCCCCCGCTTGGCCACATCTAGCACGTCACATCGAGAAAACTCAATTGTTCGCTTTTAGCTAGCACGAACTCTAAGTAGTAGGATCGCTCCGAAAAGGGTAACAAGTAAATACGCCCCCCAAACCACGACCACACTGCAAACACCGACCCACGACCCACGTCCCACGACTTCCGCCCTTCGCCCTCAGTCCTCCGCCCTCTGCCCTCCGTCGCTCACTTCGCCGAATACCTCCGAAATCCCCATACAGTACAAGACGGCGCTATGGCTGTATCCAAGAGCAAGAAGAAACCCCCCGGCTCGGTGCTGTTATCGCGTCGTCGCAGTGCTGCGCCAGCCGTGCGACATGCCACCGCCGCAGCCCAATCATCGTCCCTCTCGTCCAAGGCTGGCCGAGCCTTGATCCGCAGCCACCACACCTTGCAGAAAAAACTCTCGCAAGCCCTATCGCGGAACGACGAGGCCGCGGCGTGCACACTCCGAGCCGAGATTGAGGCGAGCGGTGGCCTCGAGAAGTATCAGCAGGCTAGCGTATGCTCTCTCGCCCGCGTCTAACACAAGTACTAATCGGAAATCTACGGTTAGATCAACGGGCAATCGGCGCAGCGGGGCGGCGACTCGTCGAAGTTGCTGATGCAGTGGATAAACGAAGACTGCGCCGACAGGACTGTGCTCAAGGAGAGAGGGCTACGGATGCTAGAGGTGGGTTCTCTCAGGTAGAGCGGGTTTCTTTCCTCCCCACGCCGTTGAGCTTCGAGGTTGACGCAGCGCGCACCACAGCCCGGACAACGCCGTTTCGAAATCTTCCTTGTTCACGGTTACCCGCATAGACCTGCATTCGCAGCATCCAGCCATCGAGACGCAGGACTTCATGCAGCGCCCGCTCCCTGCAAGTGACGACGACAAGTTCGACTTAGTCTCGCTGTCTCTTGTGCTCAACTATGTGCCTGACCCTGCAGGAAGAGGGGACATGCTTCGCCGGACAACACAGTTCCTGCGCCGCAGCACCGAACAGGAGCCGGGCAATCCGGCATCCAGCCTCTTCCCCTCACTGTTCCTAGTCCTTCCCGCACCGTGTGTGACGAATTCCAGATATCTCGATGAGGCACGGCTGCGGGGGATCATGGGGACCCTGGGGTATACGCCCGTGAAACGAAAGCTATCGGCAAAGCTTATCTACGGACTGTGGCGGCATGAGGATACGGCCGAGGCAGCAAAGCAGGCAAATTGGAAGAAAGAGGAAGTGAGGCCGGGGGGATCCCGAAATAATTTTGCGGTCACGATGAATTAGGCTGGTTTATTTTTGCGGTTATCGCGGTCCACGTGATAAAAGTGGGTTCACGATAATGAAACGGCGGCATAGTTTCTCGTTCAATGCATCGTACTTGGCGTCGTCGTCGTCGTCATCGCCATCGCCATCGCCATAATCATCGGGCAGGCGGGAGTGAGTAGGTTCATGGGGGATTGGCGGAAGGAGGGGGAGGAGGGTTCAGGTGTTCGTGTGAGATACGGATATAATGGCACGATCAGTCAGAGGCCTGTACCTACAATGCCTGCAATGCCGTGCATCGCAACCCGCGGAACTGCTAGGAATCTGACGGCAGCAAAAAGAAATATGAAGGAGTTGCAAAACCAATACTGCACCGATTTCGGTGGCTTCAGTATTAACTAGCAGCGGGTGTGGAATGTACACTACGGAATTCACACCCACCCCTTGCCTGTCGCCTGCATGATTCATGGCAAACTCGACCAATCAGAGCTACGGAGCAATGGTCTGTTGCCGATGGAATTATTCCGAGCCGATTAGTCTTCCAGATCGATCATCCGCCCAGCTGCTCCACTGCTCGGATGCTCAGCTGCTCTGTAATCTGTCTACAGCATGTAGTAACAGAACCTACATACGGCATATAAGCCAAGATCGTGCACTCTGACTGTGAATTCCGATTTGATTGTGGGGGCACATGGACTCCAAGGGCATGCTTCGTCGTTGCATGGACCGACCATTCGTCTGAACACGAAACAAAATTAGCCTTACAGTGTATAGTACACAACTCCCAAGGAGCTCTAGCGGCTTCCGACATCCATTCCCGCCAATGAATGTGGAACTGGTGGATCCCGTAGCTACCCCGCTCGCCCCGTACACAGCTGTACTGGCCTAACCTGGTCGTCCGTTGGTCGCTTCCAAAGATGCCACCCGAGTTCCCGCACGGTCCAACATCTCGGAACTTGTGAGTATCCCGTTTCATGACGTGTTGGTTGATTTCCGTCTCGAGTGCCTCTCACGCCGCATCTGTGTCTCGCCCCACATCTCTAGAGCAGGGTCTACGCCAATCGATCGCATTTTTCCTTATGTACTTGCACATTTGCACATTTGCACTACGGTCCATGGCCAGCCACTGACCACACACAATGCACATTGGTTATATGTCATCACTTCCATCGCTCCATTCTGCGTGGCTTGAACTCGCCTCTCTTGGCGCCATAGTAGATATATCTCCTTTTCTCCTCCGCCTCCACACAATGTAGTTAACTACGACCTGAATCCTGACGGTGGCTTGAACTCGCAACCGATCGCTCGTGGTGTTTTGTTTTGTTTTGCTTGTTTCCGCACCGAACCCCTCCCTCCCTCTTTTTTCTCAACTGCAATCATGGTACCATCGATCGACATCACTGAGCGATTTGTGCCGAGATCGCAAAACCGTTTTGTGGTTGTGTCGCCCCTGGGGTTTTGCTTTTTCGCTGTAGACGATGGGGATGCTGCCGTATTCGGTCTTTGGTACATAGGTTGAGGTAGTTACCCAGCCTACATGCCTACCGCTAATTGTGGATTTGCGGATTTGCGGATTTGTGGTGCGGTGTATTTAGGTGATAACCGAGCTCTGATTTCTTCAGCTGTGGCTTGCCCGAGCGTTCGGACTTATCCATATATCATGGAATATCATCATAGATTCATAGCCACCGTGACGGTGCACCACACCCCTCCGGGCCCTCCCCCATGCACCCCCTCCGGGCCTCCCTCACCAGCTCATCTCGAGTGCTAGCTGATGCCACACCAGAATGCCTCCCCCCCTCCCTCACAGTCCTCCCAGTGATCACTGCACAGTGCACACTGCCCCTTGGGCCTTCACCACGAAGAAATAACACCTCTCCCTTACATTCAGCGGTTCCTCCAATGGCATCCCTCCATTGGCATCCGTCGCGGCACACATGACCGTCGGACCATGCGGCTGGCCGACAGGGGTGGCGTGCTAGGTGCTATACAACAGCCTTCCAGAGACGGGAATATCGTCACCTCTGTCGTCATCGGATATGTTTGTGCGTTCGTGCATGCGCCGTGCGTGCGCGGAATTCGGGATGTTTCGTAACTTCGTTTTGCGGAAGGGCGGGCGGGCGTTGGGTGTTGGTTGTTAGTGTAGGTAGATTATGTATTAGAGTAGGAGGGGCAGTCTACGATATCACTATGGTAGCAATCGGCCTGGCCACCCCCGGTAACTACATAAACTAAGACCAGGCTGGTTCGAGAATTTCGTGGGGAAGGATGTTCCCGCCGCTCGCTCAACCCAGGGACTACATATCCACCTACATACACACATCCTACCTATACCCAGGTACCTACTAGGGGTCTTCAAACCTATCTGGGTGAAAATCTGGCCGGGTGATAAGGTATTTTTACTGGTTCGACAATTACCGAATTTTCCAGAATCCGCTAAAATTCTCCAGATGCCGCTACTTTTCCAGACCGCAAAAACACCGTCTGGGTGCCCGTATGGGTGACTGCAGGAGCTCTAGCTCGCCTCTAGCTCACCAGAATAGGTGTAGGTAACGGCTGGTTTCCGGGATCAAGGACTGAGACTGTAGAAATTTTCTCTCGACGCCAGTCTGGCCAGTTTGTATTGAGGAAAGCGGCCCCATACGCTTCTATCCAAAACAGCACCCGGCACGGGGTCCTCAAACCTACATCGCACGTCTGGCCATTCTGATTGGCCAATGTTTCCAGACCAGATTCCGGCCAGATTTTCACCCAGATAGGTTTGAGGACCCCTATATACTATAACTGCACATATTCCTCAACCCGGGAAGCCGAAACCCGTCGACCTCTCTCGAGTTTCCCCCCCTCTTCACATGCAGACTTCCAGTGGCGAGTCTGAGCCCAAGGGTTCGTTATTCCCCATACCTACATGTCCAGACTCCAGTCAGCATCAGACGATTTTCATGATTTTTCCCTGGGACGCAGCTCCCGGCAACTAGGCTCGGTGATGAAGTGGGGTACTTACTCGAGTACCTAGACTAGCTGGGGTTAGATTCCAGAGATATATATGCATAGAATGGCAAAAGCCACAGAAGACGCACTTCCCCTCGCGAAGAGAAGAAGAAGACGAAGAACAAGACGAAGAAGAAGCTAAAGAAGCTGAAGAAGAAGCTGAAGGCTGAAGAAGATGAAGAAGAAGCATGGATGACGGGAAGCTCTCCAGCCAAGTATATAGTACGTATATAGAAGGGAAGAATACGGCCGTTAGAGTAGTTACCTGTAGATATGTAGATAGAGTACATATCGATACCTCCCTAGGTCCCCGTACGAGCCCTTCTAGATTAGGGGCTAAACCACGTGGGTTACGCTACTAGAGATCTAGACAAAGGCTCGCTTCAGGCTTCAGGCTGCGACGGGTTTCACTACGCTGAACTGATCAACGACTCGCGGCGGCAGGACGGTACTTGAAACAAATCCTCACGGTAGTTAGATATTCCTAGTAGATGCCTTGCGCAGGTATGTACTTGGTCTGCGAGTACTCTACCATAACACCGCACAAAGCGCTCGGTGCTTTTTCCGCAGTGATGGGCTGGACGGACGGACGGACGGACGGAAGGACGGACACTGGACGGGGCAGCTGAGGAAGAGACGGAATTCCCCCGTCCTGTTTCTGTCCTGTTCTGTCGGAGGCAATGGTCCGTACCAACATGACATGACAGCGAGCCGATGGAGGGATTGGAAATTCATTTGAGCTAGAACGGCGAGTTTTCGGACTGACCGAGTTCTAGCCGTCAATGCTGATCAATTCCCGGCGTAAATTCGCAGTTTTTCACGCCGATGGAGTCGGGCAATTGTAGCTATCGTAGGGAGTCTTGGGGGATCTTTAGATCCCCCATTTGCATAGATACCATGTATCTCGACGATACCTATTGAATAGGGATGAGTACCTATCCAACCAGCCAGGATGATACAAGTATTCTAACAGCGGCGGCAGACCGCAGGGGTGAGTGACGAGTCCAACCGGAACGGCGTCAGGGCCTAGAGGCTGGAGTAGGTACCGGTACCGGTACATACTCTACATGACCCATACAAACGCGAACGGACGGACCTATATTCTTCCTCTGTGTCCAGCCAGGTACTCATAAATGACATGTCAATAACTAACTACAACTTTGCCGTCTGCTCGTGGGAGGGAGGTGGGGAGTGGAGCCTCAACACGGCAGAGCCCAAAAAAACCCCCCAAACCCAACCCGCAAATCGTGCCGTCCCGCAACAACCCGCCCGGTTGGCGGCTCACGGCGCACTCTTGGCCCCCACCGACTCACGTGGGACGCGCTGGGTGGGCGGATGGAAACCATCTGTGGATCTGCGCTGATATTTCCGGGACGTTCCAGCTGCCCCCCCACGCGTGGGGGCCCTGGGGGGGTGGGAGGGAGGGGGCGGAGGCATGAGCCCCGCCGGGACCCTGATAAATGTCATGGCAGCCGCAATAAGCGCGTAACGGAGATGAGGGGATAATTCGGATCGATCGATCACTGCAGAGGGATTCGTCTGATGGGCTGGGGGGCTGGCGCTGGCGCTTGTGCGAGTAAGCGTTTGTGGAGTGACTTGAGACCTCGGGAGGAATACCGATTTCTACTATCTACGGTATATGGTCTAGACATCTGTGCAAACGTCGGATTAGCTATGTGCACGTACATACTCTGCTGATTTCGGAGCCGGTGACGCTCGGACAGAGTATGTAGGTACTCTGGATTAGCAGGTTCCCCCACGCTTTCACCTTCACTCAGCCTCAGCTCAAAGACGTCAGGCTGCTATCCGGCCCCTATAAACCTGCCGAAACAAGCACTGTTGCCACCAACGTCCGGGCATCCCCGGATATGTCTAGAGTACCTTCGATACATACCCATACAACGCTGCTAGGTAGTCAGCCGGCCAGTGATGAGTGCCCACAAATCCAGATTAACATGCGTGCGTAATCCGCAATTGTGTGATTCATCTCGAGCACCCAGGTACGTACACTGCTGCTGCCGCTGACCGAGACAACGAAAGGCCAGTCTTTCTGATCAACCCACGATAGGAACTCTAGTCATCGTACTCTACTCTAGGTACTCTAGCATGTCTCAGAGCTCCCCCCTGTT